GGGACAGCATGTGGGTGTGACACAGTCATCTTAAACCATCCCACCAAGTGTCCCTTGGTTTCTGTGCAGGTGTTTACGGAGTAGCTGCTGTGTGCCAAACGCTTTGCTGGGTAGACAGTGACACACTGGAGGATATCAGTGTGTTGGTGCAATATGTATCCTGTCCTGTGGAGGTTCCCATGGACCATGAGACGGATCATGTGAACCCTAGTGTGTTCTGGGAGGGCTGGCCAGGCTGGGTTACTTCCTCCAGAACCATGTCACGGGGTGCAGGGTCACAAGGAGCTCCGGGATGGAATCCACCTGCCACAGGGAGGACTGCACTTATCCTTGCTGCAGATCTTGGGGTTCTTGGTGCTCCTGAGGAAGTGGAGATGTGATCTTTGGAGTAAACTGGTTTTCAAAACACAGAATTAGTCCTGTCTGAACTTGAAATTTAATTTCAGTATGGCTGGATGTGATGGTGTTAGGCGAGCCTCGGGAACTAATGCAGATATTTGGGGAGGTGGCTTTGTGGCATCTAGCTGTCTTATATAGAGAGACAACTGATCATCTTGATTAGGTTTACATTTCTGGAGAAGGAATTTAGAAAAAAGCGGGAATTAATTGCTTACGGGAACATCCGTTAGTATGTGGGTTTTTACACAGTAGCACATCTGTAGTATTTCCAGACGGATTGAGCCGCTGAGGCTTTACCAGACTTAGATGTCCCAAAGGGAGGTAGGTTCTGAGCCCTTAGGGAACCAAGTGTTTGCAGCATCCCAGCCTCCGCTCTGTGGGTGCTGTTGGTGGGGAGGCGGCCCCTGCAAATGTGGGTCTCCACCACCAGCCACGCGCATGACTGCAGCTTGCAGGGAGTCCCATTTCCATACAGTGTGTTTCATAAAACTACCGCAGGCAATGGGGTGAGAAGGCCTGGAGACTGTGGGTAGGGCTTTCATTTAAAAACAGAGAAGCAGAGGAGAAAACACCGAGGAGTTTTCATGTGCCTTAGTAACCCAAGTCAGCAGGCCCACGGGGGAGGAGAAGAGGTCACCCTTGTTTCTGGGGCGGCCCCTCCTCCAACTACTCTTCAGCTCTTGCTGCTGTATTGTAAAAATCACAAATGTAATTCTCAGGTGGCTCGTGTGACTTCTTTTTGAAGATAAAGGAAGTCCCAGGCGACCATCTTGGCCTGTCTTACTGTCCTGTGGGTGTGAGCTCGCCTCTCTGACCACCCTTGCTGGCCCAGTTACTTTCCTCAGGAGAGAGTGTAGGTTACTCTCCAGGGAGGCTGGGAAGAGAGAGCCTAGCGATGCATTTGAACTTCCCATTCCTCCGCGGACTCTGCACGTTCAGTCGAATATTACATTGGATGTGCTGTCCTGAGCATCAGTGGGGATGGAAGAGATCCCAGGTCACCCAGGGGGACTTAGTGTATGTGTCGCCCTGTCTGCACTCAGTCTCTGCTGCTGTCTGAGGGTGCATCTGCACCTCTGCCTTGTATCCCTTTCCTGTGTCTGGCTTCTCTCCTTCTCGTGATTCTGTGGCAGGCTTGGCCATCCTTGGCCCTTTCTTGCTGACCTTAGTCGCTCTGCTCCCCAAAGTGGTGCTGGGCCCTGCCTACTGCTACCCCATCTGCTTCACATTGATTTGTGGGTCAGTTGAGTTAATTTCTGCATTTCCTTCCTTCCTTCCTTCCTTCTTCCTTCCTTCCTTCCTTCCTTCCTTCCTTCCTTCCTTCCTTCCTTCCTTCCTTCCTTTCTTTCTCCCTCCCTCCCTTCCTTCCTTATTCCCTCCCTTTCTCCTTTCCCTCCCTCCCTCCTTCCTCCCTCCTTCCCTTCCTCTCTTCCTTCCCTCCCTCGTTCCTTTTCTCTTCTCTACCCTTACACGGGCTCTCACTATATAGCCCTAGCTAGCTTGAAATTGGATACGCAGCCTAAGCTGTTTTAGAATTTGTGGGCAGTCATCCTGCATCTGCCTCCTAAGTTCTGAGATTAAAGACATGCATTACTGCTTACAGTTTGCTTTTTTATTTCATAATCCCTGTCACCAATTTCTTCTGTTATTTTTCTGGGAATTGATATCCTAGACATAACCCATAATTTCCAGGATGACCTCTCCACAGTCGCAGTGTCAGAGACTAGGTGTGACCAGCTCTCTTACCCCCCAAAAAGCAACAGATATGCTAGATGAGATATGAAATACCTTTTAAAAAAAGGTATCTTCAAAGGCATCAGTGAGTTAGGAGATCAGCAGAGAGGGTTCCCTGGGTCTTCACCATTGTAGTTAACAACCTTGGACTTCATTTGCTTTTCGTAAATGGGGTGGTTTAAGGACGGGAAAGGTTGGAGATTGAAAACAGAGGAAACTGGCCAGGAAAAGACAGAGGCACAGCAGCTGGGCTGTGACCCTACTCTTTTTTTTTTAATTAAGAAGTATTAAAATTAGCATGCAGGATGTTAGACATCACTGTGCATTTTGGAGCAGGATGTGTTTCCCTCATCCCCATCATCACTCTGCTCCGTGGACCACCTGCAACCTCCCTCCAGTCTCTTCCTCTTTTATGTCCTGTGTTTCCCATTTGCTTAGCCCCCATCTGTCACCTACTTTACCCTCCTTCAGTCCCCTTCCTACGTAATGCACAGTATATTAAAACTAGAATATAATTTGATCATTTCCTCTTTCCTTTTTCGCTCCTCATCTGTCCCAGGCACACACATTCACTCCCCCTCCAATCCATGGCCTCTCTGTTTAACTGCTGTTATTACATGTGTGTTCAAAATGCACAAATATACAGACACAGCCCGCTGAGCCTGTTTAGCGTTCCTTGCATGCGTATGACTTCAGGGCTGGCCAGCCGGACTTAGATAACCAGTTAGGGAACTCAGCTGTTCCCCCTCTCTCAGCAGCCCTCAGTCCTTGGTTGTCTGTGGTCTTTTTTGCCTAGACGTGGGGCCCTGTGAGACTCCAGCCTTTCAAACGACAGTATGCCTATTGGTGCTGTCATTGTCCGGGTCCGGTTTGGGCAGCTATCTTGCTGAGGGATCGTGAATGTAGCTTCATTGTCCTTTCTGTTTTACTCTCAGACATGTGTGCATTTATGTGTGTATGCACATGCACACACGCACACACACACAAGCACACGCGCGCACACACACACACACACAGGTTAGATTTGTATATAAGAGAGAACATGTGGTTTATACAGCCAAGCTGTAGCCCAACATTCTACTAAACGGCGAATGGCAGAAAGCTGAACATTTCCTCTAAAGTTGGGAATTAGACACGATGTCCACTCTGGCCTTTTTTTTTTTTTTTATACTGTATAGTGCTCAAAACCTTAGCTGGAGCCACACGATGAGAGGAAGACGTAAAGGAGATAACACAGGGAAGGGGAAGAAGGCCTGTGTGTGGCCTTACTCTCGGTAACTGCTCCGTGGCTGTCCTTCCTGCTTCCTGCTCTCCTGGAACATTCCGGAACCCCGCTGCAGCGCAGTAGGATTTCTTAGGACTCGTTGTCCTCTACGGCATGCAGAGGGGACCCTTGCTCCTGGTTTCTCTCTCTCTCAGGCCGTGGGGTGATGGTTTATAAGTGGAGCTGCCATCTGACCTCGAGGCTGGGTTCTTTCCCCAAGTATCTAGTTATTTTTACAAGTTCTGCTTTCGGGCCCTCTGCCAGAACCAGAGCATTTAGGGCAATGTGCGGTACCGGCTTGGGAGCAGATGCTCTTTTCCTGGGGGGCGGGGGCTGCATTAAATCCCCTGTAGAGTTTTGGGTGGAATGAGCAGCCTCATAAGAGAAACGGCAGCTGTCAATCAACCAGAGACAGAGAGACTGGTGGTGGTGCACGCCTGTAGTCTCAGGTCACTCACTCCCTGTGATGTAACGTGCAAGTGGGTGCTGCCGCCGTGATGCCATCACCAAACATCTGACCCGGGACTGAGGTGACGTGGAAGGCACTGGAGTCAGTCCTTGAATGGAGACCCTACAGCTGTGGAGCTCAGATGTTTAGAGGAAGCCATGCCTTGTGGCTTGCATGGGAAGAAGATGTGGGAAGGCTGCTTCCTGCTGGCTGTTTGGGGAGGACTTCCTGGGAAGGCTACCTCCTGCTGGCTGATTGGGGAGGACTTCCTGGGAAGGCTGCCTCCTGCTGGCTGATTGGGGAGGACTTCCTGGGAAGGCTGCCTCCTGCTGGCTGTTTGGGGAGGACTTCCTGGAAAGGCTACCTCCTGCTGGCTGATTGGGGAGGACTTCCTGGAAAGGCTACCTCCTGCTGGCTGTTTGGGGAGGACTTCCTGGGAAGGCTGCCCCCTCCTGGCTGATTGGGGAGGACTTCCTGGAAAGGCTACCTCCTGCTGGCTGTTTGGGGAGGACTTCCTGGCTGTTTAGGGATCTTCCTAGCTGTTTAGGGATCTTCCTGGCTTGCCCTTTCTGATGTCTGGGGATGATACCTGCTGTCCACATCTCTCACTCTGATGGCTGCTGTTGGGGCAGAACCTGAATTCCTTGTGTGTAGGAAGCCTCCGAGCCTCAGGATGGGGCGGTGGACGTTGTAGTGGCTGCTGTGCAGGTTTTATAGAGACGAAAGTCTCTTTTGTAACAGTCCTTGAATTACCTGTGTCAAAAATACTGAAAAGTGAGTGGCTGAGAAAGAAAACAAATGGTCTGCCTTTCCACGAGGGAACCTCCCCAGTCTCCCGAGTGGTGGAGCCAGACACCCTCGGGGCAACATTTGGTTCCCGATCTGCTGCCGCCATATTGCAGCCCCACACTGTCAACTTCAGAGTGGGTTTCATGGAGAATACATGGAGATTTCCCTGTGGTCCAGGTGACACAGGGCACAGAAGCCTCTGAAGGGGAGAAAGCAACCAAAGGCTCACGTGCCGGTCACAGGCAGGGACGCCACCTCAGTCCCCCATGCCGGAGGCCCCCAGAGCAGATGACGTTCCCGGGGGAGGGTGGAGGTGGACTGGGGGGCCTGGCTATGTCCTAACCACACGCCATTGCTGTCTTACAGGAGGAAGGCATAGTAAAGGAGATTGACATCAGCAACCATGTGAAGGAAGGCTTTGAGAAGGCAGACCCTTCCCAGTTCGAGCTGCTGAAGGTTCTAGGACAAGGGTCCTATGGGAAGGTGAGGTGAATGGATCGGCACTGGGGGGCTGGCGTCACACGGAAAGGCGGTAGGTGCCGGCCGAATCTGGCTGGGTTCCTGCACGGCACTGCTCACATTAGCTGAGCCTGTGTGTGTGTCAGAGTCATGAGCCACGAAGAGGCAGGCCACCCACATTCTCTCTCTCACCGGTGTCCTCTTGGCTCATGGGTGTTGCCGAGGGAGCCGGATCATTGCATTGGAGTCCGGGAGTCTCGGAAGTTGCAGCCTCAACAGATCTTTTTCAAAAGGAAAGGAGCAATGAGAAAATGAGAAAACCAAAGGAAAAGAGGGGGTGGGGCCTTCTCTGGATTGGCCTGCACAGCTGTCACTCAAGGATCAGGAAGGCAAGGATTTGGAGTCTGTCCCTTCTCCATACCTGGGACAGTAGTTTTGCCCTTCGATGCCTCAATTTCCCCATCTGTAAAATGAAGTAACTGGCTTATTTCATATAATCGTGCTGTGGGTTAAATTAGCCACGAGTCCAAGCTACCTGTCGCTTGGGAAGGGTTTGTGTGCTGGACCTGCGTGTGTCCTTACATCTTCCCCTGTGGGTCATAGCAGTGGTGGCTGGTCCCTTTCAGGAGCCAGGGATGCTGGCTCTCCCTCAGCATCCCCTCTGCACACAGTGTGGTCCTCACTCTGTATCCACTGAAGCAGCAGCTGTCCCCATGAAGCCCTGGGCTCAACCCCAGCACAGTGTAAACGGCGTGAAGGAACACACTTGTAATATCTGCACTCTGGAGGAGGAGGCAGAAGATCAGAAGTTCAGGGGCATCCTCAGCAACATAGTGAGTTCAAGGACAGCCTGGGCTACCTGAGATCCCATCTTAAAAAAAAAAAAAAACCAGAGTGGAGGAGGAAAGGCTTCCCCAGGATCTCCATTCGTCTTACATTTTAACTTTGCTTTTTAAAAAGCATTTCTTTGGAATAAGCGTTTGACTCAGCTCTGTTTGACACAGCTGCCGGTGGCAAGCTACACGCTCCCCCCCGAGTTCCGATCAGGTGTACAGGTGGGACAGGCAGATGGGGTCACGCAGGCACCAGTAGGAGGAAGGAAGAGGGGGCAGTGGACGGGCAAGTTCTGTGGCCACCGCAGCCCGGAGACCCTTGCGTTCAGCTCAGGCCCTGCAAGCTCCGTGCGGCTGTCATGGAAAGTGAGGAGATTAGACGAGGACTTGAAAGGAAGTGGGCCACCCTGGAGACACCACTCGGCCCTTCCTGGGCTCCACGCAGCAGCTAAGGGGCTCACAAATCATGCTGCGTTTGTCATACAGGTTTTCTTTTCCATGAGGGCTGCATGAGCAGCTTGCCTGGGGAAGCCAGCTCTGGTCTGACCGACCGCCCCGCACTATCCCATCGCTGCTCTGCAGGCATACTTTCTTTCTGTGGAAGGTTCTGGGCTGCTCTATCAGTCTGGATGTCATGGATCCTAAGACAGGCCATGCTTGGAAATCCCAACCCCACCATGATTAGCCATCGCTGAGCCTTCTGCATTACCTTCCTTACTTGAGTGGCTAAATGGATACCCGACACAAAGAAATGAACAGAACACCATCCTTGCTGTTGAACTCCAGCTGTGTGCCTCTATCTGCTTGTGCCCCCAGATCAGATGGTTCCTACAGCAACCCCAGAATAGGCAGGCTCTGGTTAGAATTCCCCCCAAGCAGCCCTTGAGACTCAGCTGCCTTGGGTCCCCATGCCAGAGTACCCCAGAACCTGAATACCCTGATCCCAGAGCTTGGTCCTACAAGTACTCTGTGCCCGGTAATTCTGTGGCTCCCATGATGTAGCCGTGTGCAGGGCACGGTGTGGACAGTCTTTCTGACACGGTCTCTCTTTACCAGTGTTGTGGTACTGTGATCGTCCTGGAGAGTCTGGCCTTAGGCGGTATGTTCTAGAGCTGAATGGAGTGGTATAGACTGGCTGTTCCACGGTGGAGATTCCTGTGGCTGATGGGGACCCCACCTTCTCCAGCCCCCACTGCTCCCCTCTGCTGAGAAGTACCAAGGCAGGAGTAGATGCTTTCTCCATTTTTTATTTAAAATTCCCTGGGGCGTGGTGAATTATGAGTCTCACATTCTGAGAAGGGAGCAAACTGACATTTTAAAATGTCCTTGCTTTCTTATAACTAAACAGTGGCATTGCATGCTCGAGGCTCTAAATGCCTTCTTTCAGGGGAGATCGTTGCCTGAGAGAACCCAGAAAGTGGCTATGCTTCTTTGACTCTGGCCCCGGGGTGTCCTGCAGTTGGAGGTCCCCTGGCCAGACTGAGAACATGTTGCCGAGGGAATCAGGCAACGGTGTCACCATTACAGTGATCCTGAGAGCTCCGGGCAGTGCTGAGTGACTGTATCTGGCCCAGGCCACACAGCTGTCTGTGCAGTCATTGTTCTGAAAGTGTAACAAGTTAGCACACACCACTATACAAAGCAACAGAGACACAGCAGCCGCATTTGCTGAAATTATCAAAGTTGCTTTGGGTCTTTTTCCCCTGAATCCAAATAAATTTCTAAATTATATGGTCCCTTCTCTTATGGTGCTAGAGGTGGCCTCTGTCCAGTTCTCTAATCACCTTGGGGAGAATTGCTGCACATGGCTCTGGTTTGGCACTTAGTAGGAGCACATTAACAGTGACAGAATGGAGTTGTTTCTGTGCCTTTAAAAAGGCAGGGATCCTGCTTAACATCAGAGGGGTGGAAGCATCAGCCACTGTCGTCCGTGGTTTCATTTTTAAAATATGGGATGCAATGAGGAAAACAGTTTTCAGTGCTCAAAGGCTGAAGGAAGCAGGTGGATCACCGTGACTTTGAGGCCAGCCTGGGCTGCAAAGTAAGGCTTTGTGTGTCCCCCCCAATTTTATAAGCAAATACCTGTGTAGAAATTGGCTTTATCTCAGCTAATTCATAGGTGGCACTGCCCAGTGCACCTGCGGATGTGGTTTTCTGTTGAGATGTTGTCAGGGTAGGGCTTCTCTCTTCACCCATTTGCCACGACTCTGACTTAGCCCACTTTCGGGTTGCTATCACTGACTTTCCAGAGGCTAAAAACTGGACAAGTTAAAAAGAAAACAGTTTATTTGGCTCACGGTTCTGGAGGCCAGCAAGTCCAAGGATGCCATGCTACTCAGTCCACTCTGTGAAGTCCTCCCTGCTGTGCTGTAATGTGGCACAGGACCCTGCCAGCCCCTCCCACTGCCGTATGGAGATCAGAACTACAGCAGGGAGCCTGGGGGACGCTGTGACATCATGCCGTGCTACATGGCAGGCCATAGGGAGGCGGCAGAGCAAAGCCAGGCGGCCCTGGCTGTGCACAGGCCGGAGCAGCGACGCCTGCTTCCTCTCCCTGCTTCTCCTCGCAGGAGGATCTGATGGTTATTTTTTTCACTTTGCAAATCTTTCCCTGGGGCTTCTGTCTTGGCTATAATATAACAGAATGGCAGGAGTTCCTCTGTCCACCAGCCTATGAGGGCTTGAACAGTGACCCAGGCAGGATAGTCTTCTCCGTACGAAGACTCGCTGACCTGACCGTAGCTGCCTGCATCCCTCACCTCACGCACTGGCATGCAACCACACAACAGGGCTGCAGCCACAATGCTCTGTGCTGGCTCCTCAGGGCTCAGCTCCCGTTGACTCCAGCCTGACGCCTGGCCAGGAAAATGTGCTGGTCGTGTGGCCCACAGCACAGACCTTGCTATAAGCCCCAACCTGCTTCCCAGCTCTTAGCCCCAAGTGGTAGGATGGTCGCTTAGCTGCCATGTGCTTACGCCTAGAGCCCATCGTCATCACCTAGACTCCTGGCTCTGCCTCCTGCCAGGCGTTATCAATTCTATTCATTTTGACAAAGTGCAGACAGATGCTATACGTGTCAGGAACAGGCTGGAAGAGGGAGTGGAGTTATATCAGATGGAAGCACAACACTGAGTCAGTCCAGAGACGGGAACGTAGCAGCTACCCACTCATGGTTTATGTCTTAGAAAATGCCCCCTATTCCAACACCACTGCGGTCTGGTTTCTACCGGCTTGTTAGTAGAGTGAAGCCACACTGACCGGCCCTCTGAGCTCATTCCCTACCACCAAGGAGGTGGCCTCGACCCAAACGGCACTGCCTAGAATGAGAGTCCTTCCGTCTGCCGTAACTTCTATGGGTGCGGCAGAGCTGGAACAGGGCCATATGGATCTCAAGATCCTGCAAGAGGGTTTGGCGCCTCGAATCCAGCGTGGCACTTGGCACATGTGAGACTGAGCCCCAGGCTCTCTTGTGGGCCTGCACCATCCCGCCATGGAGACGTGTACATGGACTTCCTAAAATGTCCTTGCTTTCTTGTAACTAAACGGTGGCATTACATGGACTCACACGTGGATGTCCCACGCATCTTCTAAATGGCCAGTGCCATTCTCCTTGACGGTGCATTCCACGTCTTCACATGCTCTGTGTGCTCCTGGGGGTGCCGATCACGACACAAGACAGGGCTCGTCTCCTTCCCTGCACCTTCGCCATCTGGCAGAGAGCGTAACGCTGTCCCGTGGACCCGGCTGGCCTCTCCTGTTGAGGGACGCGATTGCAGTGCTGACGGTGAGCTGAAGAGATGAGGAGGAGACGTCAGGAGGCAGCTGAGTTCCCTTCAGGATGCACCATGTAGATGTAGGGCTGGCTCCATCTGCAAATGTGGGTCCTGGGCAATGCATCTCCCCACTTCCTCCTCTGCCGTGCCCCTGGGGTAGATGTTAGGGTCTCCTGGAAAGACCGAGGAAGCCTATCTGTCCATAGGTTGACTCTGGCACTGGGAGACCGTGCTCTGGCCCCTTCAGGGTCCTGATCACTCCCTTAGTGTATGACAGGGAGCCAGGGGAGTGAGGACTGACCTGCCACGTGGCTAGGGAAACCTGCAGCCCTATTGAGGTTGATATTACAGGAGCAGGCTCACGAGGGTGCTGTGCCCTTGGCCAGCGTGGGCTACCTAGAGTTTGTGTGGAGTTAGAATACCCCAAAGTACACTCAGGAGGTCTCGACACGAGACAAGGCTTTGGGAAGGAGTCATGCAACAGATCTATCCATCAAGGGCAGCTGCTTCTTCTACTGATACCTACGCCAGAGTCAAGAGTGCCATCGTGGCCTCTGGTACCAACCAGGGCTCACACCAGTGGGAAAATTCTTTTAGGAAAACCAGTGCTTTCTTCATGTGTGTGGAACATTCCTTTTCATACTCAGCAATCTAATTCATCAACTTAAAAAAAAATCAGTAATCCTGCCTTAAGTTCAGCATGTCTCAGGTGTCTTTTGTTTAGTTGATTTACTCCATGTGTCAAAAAATGTTTCAGAGAATGTTGAATACCCACATGAGTGTGCTTTAGAGTCAGAAAAAAAAATAAGCAAAACCTGTTGGTGAGCTAGAATCTTGTCCTGGATAGTTTTATGTCAACTTCACACAAACTAGTATTATCTGAAAGGAGAAAACCTCCATGAGATCCAGTTGTAAGGCATTTTCTTAATTAGTGACTAATGGGGGAGGGCCAGCCCATGGTGGGTGGGGCCACCCCTGGGCAGGTGGACCTGGATTCTATAAGAAGCAGGCTGAGCAAGCCGTGGGGAGCGAGCCCATAAGCAGCACCCCTCCGTGGCCGCTGCATCAGCTCCTGCCTCCAGGTTCCTGCCCTGCTTGAGTTCCTGTCCTGACTTCCTTTGATGATGAACAGATGTGGGAGTGTGAGCCAGATTAACCCTTTCCTCCCCAGCTTGCTGTGGCCATGACGTTCATGTCATGGTGTTCATCACAGCAGTGGAAACCCCAACTAAGACAGATGTGGGTAAGGAGAGTTCAAATAAGAGTCTCCAGTGTGTCTTGCAAGTCTGGTGCAGCCTGCTCTGCACACACCTCCCTTCTGCTACCAAATGAAAGTTAGCGGTACCCAAGCCAGAAGCAGGATGGTGCTCACCACAGAGTTGCAGCAGGTAGCTGAAGTGTCTGTTGGAATCCTAAGCGCTGGAGATGACCTTTGTTTCCCACGGTGCGTCCATGATCGGAGCCCCTTCACATCCCCTTGTCAAGTCATTTAGGATAGCGTCTGTGTCATCCCCACTGCTGTGATGACATAGTGTGACACACGCATCTTAGAGGAGAAAGGGTTCCTCTTAGCTCACGGTTCCGCAGTCCAGTACCCGCGGGACAGTAGCAGCAGCGGGAGCTTGAGACAGCTGGCCACATGGCATCCACAGTCAGGAGCAGAGGGAGATGGGACCCACGAATGCTCGCTTGCTGGCTTGCCAGCTTATTCTCATCTCAGTTTCTCCGCTCTCATAGAGTTCAGTACCTCCTGCCTAGGACCGCCCCACCCATTGCGGGCTGCGGCTCCCACATCAGTTACCGTAGTTAACAGTCGCACAGGTCAACCAAGGCTGACAGTCCCTCAACAGTCTCTTCCTGGGTGAGTCTAGGCTGTGCCCAGCTGACAAGGCTAACAGTCGCCGACAGCCAGTGTGTTTTCTGCTCCTCAGGTGTTCTTGGTGAGGAAGGTCTCAGGATCGGATGCCGGTCAGCTCTATGCCATGAAGGTCCTGAAGAAAGCCACCTTGAAAGGTAAGGGTCCTGGGAGGGGCCAGTTACTTCCGAGACCCACCACGGCAGTCTTCACTTGGCAGTTTGCGGGAATATGGGCTTTAGTCTTCGTGCTTTCAGGGACCCCAGAGGAGGGCGCCGGGCCCCCGCTTTCTGCTTCGTAAGCTGTCAGCATTTCTCGGGTGCTGTAGCTATCCCCGCGAGGCTTCCTCAGTTTTCAGAGGGAGTTTGCCGCATAAGCAGCGCCCCGCATATACTGCGCTGCAGGGAACCACGTGGGAAAAGAGCAGCGAGAAGGAAGCCGTGGGTGCCGGTGTGCGGCTCCACCCGTAGGCCGAGCGCCACCCGCCACAAGGGATTGCTCGGTTTCACGGGAAACTTGGTTCACAAACGGTGCGGTGCCCCGTGGTTGCCCCAGTGGTTGGGGATAGACAGTCAGTGGACCCGGGAGCTTCCAGCCTCAGGTGTCCCCATCCTCCAAGTGAGGCATGAGCATCAAACCCGAGGGCCCGTCCCAAGCCCAGACTCTGGGCTTACTTTGTACTGATCCAGCCGATTCACCTTATCACTGAGGGTGAACCTTATGCTCCTGACCAGCATAAGGTTCACACCAGCATGGACAAGTGGTATGATGGTGACATGTTAGTGACCTGTATGGCTGATCTGGCAGGAGCACAGGAGCCCATGCTTAGCCCCTTGGGGGTGCTGTGAGACTCAAAAGATGTCAGGGGGCAACTTGGCTCTTTAGGTCTTACAATGTACTGTCCTCAGCAGCAGAGGACTCCAAAGAATGTGTCATTCTGAGCCTTCAACTCACTTTCTGTCTAGCTGGGGAGACGAAGTATATGGTTTCAAGCAACATGTAATGGTTCCATGGGGGCAATAGATCCATGGGTGAAGTATCCACAGACCGTAAACATCTTAGCAAACATTCCTAATAGTGCAGGAAAAATTCTTTCAATGGCTCTAGTGTTTAAAAGGTGTGTGAGGTCCAAGGCCCAACTTTAGAATGGGCAGACTTTTTCTGTAAAAGAGATAAATTATGTTGATCAATGGTTAGAAAATGCAAATGTTGGCTGCTTCTGCCAGCCTGGGAGAGATGTGAATATGCCTAGGGAGGCCCACTCTAAGCAAGTGATTTGTAGATAGGTAGAATGTGGCTTTTTCATAGACCATTCAGATACACGACTCAAGATATGTTTCTTAGAGTTAGCATGATTGACAAAGTCTTGTGGGTGGTATTCAGTCTGTGATAGCTGGTTGTCAATCGGACATCATGGGACGGTCCAAAAGTCTTCACAAAAATGTTAAAGAATTGTTCTTCCTGACTGAGGAAGTATGTGGGAAGCAACTCCGACATTTCATAAGATAAACTTAAGGGTTGTCTCACAGAAACAGACATTACACTAAGATCATTTGAAAGTTCTCAACGTAAACTGCTTCCGCAGTTCTTCAGAGGTGAAGCACATTGTCCAGCGACACAGCTGCTCCACAGAGACAGCTGTGCTGTCAGAGGACAGCCACCACAGCCTTGAGCACAAACGCCAGCCAGTGTGATGTTTAGTCTGTCGTAACCCCCGTCACCGGGAGATACACACCACAGTGTGTCTGTAAGGAGAGGTTGAACTGAGGTCAGGAGACCCACCCCAAATGTGGGTGACACTGACCCATGGGCCAGCTGAAAATGGGAAAAGAGACCTGTGCACCAGCGTTCACCACGCTCTGCAGCCCAGTTGTGAACACAGCACAGCTGTGCACCAGCGTTCACCACGCTCTGCAGCCCAGTTGTGAACACAGCACAGCTGTGCACCAGCGTTCACCACGCTCTGCATCCCAGTTGTGAACACAAGAAGTTGCCGCCTGCTCCTATCACCATCCCTTCCCCTCCGTGGCGCCTCTTCCCCCAAACTGCAAGCCCTTCCTTCCGGAGATTCCTTTCTCCAGCGTTTGCCATCTTGTCCCGCAGTAACAGTCGCATTGTCTGTCCGCAGTGTCTCTTGGCGTTGAGCAGGAACACAGTGCCGATCCGTGTAGCACTGGACCGACATGAGGTCAGGCCGTTGAGAGGAAGAAGGCTGATGTGAAGTCCACATCCAGTGATTCTGCTTTCTCGAGGTTTGAGAACAGACTGACTAACCCGGTTTTGTCAGCGTGGTACGAGTTAGAGATGAGTGAACAGGGAGCCTCAGTTGAGAAAATGCCCCGTCAGATTGGTCTGTAGACACGTTTGTGGGGGCATTTTCTCAGTAATGATTGGTGTGGGGGGCCCACCCTGGGTAGATGGACATGAGTTGTATAAGAAAGCAGGCTGAGCAAAGTCACAGGACACAAACCAGTAAGCAGCACTCCCATCTACATGCGCCAGCCTGTCCGGGCTTCCTTCAGTGATGGGTGTGATCTCCATGTATAAGCCAAGCGACTGCTTTCCTTCCCAAGTTCCTCTTGGCCCTACCACAGCAATAGAAACCAGACAGGACAGGACGCCGAGCCACAGAGGCCGCTGGTGCATCTGTGGCTTCAGAATAGGAGCTGGAAGCACAGGCTTGACTTCTTCACGGGCCCGGACTTCTCAGGGGCGGAGAAGACGTCTTAAAATGCAGTGTGGCAGCGGTGAAGTCCTCAGATCCCAGAGAGGTGCCACCCTCCTGGATTGAAGACGAAAGGTGATGACAGCAGCTGGCGTCATCCATGGTATTCACTCCGAGGATCACACAGTTTCTGATGTTCCTGCCTCCTCCTCCTCCCCAGCTCTGGGATGGAGGTGAATCAGAGTGGAGTGGGAGCCCCCCAGGAGCCTGCGCTGCCGAATGCAGACACAAAGGACCGGGAAGCTGGGCTCTGTGTTCGGCACTCAGCAGCCCTCTGCCCCATCAGAGTGGACCGTGATGCTCAGCCTCTAGCTTCAGTCTCCTGTGCACAGTGAGCCTTTGAAACAATTTGTGATTCAAGCTGAAGTGCTCTTGAGAAATGGCTCCCAATCCAGCTTTGTACATAAGATATGAGACTACATCTCCTGAATGATCATAACAAGTGCCTGTGCTAAATGTACACACACACACACACACTCAGTTACACACATACACAGACATACACACACACACACACACAGACACTCAGTCACATACGTACACAGACATATACACAAATACACACACACACACACACACACCAGCAGGAATATTGTAAACAGCTCTGTCCAGTTACCAAATTACAGAAACTTTTTATTTCTTCTCTGTGAATTGTATGTCTAGTTTTCAGGAAAACCTTTAACTGAGGTGGCAGCTTACAGTTCCAGAGGTTTAGTCCATTATCTTCATTGTGGGGAGCATGCTGGCAGGCAGGCAGACATGGTGCTGGCTACATCTTGATCAGAAGCCAGCAGGAATTGGACTTTGGCACTGGACAAGGCTTGGGCATATATGAGGCTTAAAAGCCCACCCCACAGTGACACGCTTCCTCCAGCAAGACCACACCCACTCTAACAAAGCCACGGCTCCTAATAATGCCACTCCGTGTGCACTGTAAGACACCACAGGTGTCTCTTAATTTTTAGAAACACATATTCTAGAACAGCATGTTTGTCTATGTGTAGTCACATACGTGTGGTGAAATTGAGCCATACAGGCAAAAAGGAATGGGAAAATGTCCCCATCTCCCTGTGCTCCTTCCAAAGTCAGCTAATACCAGACATTATTCTACATTCCACACTCTTCCAGCTTTCTATAATGGGCCATCACCGAGGAATAGGTTTCCCACAGAGATCCAATAGGGTCTCTTTCTTAAGAGAAAACGGAGGAGCCTCACAGATCGGTGTTGTGTGTGTGGTGTCCACAAGATCTGAGATTCCACCATGTTCGAGCCTCCCATGTGCTCCCACTGGGCTTACACCCATCTGAGCTCCGTGACAACAGGAAGGAGAGCATCTACACACATTCGAAGTTGTTTTGCTTCCAACTCCTCTGCGTCCTGTTACCCTGAGTTACTCCAACACCAGTTCCTTCCCATCCCAGTCACACCCCAGTGCGCAGGCCGGGTAATTGTAAGAGATGTGGTAGAGAGGAGAGGTGTGTCTGTAACACCCACGCGTCCTCCCCTTGCCAGTCACCGTCTCTAAGAGTACACTTGCCAGAGAGAACTGCAGTTCATTTGAATAGCAAAACCAGTCTGAAAAGGAAATAAAAAGGGGGCGGGCCTTCCAGAAATCATTTTGAAACTCCCGATTCTTTCTCCACAGTGCGGTGCCGGCCATGTGTGCGGGGGGGGGGGGGGGGGCGGGGAGGGCTGCTGTCATTGGGAAAACTTGACAAAGAGGATAGCAGTTCTCAGGGCTCTATTTTACTTTAAGTTTGGAGCGCCAGGCACAGCCCCCTCCTTTCACTACAAGGTGACAAGCCATTTCTAAAGAGATGTCAACCGCACCACAGCTGAAAGAGAAAGGAGCCAGCAGGTATAGGCTCCTGCTTGCCACCCCAGCAAGGTCCCGTCATCCCAGTCCCACCCCCCAACTTCGTGACAGGATGGTGCTACCTAAGGACCTTTACCGTTTCTGGTGTTCTTGAACTTGGAAAGTTTTGTGACGGAATGAAGTAATTGTGGGCAATGGTTTCATATTGCATGCCTTAAATACAGGGGACCCTGGAGTGTGGCTGCCCACTTAGTGATGGAGGGGGTTTGATGGAGAAACATGTTCCCGTGAGTCCCAATGTTAAACATGTCTGACAGCCAGCCTTTTAGTGTGTTGGTGTGTCTCCGGCACACACACCTCCGGGAAGCTTCTCTGCCCTTTTCTCCATGGGAATCGGCTGGTCTGGCATTGGCCTCGGGATGCAACATGGGCAGCGGTTCTCACTTCTGTCTGTTGTGCAAGTGTCGTATGCTTTGGGAGAAGGCAGGGCTGGTCAGGCTGTGCTCCTGCCATGAATGTCCTGAAGAAGTCAATGGCTGTAAGAATGGCTCGTGGCGACTGGTCCCACGCAGCGCAGAGCGTCCCTCCAGTGTGGAAGGAGTTGTCCACCCGTGGTATTTCTCTGCAGGGCTAATTTGACAGTGTTTTCAGACCTAACTTGTAGTCGTTTGCCCTGAAGGTGGCGTGGACTCTCTCCTCAGGAGATGTGTTCCGCTGCTTGTAAGGGACAATGGTGTCCTCTGGCCCGCTCTCCCCAAGCCAGCGAACGCCAATGGACAGTCGCTGCAATGCCAGCTGTGGGTCTTGGTGGCTGAGGGGCGGGTCTTTGGGAAGCGTGGACACGAGTAAGAAGAGAGAAAGGGACATACGTAGGATACCGTCGCAGAACCTGCTTCTCGTGATGATCCTGCTGTGGCCCGGGCGCACGGATGCATCACCCCACAGATAGCACGCGCCTGCAGGACTCTGGTGACCAGTATGCGCGCATGTGTTGAAGCCACTTGTATCGATTGCAACATCTTGAAATAGTCCCTGGCTGGAGCTGGTTCCAGCCCCCAGAGCGCTGTTTTCAGCACTTTCTGTATTTGTGTGGTCTTAGCTGAGGTGCTTTGTTAGCAACATTGGCTCATTCAGAAACTCAGCTTCCGTGGTTGTCTGTATCTGAACAGTTTGTGTTTCTAAGCTAACTCACTCACTCCGCTCGATTCCCATGTGCGTGATTTCAGATGTCGCTAGGGGCAGGTAGGGTGGCGTGTAAGGCACACTTCAAACATAGGTTTTAAGTGCCCCCTTATCGGTGTCAGGGGACTGAGGGCAAAGCAGCAAAGGTCCCCCAAACACGCTATTCAGAGGTGGTAGAGACCCTGAGTCTGGTGCCCTAACTCCTCAGCTTTCCAGCCTCCCTCCATGGCCTTGTCAGGAACCCACCTGCTGACTTGTTGTGCTTCAAGTATTTACTCTGTCTGGGGTTTATTTTCCCAACGAGTTATGAGAATGACTCTCTTGTATGCCTTCTGCTCTCTGAGGCCCCTGCCAAACAGAACCTCAGCCCTACTGTTCTGATGATGCGACACCTTCCTTGTGGAAGGCTCTGATTGGTTGTTGACCCTCCTGCCTGTGTACCTTGGAGTCTATCACGTGTTGTTGGCAGAACTGCACATCTCGACAGAGAGATGTGTGAACCCACTCACCGCCCCCCATCTTCAGTGTCTGCACAGTGTGTCCCCAGGAGAGGGAAGAGCTTCTGGAAGGAGCAACTTTAACCATCATGTCACTGAAACAGTTCAGTGAGTCGAAACAAAGAGGAATTGTGCCCGGTCAGGCAGCCCAGGTGGTCCCCTTGATTATCTATCGGTTCCTTCTCTCCTTAGACAGCGGGTAATTATCTGCAAAAATTTCTAGGAACTCTGTCACTCACAGGCCATGTTCTGTCATGAGTTTACCCTTCAAAAGCTGGAGCTAGGTGGCTGAACACTCTTCTTTGTTCATACTGAGTGAGCTCAAGGACATTGAGGCATTGCCCCAAGCTAACCCCTGTGTGGACAGAGACCTTACACCTGCATTAGTGCCCCAAGCTAACCCCTGTGTGGACAGGGATTCACCTGCAGTGCTCCAAGCTAACCCTTGTGTGAGATGGGGGGGAGGTTATACCTGAATTAATGCCCCAAGCTAACCTCTGTGTGGACAGGGAACCCCTGTGTAAGTGGGGGGGTCTTACACCTGCATTAGTGCCCCAAGTGAACCCTTGTGTGAGGGGGGTGGTGTCTTACACCTGCACTAGTGCCCTAAGCTAACCCTGTGTGAGTGGGGGGCGGTCTTACACCTTCGTTAGTTCCCCAAGCTGACCCCTGTGTGAGTGGGGGTGGGGTCTTACACCTGCGTTGCCAGCAAAGCTGTCGCCCAGCCTCCTGCCAGCCACCGTGTGGCTCCAGCATTTCGCCCAGAGCGGCTGCACGTGGCCTCCCCTTGACCCTGTGACTTCTCTTCAAGTTAATTTGTGAACATCCAGGTCAGAGGGCCACCTCCAAGGAGTGCGCGCTTACTGTGGGACCCGCACGGTCAGGGTTCTGTGGTCTTCCTCTTCATGCTAGCTCAGTCTCTCCGGGACTGTGGGCACAGCCTCTCGTAATTACCTCTGCTGTCTCATCCCCACAGGCATTTTAATCAGGTCCAGCCATGGGTCTGCACTGTGTGTATGTCCTCCTGCCCCCTTCCTGGTGTCTCATGCCCCTTATGCCCGTGGGTGCTGGCCCTGTGTCACCACAACCTCTCAGCTGCCCCCGGACTGCCCAGCGCAGTGCGCAGCACCTCCACGGCCTCCTGACATGCATTCCTGTCCCTCCACTTCCCTCTGCGCTCACAGGCTTCCCACCGACAGCTCCCCCCCCCTTCATCGCATCTCTCTGCTTGCCACTTCTAGAAGGCAGAGTTTCCGCTTTGCATGCAAGACGCCGGCACAGAGCGCACTGAGCAACGGCGACGGGACGCAAGTGGGCAGGGAGCGAGCGGGAGGGAGAGAACCCTCAAGCTTCGCCACTCAGCGGCCGACTTACAAAAGGCCTAGGAAGACCCGTGCCCATGCCCACTCTGCCGTCTGCACTGCCCCCGATCCCATCATCCCGGGGGTAAGGCTTAGAGCTGGTGTGAACATGACCGCACATCACTCGCGGCTGTGGCTGGTGTGAACATGACCGCACATCACTCGCGGCTGGTGCTGGTGTGAACATGGCCGCACATCACTCGTGGCTGTGGCTGGTGTGAACATGGCTGCACATCACTCGCGGCTGTGGCTGGTGTGAACATGGCTGCACATCACTCGCGGCTGTGGCTGGTGCTGGTGTGAACATGGCCGCACAGATGTCTGAGTTGCTGCTTTCACATCTTTCGGGCAGCCTAGAGACAGAGCTGCTAGGCTACGTGGTTACGCTGTGCCTGACTGCTCCCCAGTGGCCGCACTGCGTTGCGTTCCTAGCTTCAGGTCCAGCTGTGGGTCTGCGCCGCCGGTTTCTCCACATCCGCCGGCATTGGCCACATTCCACTTTACTATCTCTGCACTCTCCTCGGGGAAGGGCTTCTTTAATAGCACTTTAAGTGTGTACATTGCCACTCTAGATAGCGATGAACAATGTAATGCGATGCGCTTGTCGCCGTGGGCATTCCAGATGCTCAGCCCTTACTCACAGAGGTCATATGAGACCACTTGGATGCTGCCTCCTGGGCATACCAGTCAGCCTGTGGGCTCTTAGCATTGCTCTTATTCTCAAGTGGTTTGTCAGTCTATTTTCTGTGTATTTGTTTTGCCTCAAAGCTAATTATGTCTGTATTCCACATGGCTGAATGTGAGACAGTATGAATACTGAAAAGAATTTGTAACACACACACATACACACACACACACGCACACGCACATGCACGCACGCACACATTCAACACACCCCTCTGTAGTTCACAGTCACCTCATTGGACAGAGACAGAATTGTCCTCTTATTTCCTCTTGTATCAGAAATGAAAAAAGTACCACTTTGTAACTTGTAATGGTTCAGCAAGGACCCCAAATGAGTGCTAACACCGTTGAAGTTAGGAAGTGTGCAGGTCATTGTGTGTCCGAGTGTCACTCCTGGGTTGCTTCTCCCTTGCAAGAGGGTGGACACTGGAGAGTGAGTCCTTGCCAGCTCCTCCATTCCTCCATTCAGCATCATGTGGAGAAGGTCAGCCCCATGCCTCTTTCTGACCCCAGAAGGGTTAGGTAGAGGTCTCACCTGCTCACCAAAAGTGTCCAGCTGCAGTCCTGCAGAGACTCCGCCCCTGACCTCAGTTCATGACAAGTACAAGTTAGAGGAACCAGCTGAGCTCCAGTCAGACAGACCACGATGTAAACCGTTCTGCAAGAAATCTGGCCTGCACTTACTAAAAAGATCAAGGGCAGGAGGAAGGTATGAGATTATTCCCTTCAGGATGCAAAACAGATACAGCAACTTAGCCACCGACACAATAAGGAAACAGCCCTTGGCGAGGCCCAAGGCGGAGGAAGTAAGCTGCAATGGTAGGGGGTGATAAGCATGGACTGAAGGCCAGAGACGCCACCTGATGATGGACAGTAGAGTCAGTGAGAAGCAGCCCTTATTCCTAAGGCACTTGAGTAGATTGTCCTACGAGGGAAGTGTCACGGTGTCTACGGTATGTCCTCAATGTTTCTGGTAAAAGGATAAGGGCTAGAAACAAGGAAGCAAACATGTCGAGATGTATGCATCCATCCCTTAGATCTAGGTGAGGGTGCGAGAGGCCGTTTGCAAGCTGGCTCATTGGCTGTTTGTGTATCCGCGCCTCGAACTCTCCTCCCGCGCTCTGAAGTGAAAGCCTTTTGTTTTTGTTGTGCAGTGCGAGACCGGGTCAGATCTAAGATGGAGAGAGACATCCTGGCAGAAGTGAATCACCCTTTCATTGTCAAGCTGCATTATGGTAAGTGCGGCAAGTGTGACGTGCTTTGAGGGGGACCTGGGTGACGTCTTTGATCCGAGGAAACAGAGATAATAACAATTGGTCCTAAAGAAGAGGATCCTCACCATGTCAGGCTCCTGTCTCGTGTAGAGACAAGGGTCTCTTAAATCCCCACCCGTCGGTCTCTTTCCTGTTTGTTTATCCTGAAAGAGCGAGAGGCCCTTCTTCATCCCATAGACTGCATGAGATGGGGCTGCCCATTATAGAGGCATCACCACGGCCAGTCTGGCACAAGGGTCTCCACCTGGTGAGACAGGATGGGGAATGAGGAGAGGGAGAACAGTGCAGTGAACCCCAGACTGCCATTCGGGGAAGGCTGTCCTTTGGGGCTCTTGTCAAGCATTTCACAGACCTACGTTTCTGTTCTGTTCTCTGCCTTTGTGTTATCGGAGGAGCAGGAGGAGGCAGAATCCATAAATGGTGGCTACTCAGTCACGAACCCCACAGAGCGCTTTCCTTGTTAAGGGACTTGTGTTAGTCAAGGATGGAAAAGGACCAGTGGTCCCTGTAAACAGGAAGCAAAGGCATGAGTGTCCCCAGGTGGAATGGGGAGACTTCGAGACCAAGAGAACAGGTCAGGCCTGCCTTGAGCCACATGGCATGCCCTTCAGAAAGAACGAAGCTTGGCTCCTCTGAGGGCTGAAGTGTCAGGCGAGATCCTCAGTCTTGGCAGCCATGGTTAGAGCCTCACCCCGCTCCGCTCAGGCGGAACAGCCTGGCTCCCTCCCTCTGCTGTCCTGCCCCAGCTGCTGCTGGGCTGTGCTTCTCAAATTTGCTTGCCATCCCCTCTCAGGCCATGCTCACCGTCTCAGGATCATCCAGTTCCGGGGTGTGTGCGGGGGGGCCAGGCTGTTTCCACGAGGAAGTTAAAACCTGGGCGTCTTACACAGACTTTTCAACACATGTTCTGCATTCTTCTGTTCTCCACTGCCCCTCAAGGCCCACCCTGCTCACACTGCAAAACCAATAGCCCCAACTAAGGGTCTCCAGTTAGGGGCCGTGCTTCTAAATGCGGGCATTCATAATGGTCCTGGAGCTTTTAGAAAATGAAAAAAAAATTCAACACACAGAAATCGCAGGACCCTCTGGCCTGGTCTATAAAACCTGATGCCAAGTGATGCTTGCTTTCTGGTGGTGTCCTGATCATCATGATTGATGACCCTCCCTGACACTGACCTGGCCACCGATGCTGACAGACCCTCCCTGATACTGGGCTGACTACCAACACTGGGCTTTGGGAGAACAGAGATCCAATGGCCAGAGGGAACGATGTTTGTCTGCGAAGCGCTCAACTGTATCTCCTCCCACAGCCTTTCAGACTGAAGGCAAGCTCTACCTGATTCTGGATTTCCTGCGGGGAGGGGACCTCTTTACCAGACTCTCCAAAGAGGTAAGTGACCCGATAGCCCATGGTGACGTTGTGTCTAGGGGAACGGGAAGGAAAGAACATCGAGGGAGATGGGCATGTGAGGTGTCATGTGTGTGATGAGTCATGTGGGCCCTGTGTCATGCATGATGTAGCACAGGATGTGTGGTGTGCGGCGTGTGGTCCGTGTGATGGAAAGTGTTTGATATGCGATGCCTTATGAATGTGTGGTAAATGTGTGTACCAGCCATGATCACACACACCCATGACCCCCAGCACTCAGGAAACTGAGGCAGGAGTTTAACCTCAGTGCCCGCTGAGCTACAGGGTGAGTTCTGCATCGCTGCACCAACGCCTTCTAACCCTGTGCCTCCCACGCTTGCAAGGTCTTGCAAACAGGGCCCTCCCGAACTTTGTGTGACTGTCCCTCAAAGCACTGTCCCCTGTCCACAGCCCCCGCCCTGGGAGGAAGGGGTGACGCAAAGTCCATGGAGCATCTGGGGACGGCCGCGTTTGATGGCATCTCACTCCCCGTCCTCGAAGGCACAGTTGATGCCGTGTGGACCTCTCCCCTGGGCAGTGCCCCTGTGAGTTTGTGTTTAGGAGCATCTCATGCTCACTGGACGGGCCTCATTGGCTTCTAGCTGCAGAGTCACTTTTGCAGAACCGCACTTGAAGGCACCGCGTCCCTCACGACTCGTAGAGCGCTGAGCTAGCTTTGTGGGATGAGGAAATCCAGTGCTCTGTCAGTAGCAACAGCGTTCTTGCCTTCTCACTTGAACGATTCTGTAAGGCTCCGTACACAGAGTAGAGACCCGGCAGCGAGCTAAGGGAATGCTCCTCACGTTTTCTCAGCGGAGTGCTCTGGATTTGCCCGTGACGGTGGCTCTCACATCACCCCCCTTCCCTCCACCTTCCCAGGTTTTCAGTAGGCATGCCTTGCTTAAAACTCCAGACAAACAGCAGATCAAGGCAGAGCGTGTGGCCAGGCAGGAAAGGACTCCCAGAGGCTGCGGGCTGTTCTCCCTTCATTTCCTGGAGGTCCCTGGAGCAATGGCAGGGGAAATTCTGGCCTCTGGCGATGGGACCCTCGGCTCCTCTTAGCTCAGGGAACCTGACCTGCGGTCTTCTTCTGTTCAGCATCTGGCGGGACAGCCTGTGGCTGGGCTTCTTGACCAGAAGACAATGGGAAAAAGCCCTGTAGCTCTCGCAGTGGTATGTGTGAGGTTAGCGCAGAGGGGTAAGGTGGCCACATCTGGGCACTTGGGCTCTTGGGGGGGGGGGAGGAGTTGGAAGCACGCCAAGCCCTTTCCTGGTGTTCTGTCCTTCTGCAGAGCACTGGACAGCGGGCTGCTGTGTGTGCCCACCATGATTGCTTCCAAGGACTCACCTGTGGGCAGTGCATGTGTAAAAGCTTTGGAAACTGCAAGATGTACCCTGAGGTCTGGGAAAGCAGAAAGAGACAATGACTCTGTGTATTAAATGCATTCAGTCATAGAGGGGGAACTTGGCACATGGCGGGGTTTGACTGTGCGAAACCTAGTGAGTGTATAAGCCAGTGTCAGCACTCCCAGAAAAGAAACAGGCAAGAGGAGAGGGGCTGTCGGTCATACACAAGAAATAGAATAGAGCTGGAGGGGTGCTGGGAGTTGGAGAGGGTCCATAGTCCAGGGCTAGCTCCTAGGGGTCCCAGCTGACACTTTGCAGGACCTAAGGCAGGTGTCCTTAATAGGAGCTGAGAGCCCGGTCTGCTTGGCTGGTGACATTCACCACACAGTCCCATAATTCACTCATTTTAGCTCTGGTTTCATGCCACATTCAGTTTGTATGTGTGTGTGTGTGTGTGTGTGTGTGTGTGTGTGTGCTTTCAAAGAAAGTCCAGTGATAATATAGACTACAGTCTCTTCTACATGGACGTCTCATGGTAATTGTGAAAGTGGTTTTCAAGGGTGTTGGGGAGATGGCCCTGTGAATGAAAGAAGACACCTGAGATGACCTCTGGCCTTTATGCACATATGTGCAAACATATTCATCTGCATATACGTGCATACATACTAGAACATGTAAGGATGGGCCCTCCTGTTGATGTGAGTGCAAAGCATGAACAGGAGAGGAGAAAGGGCTGTGGGCTCGTGTTCTGAAGGTCACTGGCCCCAAGGCATCTGGATACTCTAACTGGCCTGGAATGCAGCACCAACCCCAACAATCACAGGCCCCTCCCTCTCCCGTCAACACACTGCACTCGGCAGAGTGCGACCCTCTGTGCCAAGGGCAGGTGGTCAGGCTGCCAGTTTGCACACCAGCCCAGGGGAAAGACAGAAGAGGGGAGGGAGAAAAAAGTAAAACTGGAGACCCATTTTCTGTGATCCTTCAACCTCCACAATGTGGCTTGGTTACTTGAATTACAGCATCCATCGTGAATTCGCACCAGAGCATCCCTGATAAGATGGGAGCCCGGGGTTGCACTGCAGCCCGAGCAGTTTGCAGATTAAGGGCAGGCTGAGGTTGCGCTCACAAGGCTGACCAAATCATGTACCTCAGAGCACAGCCTGCAGCTGCGAGAACCCTTCTACATTGGGAGTGGCAGGAGCGTGTTGTGGGAGAGCCGGGATCTCCACATGTGTGCTCTGGAACAGCCCTGGTTTCTCTAGACGGGACAAGCTGAACCTCAGTCCTTTCCCACCCCCCAGGTCATGTTCACTGAGGAGGATGTCAAGTTCTACCTGGCTGAGTTGGCCTTGGCTCTGGACCACCTTCACGGCCTGGGGATCATCTACAGGGATCTGAAGCCAGAGAAGTAAGAGGAAAGGCATTCACAGCCTACTCTGCTGCCAGCCCGTGCGGTGGCCGTTACCTAGGATCTGTTTTCCACGTCAGCAGTGGGTGGGGCACAGTGCCGTGGGGGTGGGTCCCATGCTGGAGTTCCAAGAAGGCTAAGCGGATGTCACCTCCCTACCTATGCAGGTGCTCAGCCAATGCAGGCCTTTGCTGATCATTGTACAAGTGCCCACTCCCGTGGGAGGCCAGGCCACACCCGTGCTTCAGCATGCAAAGATGGCCGGCCAGGCGGGGCCTGAGACTGACTGCACATACCCCTCCCCCGTCCAGCGGCTTTTGCCACCAAGACATCTGTCCCCATCACTAGCCTCTCCCTCCCCCTCCTTCTGTTGTCATTCAGGCTCGATACCTTCCAGCAACTGCCCCGAGTTCCAGGGACATGGTCAGTTAGCTCTTCCAAGACGGCTAACTGGGAGATGGGTCAGATTAGTTCTCTCAAGGGATCCGCTGAGGGACAGTGGCCACAGGGTCCCCAGGTTGGTGTGTATTTGGGGCTGAGAATCTGTCATTCATTTGTTAATCTAGTCTAAATTAAAACAGGAACTGCCCTGCAGAGCCACGGGACTTGGGGCTCTGATTTCCTTCACGCATGGTCAGCGAGGGGCAGAACTGACCGGGCAGCGAGCGCTAACTCGCACAGACAAGAAAGGACTTGGGAGGCGGTCCTTTAGGCCCCTCTGACCAATCATACAGTGGCCCTGGCTGAGTCCTAACACCCCCAAAACCTCAGCCACACTTGTCTCCAAAGGAGGTATCCCACCAGGACAGCCCTAAGCCACACCCCGAGTTCAAGCTATCACGTGGCCAGGATGGCTGTCCCCCTGCTTCTCCATCTCTTCTACCTGCACTACCCTAAGATAAAGACAGCGGCCTTCCTGAAGGCGTGGCTATGGTCTGGGTTGGCTGAAGCACCTGTTTGTGTGTGCGGTCTGTAGGTCTGATTAGCCGCCGGTCACCAGATCACAGTCACCAGAGTGCCACGGGCTGATCCTATGAATCTAAGTACAAGTGGCCCGCCCTCAGGAGCCCTCAGGGAGTGGGAACTTGTGACCTATATCCAACTCCTCCATGGGCAAGAGGGGGAGGCCAGAAAGACGCCTCAGAACAGGTCTGATGTCATGACTCCCCTCACCCACCCGTTACCACCGAGAAGGTGATCACCGAGCTTGGCTTGTTCCCAGGGCCCGTGCCAATCCTGGCTTGTTCCCAGGGCCCGTGCAACACTTATCACAAGCTTACCTCACATTAATTGATATGGAGTCCATGAGGCTATACAAATCTGCCTCTACAGCAATGTCCCCTACGGAAGACTTCTGTGTACTAGGATCCACTCTGGGCACTGAGATCCTGGCTCCCACTCCCTTGTGCAGGCTGAGATGGTTCTGGAAGCTGAACACAGTGCCATTTAATTACAGGATAAAGACAAAGATTTTGTGGTCCAATTACAACCACTTGGGAATGAATCTTGAAAGTCGCTTAATTCCAGACAGAGGTTCAGTATGACTGAGAAGCAAGGAGGCAAAACATTTGCCTCTTTGATTATAACTTATCATCTTAATTAATATCCCGTAACCGTTTCCACAGAACACTGGCTGTTCTTTAGCCCTGCGGCAGACAGTTCTAATGCTGCTGATGCACAGAGAACAACATTTACCCTTTATGCGTGGCTGAGGGCACAGCTAAGTGACCATAGCAAGTCCAAGTCACCGCTCCTGTCGCCAGAATGGTTTCCAGCCTGCGGAGCTGCTGTGACTATCCCAACTACACTCCACACAGCTCACTTCCGCCCCACCCAACCCTGGCAACCCGTTCTGTATGATGTGAGGTTCAGGGCCTTGCGTGAGTGGAAACCCAGGCTTGTGGCAGGCTTCCCCACCCCTTGGGGGGCATTGTTTCCTTCCTCTCCAGCCCCTGTCCCATTTCCTTAGGGTGGATGGTACTTCCTGGGGTCCCATGTAACAGAATGTACAGCAGTCCTAAAGACAGGTAGAAATGCTGGAGCCCCGCGTCTCAGGTTGACAGAGCCGCTCAGCCAAGGGTCAAGGGGGAGGGGCGGGTCTTTCGTGGGATGAGGCATTCCGTACATCTTTGGGATAGCTGTCGAGGAGGAGCAAAGCAAAGGCCGGCTCGTGATGTGAGGGTCCCCAGAGTCTAGGCGCTCTGGTGCTGCCAGGCTGGTCCTAGGTTCTGTCACAAGTCAAAGCCTTGAGCAGCCCAGAATCCCTTTGCTGAACCCCAGCCATGCATGACCCTCTCCAGAGGCCAGGATTGGTCGCAAGAGCTGGGGCCAGCCCCAAGACAGTCTGAGATTCTGAGAAGATGGCCTCCCAGGGCCAGGAAATCTCCTCTGCAAAGGCCGTTGGCATCTGTGGGCCAGAACACTTCAAGAACCCACTCTTCTGTATTTGGAAGGGGCCCAAGGGTTCCAATCTGATGACTCAGGAATGGGCAACCCCACAGGCTCGTGACCAGACTCCTTGGTTTCCTCCTCCAGGCTCCTGCCCAGGCTCCTTGGCTCCCCTCCTCCAGGCTTGTGACCAGACTCCTTGGTTTCCTCCTCCAGGCTCCTGCCCAGGCTCCTTGGTTCCCCTCCTCCAGGCTTGTGACCACACCCTTCTGTCCCATCCTGAGCTGGTCCAGGCTATTGGACACAAGCCAGCCATAAGAAAACTTATCCAGGATGCAACCATATCAGAAGCCCAGGCGCTGGGCAAGAGCATCTCAGCTCCATGGGGCTTTTCTTGACATCTCTGTGCCAGGGGACTGTGAGCTCTTTTTTTCCCTCTCTCTGAGATCTGTTTTCTTTCCCTTTCTTCTAGTATCCTCCTGGATGAAGAGGGACATATTAAGATCACAGGTTGGTAAAAAAAAAAAGTACACATCCTTATATCCCTTCATCACTTATCAGCCCTGATAAATTTGTGGCCACTTCGTAAGAGCCTCTTGTCTCGTCTCTGACCTGGCTGAAGTTTTGGCGCCCCTCAACCCGCAGTCACCCCATGACGGACGGTACGTGGGAACAGCCCTCTGGGTATTCACTACCAAGAAGTAAACCCCTTGCTACTGTGACAAGGCACATTGTGTGTGGGGGAGGGGGTAGGGATTCAAAGCTTTATAAAAAAAAATCCCCTCTTTGTAGATCTTAGCCTCGGGAACTGGCCAGGCACTGGAAGCGCATTAAGCCTGACTAATGCAATGTTCTGAGACCCCCGTGGTCTCTGGGGGAGGTGATGTGCATCCGGGGGTCAGTCCACATGGACGCAGGACTGTGGCTCAGAGGCTCAGACCGTGCTGTGTGCTGTGCTTGTGTCTAGATTTTGGCTTGAGCAAGGAGGCCATTGACCATGACAAGAGAGCCTATTCGTTCTGTGGGACTATCGAATACATGGCGCCCGAGGTGGTGAACCGGCGGGGACACACACAGAGTGCTGACTGGTGGTCTTTCGGTGTGCTCATGGTAAGGGTTCGTCCCCTCCTGTCGTCTGTAAGGGCTCCGTTCCCCAGCTGAATTCCTCCTCCCAGCTCCACCCAGAGTCGCTGGAAGCAGGAGGGAATCGGGGCTTGGAAGGCCCTGGCCCTGCCTCTTACCTGCTGGGGCAGGGGATGCATTTGAGAGCAGCCTTCCCTGCAACTGTCCTGGTTCCCTGGGATGGAAGTGCTTAGGTTGTTAAATTTGGCATGCACCAAAAAGCGTTCATGGAGCTAGCCAGTTTTATGTTTGCATCTAGAAATGCTGCTGCCCATTTTCCAATCTGGGCAATTCTCCTCCCCATCCTCCTCCTTCCCCCACCCTAGCTGGACACCATGCTCATGACCCCTCACGTCTCCCTGTAGGCAGATTCTGTTGCTGTGGGATGTAACATCAGCGACAGCCAAGGTCAGGGCATTTCCCAGCACCCCTTTAGTTTGAAACGTTAGCAACAGAAGATGCTGAGACCATGAGACCCTCGGTAGACGCAGTGAGATAAGCTTAGGCAGCTCTCAACATGGTCCTGCGCATCCAGATGCATGCCTTTCATAGACACGGCCACCTGTCACCCCCCACCCCAGTGGGACCTGTTGCTGGTATTTTCCTTTCTCTATCAGGTCCCGCCGCCCTTCAGCCCCAAATCAGCACACAGACGCTAGATTAATTATGAATCTGTTGGCTGGGGCTTCGTACTGGCCAGCTCTCTCTTAACTATTAACCCATAGCTACTCTGTGAGGTCCCATGTGGGAACTTGGCCCACTTCCCCATCAGCCTGGGAGCAGGCAGCTGTAAGACAATGTTTACTAAAAACATGTTTACTGAAAACAATCCGGTGCCCTAAGAAATGTTTACCGGAGCAATAAGTTCCTGATAAGGGCTCGCTCACTGAAACACCCTGACTTTCATCTTTCCAATGGCTAGCCGCCTGTTCCTGATCCCCCGCACAGACTCTGGTGTCAGAGGCATATGACCAGCCAAGGGTAGAAAGGCGGAAGCTTTTCTTGAGGGAAGCCTTTCTTGGGAAGCTTTCTTGGGCCTTCTTGGGGCCGGCTTAAAGTTTTCTTTGCACCACCGACTGGTCTCTGTGTCATCAATCCCGACACCCTCCGCACATTCTCAGATACAGGCAGCGCAGCGGGCGCGGCAGTCCCAGGAGGTGCTGTCCACCCTGAGGGGCGGGGGAAGGCTGCCACCTGCCATAGGCTTACACTCACACGTGCTAGCTGTGCACCATGAGGAGTGAATCACGCAAAGGTGGCAATAATGCTGTTTACGATGATCCAGACCCTGGAGGCAGCAGCTGGAGTACAGCTCTCGTCTGAAGAACCCCAGCCTGTGGCCACAGGTTGTCTCGAAGTGCCCCCCCATCCTGATTGAGAGGGTCTCTTTCACATGTGCTGAAGAGGCAGCTACCTTCGCTCTCTTCCGGGCGATGCTCGCACAGCTGTGCTTGCATGCAAACCCCTTTTTCTTTTGATCCCTTTGCACAGTGGTTCTCAGTCTTCCTAATGCTGCAACACTTTAGTAAAGTTCTTCATGTTGTGACCCATCCCTAGCCACAAAATTATCCCGCTGCTACTTTGTAACTGTAATTTTGCTGCTGCTATGAATACCTATGTAAATGTTTGATGTGAGACCCCTATGGGGGTTGCGGCCCATAGGTTGAGGACCACTGTTGTGGCAGGGTGATAGGTTCTTGCTGGTAGGAAAAAGGGGGGTTGGGGGTGATGTTCCTCCCTTGAACTTCCTACAGGCTTTACTGAATGGTCTGAAATCTCCTTTGCTGATTCTGGGCTGTAGGTCAGGAGTGGGTGCATCCTTGCAGCCCTGCATTCCTGGAAACTCAAGCCCCCTCAGGAGCAGGCTGGCCCTGCTCTACGTCCAGGCTTCCCCTTGGTCAGGCAGCTGTTGTGGCAAGCAGCCTGCGCACAGCAGTGCTGCAGATAAACCTTGGTCTTGTGCGGGAGGTCATGGACTCCGGTGCTCTCTGGCAGGGCAGCTGGCAGGGGGCTAAGAACAGGGGTGGACCCCGATATTAAGTCCTTCCTACCAGACAGCTTCCCCATATAGTCCCGGGCAAGACCTGGCTACCTTCCTGACCCCAAACTGTGCCTGGATCACTCTCTGTAGCTCCTTGGCATTCTGGTAGGTCACCACACTACATATGTCTTCTGTAGATGCTCAGACCCCCTGGCACAGCAGCCCTGTACTCTTCAGTCTGCTTCCCAAGGACAATGGGAATACGGTAGCCCACACACACACAATATGTCCCATGATCTTTACCCCGCCTGGGTCTCCCTCTCTCTCCCAGGGTTTGAAAAGCTGAGGCAGGGAGTTAGCTCCTGCTACGGCTCCTGTAGTAGCTGCCACACCTACCCACCAGGAGCCACTGTGGTCCAGGTTCTCAGGCAGAGGGGACAGTCCTCTCCTGATGGCTCAGTTGTTGGATGGCATGAAGGGAGAGAGGGGAGAGGGGGAGAAATGGGCAGAGAGCACGGACTCTGGTTGTTACAGCCACCACTGAAATCCACAGAGACATCACTATGCAAATGTTGCCACCCATTGCCCCGGGTACCAATCAGCACCACGGTCCCCAGACCTAGAGGTGGGATTGAACCGCCACAGGTGAGAAGAACCCTTCCTGTTTGACTCAGTCACAGGCTCTTTCTTGGAAATGGGGTTTCATGAGTGCTATGAATAGGCTCCAAGGAAGAACCCAGCAGCCAGAGTTCCCCTCACAGGCAGCCTACTTTGAGATGGTAATTTCTATAATCAGCTTATGAACGCTCATCCTGTTTATCAGATGAGCCGCACATCTCCCAGTCAGAGCGCCCGGCCTTTCATTTTAATTACGGCTGTCTATTTTTAAACTCTCATCTGGACTCCGCTGCTCTCGCCTTTTCTCACGTGTGTGTGTGTGTGTGTGTGTGTGTGTGTACACGTTTGTCACTGCCTGCAGCCTGACCTCCCGTGCACTTTTGTTTAATCAGCACGCCAGACTGTCAGCCAGTTCAGTGTGCCAGGGTGGGGCTTCAGCCACCGGCACTGGCAGGGGCTTGTTCAACCCCTTTCAAAGTTGGTTTACAGAAAGAAGGCCGGTAGCAAACTGCAGCCGACCATCTCATTCCTCTTCCACTGACGCCTTCCTATCCGACGAGCCTCACTCCCACTCTCGTGGGAGGTGAAATGACTAAAATTCATTATGTAAATGTTTGAAACTGTCAAACAATAATAAAGAGATTTAAAAAAACTGTAGCCTCCTTATCTCTCTAGGTTTATGACTTCACTCTGATAGTCTGTCAGCGATGGTTAGCCTTCGTTGTCACCTCAGCCGACTTTGGAACCACCTAGGAGACACACTTCTGGCTGTGTCTGTGGGGCATTTCCAGAGAGGCCTAGCCGAGAAGGAAAGACCCCCCACACACACACAGACAGCACCATCCGCAGACTGGAGAGGGAGACAGGAAGAAGCCAGCTAAGCACCGCCATCTCTCTGTCTGCTTCCTGACTGTGCACACGGTGCGAGCATCGCCTCTCGCTCCTGCCTCCCCGCTCCCCTCCAGCGCTGGTCGCCTGCAAACCCTGCCTTCCTTGAGTTGATTCTGTCAGTTGTTCTCCACAACGATGATAAAAGTTAACGTATTGTTACCACACGCCTGAAGTTCAGGAAACTTTAGTCCAGTACATTTCAGTCCAGTGCCATGGTTCTCAGCCTTCCTAACGCTGTGCACTAACCTTTAATACAGTTCCTCACGTTGTGGTGACCCCCAGCCATGAAATCATCTTGTTGCTACTTCATAACTGCAATGTTGCTGCCGATATGAATTATAATATAAATATCTGATATGTGACCCTCAGGCTGAGATCCCCTGCTCTATTGTGTTCTGTTGGTGGGATCCTAGCTGGTGACATCTTAAGTGCCCAGCAGTAGGTACCTTGTTGAACGCTGACTCATCCACATATAATGTGATGCTACATAAGTTTTGTAGTAAGCATGGACAGTTTTGTACTGTAGGAGGTCCCTGCAGTGGGTGTCTTTAAATGCTGGCTTCAGGCCCATTGTCTTGGTCTTTGTACTTGTGTCTCCCAGGATTTTCACAATGAGAAGCAAAGACCTGGGCCGTAAGTTGTTAAGAGACAGAGGCAGGTGCAGTGAAAATATCAAGACCCACAGGCTAACTGTGACGGGTTGAAGCCTCCAGGTAGGCTGCTGCCTCATGTAGATCACAGGGAAAGACTACCTCACGTGTACAACTGGGGTTTGCTGCTGCTGTCACCTCTCTCATGACAGCAATGCTGGGTGTGGTGGTAGTGGTGGTGGAGGTGATGGAGGTGGAGGTGATGGAGGTGATGGTGGTGGAGGTGATGGAGGTGATGGAGATGGTGATGGAGGTGGAGGTGATGGTGGTGGTGGTGATGGAGCTGGAGGTGATGGAGGTGATGGTGATAGAGGTGATGGAGGTGATGGTGATGGAGGTGATGGTGATGGAGGTGGAGGTGATGGAGGTGATGGTGATGGAGGTGATGGTGATGGAGGTGATGGTGATGGAGGCGATGGTGATGGAGGTGGAGGTGATGGTGATGGAGGTGATGGTGGTAATGGAGGTGATAGTGATGGAGGTGGAGGTGATGGTGGTGGTGGTGATGGAGATGATGGTGATGGAGGTGATGGTGATGGAGGTGATGGTGATGGAGTTGGAGGTGATGGAGGTGATGGTGATAGAGATGATGGTGATGGAGGTGGAGGTGATAGTGATGGAGATGATGGTGATGGAGGTGGAGGTGATGGTGATAGAGGTGGTGGAGATGGAGGTGGTGGAGGTGATGGTGATGGAGGTGATGGTGGTGGAGGTGATGGTGATGGAGGTGATGGTGGTAATGGAGGTGGAGGTGATGGTGATGGAGGTGATGGTGATGATGGTGGTAGAGGTGATGGAGGTGATGGTGATGAAGATGATGGTGGTGGAGGTGGTGGAGGTGATGGTGATGGAGGTGATGGTGATGGAGGTGGAGGTGATGGTGATGATGGTGATGGTGATGGAGGTGATGGTGATGGAGATGATGGTGGTGGAGGTGGTGGAGGTGATGGTGATGGAGGTGATGGTGATGGAGGTGGAGGTGATGGTGATGGAGGTGATGGTGGTAATGGAGGTGGAGGTGATGGTGATGGAGGTGATGGTGATGATGGTGGTGGAGGTGATGGAGGTGATGGTGATGGAGATGATGGTAGTGGAGGTGGTGGAGGTGATGGTGATGGAGGTGGAGGTGATGGTGATGGAGGTGATGGTGGTAATGGAGGTGGAGGTGATGGTGATGGAGGTGATGGTGATGATGGTGGTGGAGGTGATGGAGGTGATGGTGATGGAGATGATGGTGGTGGAGGTGATGGTGATGGAGGTGGTGGAGGTGATGGTGGTGGTGGCAGTAGAGGCGGCCACGGTGGTAACTGTAGGATCCGAGACCTCAGCCCCTGGAGCACAGAATCAACACTGCCTGTGTGACTGAGAAACCCACAGTCAGCAAGGGCTGCCCTCGGGCCCCGCCTTATCTCAGCTCTCCTCCTGGCCAGTGCTGCTTTCGTGTGTGGGAGTCAGTGTGAGAGATTCCTGGTGCCACGCTGTCCCCATCAGATGTTGTTAATGGGCCGCACCCAGGATCCTTCCCACCACAGACAAAGATATAGAGCCTGCAGGGGTCAGTGCAAGCCGTCTCCCGCCTGCCCCTCCTCCTTCCCCGCCCCTCCTCTGGATACTTCTGACCCCTCTCCTGCTGCCACAATCCAGCAGCACCCACCGGGGAAAGGCAGTCCCTAGACCACATGTAGTATAGTCATTGGCTATGCCCGTCCTTCCTGCTTCTCTCCAGCTGGAACGGGAACCTGAGGCCAGGGTCCTCAATGCCAGACCATGTGGCTGTGGTCCCACCGGCTGATGAGGTTGGAGATGAAGGAACAAACTCATCTGCTCTGTTTTGTTCTACAGTTCGAGATGCTCACAGGGTCCCTGCCGTTCCAGGGGAAGGACAGGAAGGAAACGATGGCTCTCATCCTCAAGTGAGTGCGGGCACCCAGGGTATGTGACTCCACCCGGGAGCAGAGCGTTGGGCTTCTGTGTGTGTAGCTGAGGAAGAAGAAGGGCTGCTGGGTTCCTTCCAGTGGGAGTCATGGTATTGGGCAAGAGCCATCTGCGCTCTCATAATCACCACGGATGGGCATGTGCTGGCTGTGTGTGGGAACCCTGGCTGTCCTGGAAGATCGACTGTGGGACCCTGGTGAACTTCCAGACTTAGACAGAGACAAACTCACATAGACTGGCCAGTGCTGGCTTCCTGATGGTGTGGCACTGATCTTCCGGGTGGCTTAAGGATCTGAGGCAGTCTCCGAGAGGGCACGCGGGCAGGGCTTCCGTTCTTCCTGCTGACCCTGCGTGGCGTGGTTACCTGCACCCCACCTGACTGAGGCTGGCGCAGCTTCCTGCAGACCCCTTTGCCTAAAGAGCAGGAGTGCTCTCGGAACCACACAAGAGGTGGTCAGACCACCGTCTGACCCTTGGCCACCTGCCATGAAGTCGTAGACGAGCTGGGGATGAGCATAGGAGAAGGGGGGAGACGGGAACCCCAAATCAATAAGGGTTCCACCGAGAAGGCAACACTGCCCTTGTAGCCACCGCCAGAATACTGGCATGGAAGGGCATTGCTACACTTAGGACCTTCCTCCCGTATACACAGGACAAGGGGTGGACTGAGGAACCTCTACCGCAAGGACACATCACTAAGCCTTGTGTTGTTCAGAATCCCCCTGTGGCTCTTCCAGATCAGCCAGGGAGCCTGTGTGCGCGTATCCATGGTGACTCCTGGGCAGCTGCCCTTAACTGTACCCTGTGTCTTTGTGGGAACCCCTCTGTTGATCCATGCAGACTCCTGTGCAGCTGCCCATAGCTGTGCCCTGCGTCCTTTCGGGGACACCTCTGTTCCCTGGGTCTTAATGGGAGCTTAATTGACTTTTGATGAAATCTGGAGCAGTCCCTCCGGCAAACCAGCACGGCCCCGTGCCTGAGCGTGAACTGACCCACAGCCCAGACGGGTTTATCCGTGTTCTCTGCCTCCTCACCTGTGTCCCATTCTGTCTTCCAGAGCCAAGCTGGGCATGCCACAGTTCCTCAGCGTGGAGGCCCAGAGCCTGCTGAGGGCCCTCTTCAAGCGGAATCCCTGCAACCGGCTAGGTAAGCGTCCCCACGACACCCCCTCCTGCAGGAGTGCAATGGGGCTGTACTCTAGACTTAGGGATGTAGGAGGGGGTCACCATTCTGTGCCCCCATGGGAACAAGCAAAACTTCCTCCCTGTGCCCCAACTCTGACTGAACGGTGTGTTTCACCTTGCTTGGGGTCACAGGAAGCAGAGGGTCCCCGAAGCAGGGAGAACACTCACGTGTGGTCCTATCAGGATCTCTCAAAGTCATGTAATTCTCAAGTGTCATAATTTTTTTGTTTTGTTTTGCTTTGAATTATCCTCTTTTGCACAAAACCACCATCTTTTCTTCCGGTCTCTTGTCTCTTGCTTTAAGTAAACTCCATAAACCACAGACAGAACGGTTGAAAGGTCACTTCCGCTTATGGCCCTCTCAAGTTAAGAAACCCAACTTGTGCAGAGAGAGCCCAGACTTACTCTAGTGCTAACCAAGCACCCCCCCGCCCCCAGCCATACAGGGTTTACCGCTTGACCTGGAGACCCTTGGGGACACCCTGAAATGTAAAGATGGGTAAGGGTCCCGCAGCGTGCTGGCCGTGTGGTTTATCCCACAGATGAGCAGAAGGGTCGCAGGACATGGGCTCCAGCCTCACAGATAGGAACACGTCATGCAGAGGTGAGCCAGGAAATATTTCATTCTAGAAGAAAAATTAGATCTTCTCTCTGCCTGGCTCCGTCCCAAGGAAGCTCAGGCCTTATTTACTTTCCTTCATGCATCAGCTTCAGTTCAGGGAACTTCAGCGGTAATTTACAATCTTTCGGTTATTAAAAAAAATAAAGCTGCTATTAAAAGCACTGTCCCACTTCCTAGGAACATCCTTCTAGCATGTGAGGTGGCTTGTGTGCCGTGAATGTGGTCTAAGGGATACAGTCTGTTGCTGTGCTACTCCAACGGTGAATCAGGTTCACATTCGGCTCCTAATGCAGGCTTCCCGTCATGCACAGCTGTTCCCTCCTGAAGCTGCTTTAGAAAAGAAGTCTGTACCACGAGCTTGTCAAAGACACATCTACTGTAGTTGTCCTGGTCCAGATGCCCCTGGCACCACCTCCCTCCTCACCCGTGACCGTCAGCCCCAGACATGGGGAAGGTCTCTGGGGGAACATCCCCGGTGAGAATGGCAGCCTCACAACTGACATGGAGATCCCCAGTGGGGCGCTCAGGTGACACTGGAGAGGGTGCTTGTCCTGCGTGAAGACTGTGGTTGCTTCTGTGGCCGAGTCTGTGAGGCGCCATGTAATGGGCGGTTGAATCACTGCACGTCCACTCGGCTGCCCCAGTGGGGACTTTACCGTTGGGTCCCAGAGCTTGGACTTGGCACTGTTCACCAACTGGTTAGAGCAGTTTCCCTGGCAGGAGCTCACCCAAGACGACCAACAGGAAGGTGAAAGTCCCAGGTAAGCAGCTGTGGTCCCCAAAATGCCATTGGGGTGATGAGATGCCAGGCGCCAGCATGGTAATGTGTGGAGCCACAGTGGACTCCTTGGCACAGGGTTGTGTGTGTGTTGGACTCATGATTTGGAGGAAACCCATGGGCCAGACTGTCCCTGTGCTGTTGTTCTTGGAATGGTTGTGCAAATCTCAGATCGGACCTGAGACCTCAGCCAAGAATCACTGTGACTTCTCATGGGACCGAGCGGGTTATCATCCTTACTGGGTAGTGTAAGGCTCGCACGTGTGTGGCCTGAGGCCCCCTTAGTGCTCTGATCTGCCAGTTTTGCCTTGCTTTGTTTCGTGGTTCCTGATAAGGGATGCAGTCGTGTAGTCAGGGACAATGGCCCGTGCTTATTCAGGCCCGCTACAAGCAAGACCCCACACCCTGCAGGGTGGGCCATGGAGGATGGGACACTCATTCTCAGGCAGGGAGCTCAGTGATGTCCCAGGACCTGGGTGACCGTTGGTCCCAGAGCTGCCTTTTGATGACACTTTCTTCAGGGCCAGCCCGCAGTCAGTCCCTCTCGGGTGAGCAGCCCTGAGATGAGCTTCCCTGGGCACAGGGCCGGGCGCTTGCTCTCAGAACTGATTCTCTTTGAGATGCTGAGGATTGCACCAAGCTATCGCTCATGCTAAGCGAGCACTTTACCATACCTTCAGTCCTTTTATTCCTTTTGATACGGGTCTTATTAAATAACCCGGGTTCTCCTGGGATCCACTCTGTAACCCAGGTAGGCTCTAAAGTTGAACGTATTCCACCTCTGTCTCCAGGGGAGCTGGGTCAGAGTGTACCCGAGCACTCTAACCCCTCGGAACACACTGCATCTGAATCTCTTTGTAGCCCTCAGATGCCCCCAAATGCAGGAGAATGCCATCATGTCGCTGCCACTCACCTCTGAACCCCGGGACCCTGTGTAGAGCCCTGTCCTGCTTCTAAATGTTTGGTCCTAGCCTGTTCTTTCTTGTGAGCCTGGGCCATGCCTTGATGCTCCATCCCGAGTGGCCTACACTGTCCAGTGTAAGGACGGCCATGCCGAGTGGGACCCTGAGGCAGTTAAGGGATGATGATAGCCTGTGACAGACATGACAGCTGCTGCTTAGTGACCAGGTCACTGCATGTGACTGAGCACCATGCTCCAGCAGTCACCCCTGAGTCAAGGGCTTGAGGTGGTGCTGTAGAGCACTTCTGCGGAGAGCGCGGCTTCATTTATGAACAGGGAGGCATCCACGAACATTGCTTTGGGCTGCAGTATCTCTGCTTGTTGCTTGCCTCTCTTGCAGCAGGCCCCATGCTGATGCAGGTTTTGCAGCCATTGCCTGGCAGCTGGACTGAGGTTACTGAAAGCCTGGGTCCTCCTGCCCACTGACTTACTGCTCTGTCCTCTGTGACGTGCCTTTGTGTTCTCATGCCTGGCTGGCTTATGATCGCAAAGTAGCCACAACAGCTCCAGGCCACGGCATCCATACTGAAGGGGGGAGGCAGAAGAGAGGGAGAGAGTCAGTGCTTATGTCCCTTTTGGTCAGGAACGCTTTCCTGAAAGTCCCCGCAGAGCTTATCTGCGCTTCTTGTTGGTAGGACTTGGTCACCTGGCACTTCTGCCTTAGTGGAGGAGAGGCGGAAAAACAGGCATCTGTGGCTGGGAATCAGGGTCCATTAGCAGCCACCAGGGTCAGCCAAGGGGCTCCAGCAAGTCAAGCTTGGTGAAGGCAGGTGTGCTGTCTGCTCCCCCTTGGACCTGGGCTGCTGGATTATCAATGCCCCGGGAGTATTTGCGGATGCTGAGTGGACGGGAAAGAGGCGATATTGACACTCCGAGAAGATCTGAGATGAGGGTCAGTGGCTGTCCGTTTGGGACCAGCTGAGTCCTTATAAATGTGACACTCCTCATTTCCCTCATCATGGGGTAAAGCAGAAGAGGTAACGATAGCAAATGCTTGCCTGAGTTCCTCTGGGCTGCACACACTGTCTGTTCCTGGCTGGGGCGGAGGCTGGGACTCTATCCACTCTAGAAGGTGCTGCCCCTGACTCTACTCAGTGGCGCTCTTGTTTAGTTAATGTTTCCCCACCAGGGACTTTCAAATGCACTTATTGTGTTGGTTTAGCATCCACACCCGAGGTGTTCCTCTCAGATCTCCCTGCAGTGTGGGGTGGCGGTGCCTAGGAGCTGCTGTTGCTGGCCATCCTGTCTTCCTAGGTTGGGGGGGTGCACATCTGTTGTCTTGTTTTGCCAAAATTGTGTTTTGACTCCAGAGTGTAAGAATTAGTGCTTCTGTCCCTCTCGACTCCCAGGAAGAGAGTCCACCCATCCTTCTGTCCACTCAGGTGCGTGTAAGGGTCTCCAGAGAAGTGAGGGGGTCTTCATTATTTGGTAGAAAGCACAGGCTCTTGCTGCCTGGCCTCTGTGCCTATCCACAAGTGTGTACTGGGCCTGACCTGGTACTAGCTAAGTGACCTTGAAGGATCAGCTCTTCTCCCTGGGGAATGAGACCAGCTGGTCAGTCCCTGAGGTCCCTCCTGATGTCACTATCCCAAGGCTGTCTCTGCACATCCTGCTCCTCCAGGGAGGCATCCAAGGCCCTCGTCTCAAGTGTGGAGCCCATGCATCTCATAAAAATGGCCCATCATAGCATTCTACTTGTTCCTGTGGTTGTCCAACCTCGAGGTTTGGGGAACCTGTTATATCTGACTGTTTCATAAACACCTGCCTTTTAGGACATCAGGGAAACATAAGGACCCCTTGTTAGATGCCTCAGAGGAGGCAGGTTCTCCCTGACTACCACAGTGCTTTGATCATAGCCTTCTGTTGTGCAAAAGCTGCCATGAGGGCAAGCCAAGGGAGCTTTGGTACTCTAGAGAAATGTCGGGTCAGTGTCCTGTTCAGAACCCTGAGCTGGAGCCAGCATCTGGTACCTGGCTAACTGTGACAGACAGCCCTGTTACGTGACTCCCACAGGGTCCCCAGTCAGGTGGACAGACTTCTGGGGGATGCTCTCTGAGGTCCGTCCTGTCTCTCTGAGTCCTTAGGGGTTAGGCTTGCATGTGAACTCTTTAATTCACACATGGATTCTGTCCAATGTAATTTACACAGAGGCTGTCCCTTTTCTCTCTGCCCCTGCCGAGAATGCCCTGAACTCTCACCATGGATGCACTTGCATGGAAATCTCAATTTACTTGTTTTCCTTTAATTCTACACACTTTTCATCCCATACAAAAAATCTGCATAAAAGATATGAAGCTTTAGAAAAACAGAAGATGAAAGATAATTATATGCAATTCTAGCCCTAACAGATTTGTGTTTATTTTGAGGTTGTATTTGTCAGCTTCAGTGGCATCTAGAAAGGACTTTAGACTTTCTGCCTTGAGCAGGCCGTTAGTTGCAAGTGCAGGCTTCTTGCTTCCTGACAATGTCTTCATACCTGCTTCTTTTTTTTAATTTTCTCCTTTGTGGTATTAGGATAAAACAAAAAGCTCTGGTCCTTTCACGCCTTGCAAACTTGGATGAGGGTATCGATTTGGTGACCTCCAACCTTGCCAAAGTCTCAGTGGAATTGAGGGTATGCTGGGACACTGGTCTGAATCTGCCCCGTCATAATTCCAGCTGAACAGTGGAAGCCCGTGGTCTTTGTTCACCCCACCACACTTTAGGGATCGTGTCCTTCAGACATGTTGACAGATGTCCAATGGAAGCTTGCCATCACACGCTAGCTAGCTGGACCGCAGCTGTGGGCAGCACCCAGCCAGAGCACTGAGGTTGCGCCTGTGCGATACGGTGGATGTTTCCGTTAAAAGGGAGCTAGTTAAACAGCACACAGCAGCCCGGGATGACCTGTCTGCTTGAGAAGTGAGGGAAGGAGACAGGTCAGACGTGCTCATCTCCCAGGTGGGCAGGAGGGGGCACCTCTTCCGCCCCATGCTGCTCAGCAGGCTGGCTCTGCACGCTGTAACCACACAGTATTTTAGTGATTTTAAAATCTTTTCTTCTTTGGAGTGGGGGGGTATGTTTTTGGGGGGACCAGTCAGTGGAGACGGTGAAGCACAAGGGCTCAGCTTGGGAATATGCAGTCCCGTTTCCCCTCCCCAAGGGCCACATTGCCGCCCTGTGACAGACAGGCGAGCAGGAGAAGGTGCACCTGGTAAACTTAGTCCCATTTGGGCACCTCATGAGCGTCTTCAGGTGAAGACACAAAGACATGGGCAATGTTTCTTGGGTTTGACGAAATGGCCCACAAAAATGGGGCTGAGACAGAGAGAGAGAGTGAGAGACAGGGAGAGGGAGAGAGAGAGCGCGCAAGTAGACGGGAGGAGACCAGACTGCTGCATTTGGAAGTCCACGATGACACAGGTGTATTAGAGGAGCGTGTTCACGTGTGAGGGGGACATGGTAAACATGGGCAATAGAAGGAATGCTTTCCTGGGACCGCATGGTTCTGTGCCTCGAGCCTTTCATGGAGCACAGAAATACGGATCCAGAGAAGCGTGCTTCAAGATGTCTCCATGTAATTAGAACGTCCGAGTGCCGCAGTCCTCTGTGTCTGCCTGGCACTGAGAGACCTGCTGCAGGGTGATGGAGCCTAGAGAGACACACCGGACAGGCCAGGCACATGGTCCCACAAACACACGGTCCCACAGACACACGGTCCCACAGACACACGGTCCCACAGACACACGGTCCCACAGTCACACGGTCCCACAGACACACAGTCACACAGTCACATGGTCCCACAGACACACAGACACACAGTCCCACAGACACACGGTCCCACAGACACATGGTCCCACAGTCACACAGTCACACAGTCACACGGTCCCACAGTCACACAGACACACAGTCCCACAGACACACGGTCCCACAGACACACGGTCCCACAGACACACGGTCCCACAGACACACGGTCCCACAGACACACGGTCCCACAGACACACGGTCCCACAGACACACGGTCCCACAGACACACGGTCCCACAGACACACGGTCCCACAGTCACACGGTCCCACAGTCACACGGTCCCACAGACACACGGTCCCACAGACACGCGGTCCCACAGACACGCGGTCCCACAGACACGCGGTCCCACAGTCACGCGGTCCCACAGACACGCGGTCCCACAGACACGCGGTCCCACAGACACGCGGTCCCACAGACACGCGGTCCCACAGTCACGCGGTCCCACAGACACGCGGTCCCACAGACACGCGGTCACACAGACACGCGGTCCCACAGACACGCGGTCACACAGACACGCGGTCACACAGACACACGGTCCCACAGACACACGGTCCCACAGACACATGGTCCCACAGACACATGGTCCCACAGTCCCACAGACACACAGTCCCACAGACACACGGTCCCACAGTCACACAGTCCCACAGTCCTCCATTCCGCCTGTCTCTGCCTGGCTCCAGGGTCTTGCCAGTGCCCGTGACAGGAGATGGTTTTCAGGCATCCTCCGGGAGCAGGGGAGGCATGAGTGGTGTTTGGTGAAGGCCCTGTAACCTAGCAGCTCTGGCTCCCACATCAGCACAAACACATTCCCATCCTCCCCGCCCGGAACTCTGCTCCCTGCTATTTGTCAAATGTGTTCAGTCTAGATAAAAGCAGAGCCAAACCCACAGCAATCTGTTTTAAAATATTTCAGGAGAGGGTTAGGCTCGCCTGAAGACTAACGAGCGTGTTGACTCTCTGAAGGTCATCACAGCCTTAGAGGCCTGGCTTCAGGAACCTTCTACCAATGCATAGTTTTTGAGCATCAAAAATGATGCATGGCCAAAGCACCAGCTCTTTTTGCTGAGACTGCAAAGCCCAAACTTGGTGCCGGATTCGAGGTGCAGAGAGTAACAGAGCAGGTTCATAAGCCCCAACACCAGCTTGTCCAGCATGCCCCCCCCCCATCGCTCTTGCAGACCATACTGCAAACTGTGTATGCAGAGATTCTTCAAACAGGCAAGGCAGGCCCCATCGACAGATGTCCCATGGAAGCTTGCCATCACACGCTAGCTAGCTGGACCGCAGCTGTGGGCAGCACCCAGCCAGAGCACTGAGGTTGCGTCTGAGGCCTGGGAAGGTGGGTGACATTCATCATCGGGACCCAGAGTATGTGTGAGTCTGAGGCCCTTGGCTCTTCAGTCACCAGCACCAGACTGACTCTGCATCTGCAGTTCTAGCTCTCACCAAAGCAATGCACAGAGAGTGGCCCAGGAGGACAGCTTTGGAAGTCGGGCCATTGGCTCTAGAAGTTACTCCCACAGCATCAGAGTTCTCAAGGAAAGAACACTGGGCACCATGACCTCAAAACCCTGGGCCTGCGGTTAGGGATACAGCAAGGGAGGTAGACACACTGACCCAAAGGAGCCTCACCATGGAGCTCTGAGATGAAAGGTCTACGTCAGATCTGGGAATAGAGATGGAGCGCTGGGCAAGGATCTCAGAGCTGAGTCTGGAAGGTCTCCCTTCTACAGTTCACAGTAGAAGCAGGCTACAGTCTATAGCCTCGGGGTTGCTCATCTTGAAGTGGTCGCCGAGTAGGGGACACAGAGGAGGTACTATGCGTGCCCCCAGAAGAGCACCTGACGCACCACCGGGTGGACGTGGACGCCTGAGCCCGAGACCTTCCCTGACTCCCTTATGTGTGTGTGTGTTTCCCTACCAAACGGACAGCAACTGACCCACGCTGCTGTGTGCATTCCCTGACTCCCTTATGTGTGTGTGTGTTTCCCTACCAAACGGACGGCAACTGACCCACGCTGCTGTGTGCATTCCCTGACTCCCTTATGTGTGTGTGTGTTTCCCTACCAAACGGACAGCAACTGACTCACGCTGGTGTGTGCATAAAACCTAGTGTGGCTGGTCTTCCCAAGCACGGGCTGACCAAGCTACCTGAGAGGTGGGAGATGCTTCATATCACTGCTGTGAACAGAGTAGAGGGCCGGAGGGTCAGCATGAGCCTTGGGATGCAAATGGCTCTACCCACACAGACTCCAGCCCTCGGAAGGAGGGGTCAGTCCCTGACCTCACAGAGGACAGGTCGCCAGGGCATCTCATGGTTGGCCTTGGGCTGCCCTCCATGGTGCCCTGCTGAGAGATGTCTTAGGAAGAAGACACCCCTCTAGGGCTCCAGGAGCTGAGTCGGGGTGGACTCGGGAGCCAGGAGAGGTTGGGCTGTAGCATGTGGTGGTGGTGGTGGTGGTGATGGGGGGGGGCATTCATTTCCTACCCCTGGGACAGGAACTGACAAGACTCTTGTGATTCGGTTTCCAGTTGGCTGAGGTTAGCTCTGCCCAACTCACAACAGCAGAGCCTGGGCTCCTTGCCTGCCTGCAATCCTGGGCCTCAGAGTTTTGCTCTTAGTTAATTGACCTTATTTAGAGCAGCGCACGTTGAAAGAATTGAAGGGAAGCGTAGCAGGCTCCCCCGGCCCTCCCCCTCGCTCTCCTCTGAGGTTCATACCAGGTGGATGTGGGGTACCCACCAGCTGACAAGCACGGCTCCTGCCGTTCCTGGGAACTCACCATTCGCTTCCGCCTGGCTGGGGTGTTGAGAGACACCCTGAGTGGTCTCACAGCCACAGACATCCCCTGTGGCCTGCCAACCCCTGCTCTTGCCCAGTACACAGCTTAGGATCTTAACTAGAAACCAAGTAAGGGGAGGGTTAGGTAGACCCAACGGATGAGCGGATCAGAGAACCACCAGTGGTCTCCGAGTGACAGTGACCTACGTTACGCAAGGGTTGGGTGTGGTAGAGGGAAGCCCAGGCTAGGCACCATGTCCCAGCACTCGGCCCACCCGATCTCCCGTTCCTCTCTTGGATTCTGCCTTCCCCCGGTGAAAGCTTCAGCAGCCTGGCCCGCCGCTCTGCAAGCACTCTCTGGCCCTGCTGTGCTTTGTCCAATCCCGCAGCCTGGCTTGTTGCTGTGTTTCTGGGTGTTGCACACATAGTCCGTGACTGTGGCAGCCACCTGCTCCTCTCCGGGCATCCTGGCGTTAAACCTGGAGCAGGAAGTCTGGAGCCCAATACCTGCTTTTTCTTTACCACTTAAGCTGCTGGCTGTAGCCGTGTGTCACAGCTTTGGAGTCACATGGGGGCTTCCCGGGCTCCCAGGCCATGGGCAAGCGTGAGCTTTCTCCTCACAGAAAGACCATCCCAGGACCTGCCCTGCTGTGAGCTCTCTTGTCTGTCACACACACACACTGGTAGCAGTCAGAGGCAACACACACGGTCGTGGGCTTGCACTGACACATGTTCTCTGCTGTGTTGTGACAGGTGCTGGCATTGATGGAGTGGAGGAGATTAAGCGCCATCCTTTCTTTGTCACCATAGACTGGAATGTAAGTTGACTGCAGAGGTCTCCACTAGACACGCCACATGGCATGGAGAGGGCAGAGAGGGAACCATGCAGCTGCTTGGTGCACATGGCCTCTCTGCACTAAGAGTCTGAGACACACACAGACTGTTGGCCTGTGGGTGAGCACGCTTGGGGCCCTCAGCGGGGCTGGCTCCCCAGAGAAGTGCAAACTGGTGACCGCCTGCCCACAGTCCTAAGTACTCACTGGCACCCCTGGTCATTGGGCCCACAGCATCCATCCTGTCGCACCTTTCCCAGACATGCTAACACCAGCTGTTGTGGGGGCGTAAGGCACACCAAGGACAGACAGGCCTGCAGGGGTGAAACGTATCTGACAGCCTTCTGGACTCTCCCCCTCCCTAGTGGAACACCTCCCGATACCCAGGCTGTGTCCTACAACACATGGGAACTTCTACTTCCAGAGCTGAAGTTAACCCCAGAGGATTTATTTTTTTAAGCAGGATATTGAAGCATCAGGCTGGGTGTGGCTCAGTGTCAGGGCTCTTGTCCAGCATACATGAGGCCCTGGGCTCCCATCCCCCACATTGCAAAAAAAGAAGGAAAGAAGAAAGACTTGACCCAGGCCTCTAAACAGGCCAAAAGGAGTGTCAGAAAGATGCCTCTGAGAGAGTGAGGTAGTGCAGAGAGGGAGGGGGGAAGGGGGAGGGGGAATAAGAGCCACTGGTGAGTGAGGAGCAGCAGAGGTCAGGGATGAGATCCCAGAAGTCTCTCTCAGGCCAGGTTGGTACCTGTGAAGGAGGACCCCCCCCCCACACACACACATTCCCTTGCATACTTCCGTCCTTCCAAAAGCCTGCCAGGGAATGCAGAGGGAGTTGCTGAGTCAAGAAGGGTGTCCAGAGAGTTGCTGTGGTGGAATAGCTTGAGTTCCAATGGCTATGGTGGAAATAGCTTGAGTTCTAGTAGTCTAGACCTGGAAAGAAAGGGAAACCCCAGCCATGCCCAGTAGCATCCAGTCAGAGGACCTGGCTGAGAAAGAACTTTGTTGAATGACAATCTAAGGACATCTTAGGGCAGGCAGCAGTCACAGGGGTGTGTGAGTATTGAAGTTTCTAGGATTTGAGCTGCAGATGGGTCTGGAACCAAGAGTTCTTGTTCTATTGCTGCTGTTGTGATGAAATAATTAGACAAAGCGAAACTTGGAGAAGTCTGGGGTTTATTTTCCCTCTAGGTCTAGGTTACAACCCATTATTGCTAGGAAGTCAAGGCAGCAGGACCTTGAGACAGTTGGTTACTTTGTATCTAGTCATGAGCATGCAGAAAGACCACAAGCATGGAACTTGAGACAGTTGGTTACTTTGTATCTAGTCATGAGCATGCAGAAAGACCACAAGCATGCTCCTTACTTGCGAACAGCTCAGTCTCTCAACTTTTAATACAGTTCAGGACCCCACACACACTTAGGGAATGACACCACCTACAATGGGCTGAGTCTTCCCACATCAATTAAGGTGATTAGGACAATCTTCCACAGGTACGCCCATAGGCCAACCCAACGCAGACAGTCCCTCATTGACACTTGTCTTCCTAGGTTATTCTAGGTTGTATTGGGCTGACAATTAAGCCATCACACTGGGGCAAAGGCTGGGCTAGTGTGTGCTATTGAAGGTTAGGTCTGTGGGATCCCTTCAGCCGTCATATGCACCTTCCATAGACTACACAGGGCTCAGAGCTTGCCTGTGGCCTCTCTGTCATTGGAGAACAGCGTTCCTTCAATGCAAACATAGATGCTGGATTCCTGTACTAAGGAGTGACCCTTCTGTGTCATTTGAGATTAATTCAGGCTAGAATAATGTGGAGAAGGGCTGTTCATTGTTGTGGTTTGCTTTTATTGTGTTTGGCTCTAAAAGAGGCCCTTCGGGGTCACTAGGACCACATATGTTTACTCTCACCCTGTCCTTGCCAGACAGCACCCTCCGAGCCTGGAGCGATGGCAACCTTCTTTCTTCTGTGGCTCTAATTAATAGTCCCTGCATGGCAGAGAAGCCCAGAAGCCTGCTTTCAAGCTGATTTGTCTAGCCATAAGCAATGCTTGTAGCATGCAGTAGAGTTGGGGTGCCTAGAGTGTGGCGACAGCAAGGAGCCCTATCCTAGATGGTGGAGAGATGCCTAGTGCACTAACCAGGAGGCGGCTGTTCAGCCGGAGCAGTAGTGTGTGAGTGTCCAGTTCAGAGAAAACAAGCAGGGAGAAGGCGAGCAGGAAGTAACCAGGAGAGGGAACCGGGTGGCAGGGGGAGGGGAAGGAAGGAGGGGCCCAGGTAAGAACACAGGGGTGAGTAGTTCTGAAAGAGCCATGTATGGACTCCAGAGGCCTTGGTAGCCAATGTGGAGGCTTTGCTGGTCTCATCTGACCTAGCCCTCTGTCTCAGCTGTCTTTCCCCTCACAGGTCCAGGTGCTGCCCTTACGTGGCCTTATCAGGACCCCACTGTATACACACACACACACACACACACACACACACACACACACACACACGTGCACCAGTCTGCTGGACTTTGTTCTGTACCGTCCTGTATACCCTCCTAGTGTCAGTAGCTCACATCACTGACAATCACTCAAATCCTGGGTCCTCCAGGACTCTTCTCACCAGGGGATCCCCTTCCATGCCCCTTGGCAGTGTGGGCATTCAATACCGACAAAGGAGAAGACATTTGCTGCCCTCAGATTCTTGACAGTGTTCTCTATCCAGTTGCAGCCTAAGGATGCAGCTGAGAAAACATCAGCCTCTTTATTTTTCTTTCTGTTGCCTCCTGTGACCCTAAATTACCAGTAGATATTTCTATGTTTTAGTTTTTAAGTAAATGCCTGTCATCCACCAGCTGTCCCCTGGAGATCTGGTGACCTGTGGGCACAGAGGGTGGCATCTACCCCAGAAGTGAGGGTCACCAGTGTTAGCTGAAGCAGGTGGAGGGTGGCAGGTCCCTGTAGTTTCCCTGCATCTCCAATTGCCCTCTGCTCCCAGCACATTAGTGCCAGCTCTGGGGTCTGCCCTCCAAACACCCGTGCTGCTTGCCTAGCTAAGTGAAAAATTACAAGTTAATTATAGACCAGGAAGCTCGTGCAGAGGATGGTGGAGCTGGCAAATGTAAGCTGTGTTTACTTCCCCCCCCCCCCCCCGGTGGCTGAAGCAATGCTGAGAACTCAGGATTAGCACAAACCCAAAATAAACATAAAAGGTGACCTCACAGGCTAAACAAGCCCGTCCACATTGGCATGCAGCCAGGCGGCTTCTAGCAAGCAGACCCATGGTGAAATGGCACTCGGGCAGGGAGAAAACAACACTTTGCCAGATTCAGCCCCAGGGTGGCAGGGTGGAGGCTCCTGCCGATTTGCCCGTTTCCAGACCACTGTCCGAAGCCAAAGCCCAGACCCTCAGCATATGGGTTGGGCAGGCGTGGCCACCATTACAATTAACTATTTATATGCAAGACTCACGCTTGTGGCACTTTTTAATGGTCCCAGCCCAGCACATCATCTGTTTCAGAGGTGAGAAGGGCTCTGAAGAGAAACTGAGGCACAGCGTACCTAGGTGGCTCTGTGGGTGGCAGCGTGCTGCTCGGTGGCCTTAGCTCATTCTGCGCACTGGCTGGGGCAGGTGGAGGACAGTGGTTCACCACATGTGCGGCGCATGCAGAGTTTTGTCATCGTGTGCCCTGGCTCCCACTGCCGCAGGAGGATTTCTGACACTTGTAGTGAATGCACCTTCGAAGTCCCCATGAGGGCTGTGGGCACAGTGCCTTCTGTCAGGGGACTTTGTAGATCTGGATGGCTTTCTTTGCAGCATGTCTTGGGTGGGTACAACTGTAGAGGTCGTGTTCTTCCTCGCATTCTGGCACCGCCCGTCCCCAATGCCCTGGGCGTCGTCTCCACGCTCACCAGTCCCCCCAATTCTGCCGCATTCTGTGCCTGCATATATACACGTCTGCTCTGCCATCTCAGGAGGGACACATCTGTGCCCCTTGCTCACCGGAGCAGATTAATTTCAAAATGCCTGCAGCCGAAACTGTACACTGAGCGGGTGTTAGGCTCTGTGACTCCACGGTAGAGCCGGTTTCCCGTGCTTTGGGCCGCCTCCATCTTTGTTTTGTGCTCTGTGCCCTTTGCTCTGTTTCCACACGGCCTCTGGGGCGTGTGCAGACCCTGACGTACCTGCTCAGTGTCTTCAGCACTAGTGTAACGTGAAATCTATCTCTCTGTCATTGCCATGACAATGTCATCTTGACACCGAGGGACAAATGAGATAGTTAAAAGGGATGAGGCGGACCAGGAGATCCCCGTCTTCCTCCCCTCCCCCCAGGGTGTGCATGAATTATCCCAGAATCTCGCCCCTCCCCCTCCCCATGCCGCCTGCCTCCTCCATCACATCCCTTCTTGCCCGTCTCTGCCCCTTGGTGCCCTTGGCTGGTCACCATCCAGTGTCCGTCACAGGCTCCTTGCCTGATCCCAACTATGTGTGCACTGTCCTTCAATCACCTCATGCGGTATCATGTCCACAGAGGACTGAAAAGCACACTTTGGGTTGGAAAGCAGCTTCCCCAGCAGGTCTGAGAAGGACCCGCGGACAATCCTGGACATCCGTGTGCTTTGCCAATGGCCATGGCAGTGGGAAGTGCTGTGTGAGCGAGGGTTTCTCTGGACCTCAGTTTTCACAGTTCCCAGAGAGCTGACGTAGGCTCCACGGTGGTGATCCCACAGCCACCAGTGCCCAGCATGTATGGCCAACCTGTCATGCTTTCTTGGAAATAAAGATCCTGTAGCCAAAAGTCAGTTGGAAAACTAGTACACCAACTGAAGGAGATTCAGCAGATCTCAAGCCTTTAAACCCCAGGCTATGCCTTTTGTAACTCACATCCAGCATGTAATTTCCATACTACACGTGCGGTCTTCCATGTAACACGTGGGGTATGGTGTTACGTCAATGCAGCTACATAGGTAACACACACAATCTGCGTTGCATTGCGCCTCCTCATACATCTTGCAAGTGTTGGAGCTGCTCGTGGCCTCTGCTCTCTGCTCTGTAGCCTGCTCTCAACATGTCCTGTTCTCCCTGCAGAAGCTGTACCGCAAGGAGATCAAGCCACCCTTCAAGCCCGCAGTGGGAAGGCCTGAGGACACCTTCCACTTTGACCCCGAGTTCACTGCAAGGACCCCCACAGGTGTGTGCCAGCTCTCCCCAGTTGGTCTGACCCCCTCTCTCCAGAGAGCCTGCGTGAAGGATGCCCCCGAGGGGGTGACCTTTAGACCCATGAGGTCTTCCTGATTTCTCTGCTTCATGGCAGCGCCAGCTCTCACTGTTCCTCGTGAGACATCCCACCTTAGAGGCAGTCTGGGCTCTGTGGAGCCCTCTTTTGTTGTGAGATGCTAGGCAGTGAAAGTCCTCCCAGGGACACACAGGCAAGACACAGAAAAGAAACCGTTGGTTCACCTCGGTGGTCTGTGGGGGAAAAGTGGCGACCTTTAGGTCTGTGGGCTTAGGGACTAAATGTATTATTTCTGTGAAAGCTGGGGCCTAGTTGATGAGTGCAGAGTAGCTAGATCTCAGCACAGAAATGTGGCTTCGCGGTATGTGAGATCTCTGGGGTCTGTGTGGTCCTCTCCCTTAAACGCTAGCATTCTGGTTTTACTGTTTTACGTGATTGTCTCGGAGCTCCATGACGGGGCAGTGCTGGGGGTGGCTTAACATGAGGTGTGTGTTGTGTCTCCCCGCTGGAGGCTGGGTTCAAGGTCAGGTTGCTGGTTGGGTCACCGATGGTTGGGCCTCCTCACCGTGTCCTCTCGTGGTCTTTCCTCTGTGAGTGGGGAAAGCCGGGGAAAGCTGTGTTCTATACTGTCCTTGTAAGGACACCAGTCCCGTGGGCCTGAGGCCCACTCCCTGACCTCGTTTAATCTGGACTTCTCCCATGGGGACCCTGTCTGCAAACACGGCTGACTATGGGCAGGGCAGCTGACTATTGCAGTGACCGCGTGGTGATGCTCAGAGCAGCAGCTTACCCCCTTGCAGGCTCAGAGAGCAAGTTCAGGCAGCCATTGCGGGAGCCGCTGGCGGCTATGCAGAGGCTCTGGGATTTCTCACTACTTCCAAACCGGAAGTGGTGTAGAGTTGTTGGAAACTAACCACGAAGCACGGTTACCGGCCACGAGTCTCAGGTTGGGAAGAGTGGACTAGAGAACCCACCCTGTTCCCTTTGGGTACAAGCTCTGGGGCGATTCCTTTATATCCAGGGCAGGCGCTGGTGGAGTACAGTCGGTGCCACAGATGGCTCTCTCTGACCTCTTGGTCCCACACCTCCCTAGGGAAGACCGAAACAGTGGCTAGCACAAGGCTGAGGAAGGATTGTCCTTGAATGTCGTCATGCTGCCAAGCGGTCAGTCCCGAGACAGCACGAGCCAGGGCACAGAGGAGCATACCTGTTCCTCTACTGAGGTCAGGAGGCCAGAGCCCCAAGGTCACCTGAGCAGCTCACCAGTTCTCCTGGCATCTGACCAGAAGATGAGCAAACACGAAAGCAATTTGCTCCAGATGAGAGATTGACTCTGCCCAGACCTTGAGGGTCCTCACTGGGGAGGGCAGCGTTAGTCACGAGTCTGCCGTGTGATGCTACACGTGTAAAACGCTCAACGGAAGCTAAGCTGTGCTGCGGAGAGCAGAGACGCTAATGCCAGCAGCTCCAGACGTCCTGTGTGTGCGCTCCCGGCGTTCCATTGGGGAATTTAAACCCCAGCCCAGTCAGTTGGTGTGACCTTAAGTAAACCTCCTAAGCCTTCTGTGCATAGAAAACAAAGTTTCAACTTAATGTTAGCCCAAGGAAAACCCAGCAGACACAGGGCATTCTACCCTGTGCCCTTAGCATTGTGATTTGTTCAGATACTGTTAATAGACCTCACCAAGCAGTTTGCCTTTGGGGGAGGCGGTGATGGAAGTGGTAAAGATTCTCCCAGCGGGGGAGCTGAGTAGTTACAGAGCAGCCACAGTGGTGTGATTCTGAAACAGTCTAGAAACACACCGAGGGTATTTCCTGCGGTAGACTTCTTGTCTCGATTAACGTGAAGCCACGAGCGGGCTTCGAGGGGGCTTCTGCTTCGCGATCACGCGTCAGCTGCTCAGTGGAATGTGCCAGTCTGAGGTTTGGGAAACCTTTCTTCCTGGCCAGAAGCTTGTCACTGCTCTTGCAAATTTACTTTTCTAGTTTGACTTGTAGTTTTGCTCTTCTGTACTGTGCTGGCATTCACACCTCCTAACTGAGTATAACACGTTCTGAATTCTATTCCTCCTGCCTGCCATCTGCCCATCAGCCTCAGTCAAATTTCATCAGTTCCTCGGGGCTTCCTGTAAAGACCTCTTCGCGCCTCAGCAGACTGGCCATCCTGTGTCCCCGCAGACATCTTTGTTCTATGCAGAGAGATGTGTGCACCTTTATTGTCTAGAACACATTGCTGATTCGAAAACGCATGAGTTCAAGTTAATGCAACCTGTTTCCCCTCCACACGTGCACAGGCACACACACACACAGTGAGCTCTAAACAGACCCTGGTCTATAACCCTCAGCACTGCCAGGCTCAGTGAGTTCCTGGAACAGACCAAGTTCTTAACCCTAAGCCTAATCCCCTGAGGCTGACATAACCATCATAGACCCTTTTCTCTCTGGTCCAGTCTCTTAATGTTAAGAGAAGGCAAGAAAACAGACCTTGAAGTCAGAATCCCATGCTGGGAAGACACACCAGAGCTCATGACCGAGCAGGAGCCCGTCCATGCACAGGGCCCAGGCTGAGGGAGGCTGAGGTCTACATTAAACTCCATGCTGCCATTGGGCAGCTCGCTGTGCATACTTCATGTCCTAAAAGCAGTGCTGCCGTGTCTTGACTTTTAATTAAGCATCCCCAGTCTAGCACCTTGGGAGTTTGTTTCCAAGCGGTCCACCTCGGTCACATTAATTCAGGTCACATGAGCATCTGTCTGCGTGGGAGACTGAGCCTCTGGCGAGGCAGCAAGTCTTGGGTCTGTTCCCTTTCTGTCCAGGGGTCTTAAGATGAACCTGTATCCAGTGAGTTTCTTGTCCCGTGAGATGGATTGGCATCTCTGTCCCAGTAAAGCACATGTGGGGCGTGTCCACCTAACTACAGCCAGGCCCTGTCTGGGATCTCAGGACCCCCCCACCCACCCACCCACACACACGCGCACACACACACACACACACACACACACACACACACACACACACAACTCCAGCTCACTGGCCTTGCCCCTCATAACCCTGTACCCAAAGTAGAATATGAAGGAACAAAAACTGCATTTCCTCAGCAGGTGCCTCTCCTCCCCACACCCCCTACACCGCTGTCTCTGTGTCGCAGTAAGACTGGAAGAGGAGGCAAGGTCACATGTAGAAAGGCAGACACGCTGTCCTCTTGGGGAAATGACTCCAGAATGTGTGAATGTGCACCTGTTTACCTGTTCACATATACATGTCTATTATATGTATATGCATATATGATGTTAGTGTGGCATGCATTTTTAAATTGTTGTATATACTTATAAGAATAAACTAGGTTATATGCTATAGTTTAGATATTATTAGTTAATATATTGTTTATATATTATTTATTTATGTATCCTGATATATTATGTAATTTGTTACATATTGCATATTTCATGTACTCTAAATATAAATGTGTTAGATATTTACATAGCTTGCAGTGGCAAGTTCTCCTTATCTTTTCACAACATCCTTTGTCTGTCTGCCTCTCTCTCTCTCTCTTTCTCATGTCTCCTTTTTAAATTTTGTTTGTGGGTTTCTGTTGTTGTTATTTCTGTTATTTTCTTGAGTCAGGTCTTGTCACGTAGCCCAGGCTAGCCTGGAGCTTGTGATCTTCTTGGTTCAGCCTCCGGGGCCTGACAGTCCCACAGGAAAACACCGCCGCACTTGAGTGCTGCTTGATGTCTTTCTTTGTTTTTAACTTTTAAACTGTTAGGGTTACACTTGCACGTTTGCCCATAGCTGTGTCTGGTTGTCACAGTCGGCCACCTAAGTACAAACCTGGATTCAGATCCTTAATACTCACATAAAAAAGCCCAACACAGAGGTCAGTGGGGTGGCTCAGACGGTGAAATCCCTTGCTGCATAAGACTGGTAACTTGAGTTTGATCCCTGGAAACCTACAAAAGCTGCACGTGGTGACTGGCGTCTGTAGTTCCAGCACGCCTGTGGGGATCAGAGACACAGGCCACAACAGTGCCTCGTTTACCTTTCTGTTGCTAAAATGCCCTTATGAAAGCAAGTTAAGAGAGAAAGGGTTTATTTGGCTCACAGTTTCAGAGGGTTGCAGTCCATCACGGCACAAAAGTGATGGTGACGAGAACAGGACAGCCTGTGGCGGGGGACATCCTTCTGTGTGTACGTTTCTCTTATTGGTTGATGAATACAACACTGTTTGGCCAATAGAAGCAGGAGGATAGGCGGGACTGAGAGACCAAGAGAATTCTGGGTAAGGTAGGCAGAGAGGAGACGTTGAGAGATGCCAGGTAGCCAAGGAAGGAGTAACAGGTTCAGACCCTTCTCCAGTAAGATAGGAGGACCACATGGAAATACTTAGATTAACAGGAATGGGTTAATAATGAAGACAGAGCTAGCCAGTAAGATGCCCTGGCCATCGGCCAACAGTTTAATAATTAATATAGCGTCTTTGTGTGTTTATTTGGGGCTAAAGCGGCAGCAGGACCTGGCGGGACTAGAGAAACTCCAACAAGAAGTCTGGAGGTTGAGAGAGAACGGGAGCTGGGGGATCAGGCTACACAACCTCAAAGCCTTCCCTCGGTGATGTGCTTCCCCCGGCAGAATTCTGTCTCCCAAAGTTCCATAGATTCCCAGATAGACCAGCTAAGGGCCAAGTGTTCAAAACACGAGCTCGTGGAAGACTCTTCACATTCAAACCACAGCAGCCGGATAGCCTGCAGCATGGCAGACGAGAGAGACTAGGTGGAAGGCAAGAACAGACTCCTGATAGCTGTTCTCTGACCTCCACACACATGCTTATTCACAAATGTATATGCGTGTACACACACACATGTGTGCACACACACATGCACACACACAAATACATTAATTAAATCCAGGTATGTCACTGCATCTGTAATTCAAGAGCTGAGTCAGTGGAGACACATGGGTCCCTCGAGTTCTGTGGCCAGGCAGCCTAGCTAATTCAATAAGATAAACTCCGAGTTCTATGAGAGACCCTTTCCCCAAAAAGAAATTAGCTGGAGAGTGACCAAAGAAGACACGTGATAGTGACCTCTGGCCTCCACACAAGCTCGCATATGTACACACACACACACACACACACACACACACACACACACACACACACACACCCCACCCAGCAGCGAATCATTCTGATGTGGGCAGACTCTTACTAATTGTGCTTGTGGCATGTAGGTTGGCTGTGACTTTTTTTTTCCTTCTGTCACAAATAGTGCTAAAGACAACATTTTCTACACTCTGAGGGCTAAATTCCTAGACACATGCTGACTCTTGAGGGGACATGTGACTTTGGAAGCGCAAGGGCCATTGCCCATCCCCCATCCCTCATCTTCCAAGAAGACAGGCCAATTCAGGTTCCCTCCTTCAGCTCTGAGGCTGCTTCCTTTGGCCAAATCTAGATGTGGCTGGCTACTCTTGCTTTCATGGATTCCTTAGTTTTAGTGCCATCTGTTTAATAAGCATGTATCTGAACATCCCCAGCCATGGTGACCGTAAGGGTGGCTTCCTCTGCTCCCTCTTGCCTGTCACGTTTCCCCCGCCCGCCAGCCAGTGATTTATCTTTTTGTTTACCTGGAGGAGGACCACGTCATAGCAGTCATGCTTCTGACAGACCTCACGGGACTTAGAAACATCACCCGTTTCGCTCACCTGCGGGACTGTGGGCAGCAGTGACTTTGCCCGCGTGTCCCTGAGGGACAGAGTAGGGTAGCCTCGGCCCAGAGCTGCGCAGCTGTGGAGGGGACTGTGCTGGCTGTGGGCGTGGCCTTGGCAGGCAGAGGAAGGGAATGTAGGTGAATGGGGACCGGGGAAATTCTTCACTTTGGATGCTTGTCTTTAGGTGCGCCTCATCTGCTTAGCCCAGAAAGGAGGTGTCGACTCGTGACACCCCTGCTTTCTGGCACCTCCCTGTGGAGCTTCTGGCTGCTTTTTGCCTTGATCTGTAGTGTGGAGGGGTGGCGGGCTATGCTGAAGAATATTTAGTGACTTCCAAAGCCAGTAACCTACAAACACGTGATCAGTGACCTATCTGAAAACTTCCACGTGACGCGCGTTTGCCGAATCAGCCTCTGGGCAGCACCTGAAAGTTTCATGCGTTTCTACCTCTCTGCTCCTATATCCCTTCTCCAACATGCAGGCGGCATGTGTGTTCTCATACACACATGTGCACACCATTGTTTTTGCTGGGCTCACTTGGCTCCCGTGAAGTGTGAACTGTGTGTTGCTCATCCACAGACTCCCCCGGAGTCCCCCCAAGTGCAAACGCCCATCACCTGTTCAGAGGATTCAGTTTCGTGGCCTCCAGCCTGGTCCAGGAGCCCTCACAGCAAGACGTGTCCAAGGCTCCTATCCATCCAATTGTGCAGGTACGTCTGGTTGTATCAGGAGCTCAGTTCAGGGCCTTGATGCCTGGCCTTGGAGACCCTGCGGATTTTTATCAGCTCAGTGCTGGGTGCTAACAGTGGGTCAGTGGTAGACATCTCCCTGCCCCTAGATGTTACTGAGTAGTTGCTATGGTGATCCTCCTAGTGGTGTGAACCATTATACATTCATTTCTAAAAAGGAAAAAAAAAGCCTGAGGAGATGATCACCATGGATGTCTGTGACAGCTACTCCTATCTTCTCTGTGTGAGCTGCGGGTGCCCATGTCATTGGGAGGTCAGTGGGGACGTCATTTAGACTTCTGTCGTAAACTAGAACTCAGAGAATTCCGAGGGATTTGGAGTCAGCTCACTTAACACTTGATGTCTTCACTCAGTGTAATAGTTGGCGTTGCATTTCCCTGGCATTTGTCTCCATTGTGCATGGGGCTTTCGTTCTCAGGGGTGGGCAAGCGGGGACTGTACGCGTGGGCCAGAAATGGTCTGTGGCTTAAACATGCGGGGTTTATCTGGACACTCACTCTGGAGAGAGCGCTGTGGCCACACACAAATGCACGCCTCTTTACTCCACGGATTCTCACTACCACGAGTCTTTGGGAGAAAAACAAGTGCCCAATGGACACGAAATATCCAGGTGTCTGACTATGAAAAGCCATAGGCCTCAAGAGCTCTAGAACCAGCCATGCATAGCTCTGTGACCTTGGGCAAGCCACTCCTAGTTTCCTCGAGCTCACAAGTTCCCAGGGTGCCCTGGACCTGTGTGTGTCTGTTGTCACGTGCAGCTGTGTGCAAGGTTGCTAACCACCCCCGTCCTGCCTCTCTGCAGCAGTTACACGGGAACAACATCCACTTCACCGACGGCTATGAGATCAAGGAGGACATCGGGGTCGGCTCCTACTCGGTGTGCAAGCGGTGTGTACACAAAGCCACCGATGCCGAGTATGCCGTGAAGGTAAGGCGAGGAGCCCTGGCCTAGCAGGAGCTCGGATGCTGAGCAGGCTCTCTCCATCCACAGCTTCTGGGTTCTGATATGATGGGCTTGGTTTATTTGGGTACGAGGTCAGCCATTTGGAAATTATTCTGCAAGTTGCGTGTGTTGACACAACAGTAACCAAAGCTGAGAGAGGAGAAGCTGGGTGTTCCAGACGAGCCTGGGCTATGTAGCAAGACCCTATCTCAACCATAACAAAATCTTTTCAAGTCATAAATATTCCAGCTCTGTCCAACAGTAACCAAAGCACTTAGGGAACTGAGACAGGAGAAGCTGGGTGTTCCAGACGAGCCTGGGCTATGCAGCAAGACCCTATCTATCTCAACCAAAACAAAATCTTTTCAAGTCATAAATATTCCAGCTATGTCCAGCATGGAACCAACCGTCTTTAGTAACTATGTATAACATGCCAAGAGTAATAGCCCTAGGCGCACAGTATCTGAGAAGACAGAAGTGGGCAGACTTGAGCAGCGTTTATCAAAGGAAGGAAAGGGGGGACGGAGAGGAAGGAAAAAAGAGATATGGCTGTGAAAAAAATAATCAAAATAAATAGAAACAGAAATAGAAGAGAGTAAAGGAGACAGCTAACGCTTTACCCCAGCCACCAAAACCTGTGTGTGGTGTAGAGTGATACCTGTAATCCAACTTGGCAAACTCTAGGCAGTCGAGTAACTGTTATAAATATTCGGCCCGGAATCCAAAGTGCCAATGTCTAGGGTTTTCTAGTTAGTAAAAAGCTAAAGCTTCCTTCTTCTGGAAGTCAGCATCCAACAGACACAGAAGTACACGGCACTCCGCACACTGTGCATTCTCTCTCCTCAACCTTGAGGCGGCCCAGCCTCCACCACCCGCTCTTAACGAGTGAGACACAGGGCAGGAGAGATGGCTCAGTGGGTAGACCCCATATAAACCAGGTATGGAGCACACACCTGTGTTATTGAGTGTGCCCAGGTGAGGTGGGGGAGAGGCAGGGGAATCTCCAGGATTGCTTGGGCCTGCTAGCCTGGCAGATGCAGAGGTAAACAACAAGCAAGAAACTGTGTTTCAGACAAGGCGGAAGGGGAGGACCGAACCCCGAGGCTGTTCTCTGACCCCCACACATGTGTGCACTCACATTCACACACACACACACACACAGACAATGCACGCACACACACACACACACGCGCGTGCGCATGCACAGATTTGAGGGACAAAGGCTGAGCCTGTGTCACCGTGGCAGGAACCATGCCGGCTCTGCTTGGCATGTGGCACTCTCCCAACTCTTCAGAGAGAATCGGGGGTGGGCAGGGGGTTGTGTGGAGCTGGCCAGCCAGGCAACACATAACAGGAGTAAGTTTCCACCCGCTGTGACTCTTCCAAGCTCTGGGAAGGCTGCTTGGTGCCCTGAGCCTGGGATGTTGGGCGTCCACTGCCGTCTCTTGGTCTCTTGACACTGTGCATTTCTCAAGAGAAGGGGTGTCTTCACAGGCCATCTACTCCAGGGTTCCCAGACTGTGAAAATATGCAGCAGCCTAGCAAAGAAAAAAAGAAAGAAAGGAAGGAAGGAAGGAAGGAAGAAAGAAAGAAAGAAAGAAAGAAAGAAAGAAAGAAAGAAAGAAAGAAAGAAAGAAAGAAAGAAAAAAGATGGCTGCCAAGCATCTCGGGAATCTGTGGCCTTGAGGTGATTACAGTGAAAGCAGGGGCCACCGTGTGGCGTCACGGAGCCGTCCCCTCTGGGGGCGCAGATACAGGTCTGGGCTGTGCTTGGCCGTGGGTTTAACAGAAGACCTGAATTCCGCCTCACCCCAGAGGACTTCCCAGTGCTTTGTGCCTTGCGTGGGCTTCTTAGTATTTCTCTGTGAGTTGTTTCTCACAGAGATTCTTCAGATTGTTTATCTCGAAGCCAGCAGCACTCCTAGAAGCAAACACTGTTGCCAGAGAGCGCTAAGAATCACACCCATTGTGTGGCCAGCTCGGCAGACACAGGGCCCTTCTAGAAACAGCCCCGCTGCTGTTCACGGCAATTCTGTGCCCCGCGGCGCGGCTCAGCCCCGTTGACAAGGCCAGTGTTGTGTCCCGCAGAGCCCCCGTCTGTAATCAGCTTCCTTGGGAGTTAGGACTCTGTCCTCAGAGATCCTGCTGAGGTGTGACCCTGGGCAGTCTGTGACAGCCCCCTCCCCAACCTGTACACCCCAGGAAGAAAAGCCAGGCGCTGTATCTCTACTTGACAGTAGAGGAAGAGCCTGTTTGTCACTCCAAGCCTTGTAACTCCCTGGACAAACCAAGCGATGGACATGCAGGGACTCCTTTGTCCTTTTTGAGAGGACAGTGAGTCCTAATTTGCTATTTGGAGAATGCTTACATTAACTCCCACCAGACAGAACAAGGACCATGGTGAGCCACGGCTTCTTGGCAAGACACGGTTCAGTGTCTGGGGCACACAGGAGCCGCCTGTGGATGGGCAGCAGTGAGCCCACTTCCTGAGGGTTGAACCTTCACTGGGTTTCTGTCAAAGACGGAAGAGCCAACATCTCATCAACCTCTGTGTCCACACTGCTGCAGCGATCAGAGCCTACGCAAGCCTTTCTGCAGGGCTGTGAACTCAGGAAAGCCGGGTGTGTGTGGCAGGGAGCAGACTGGGCAGTAGGCGATGGAGGCCTGCTCTGCTCATGCGCTGGCAGGGCTTGCTCAGCTGTGAGGGAAGCCCTCCAGGGCTGCACTTCAACTTCGGATCATCTTCTTCAGCACTCAGAAAACCATTCCACAGAGAGCACCCTGCCTGCAGGCCCTTTGACTTCTCCCTCAGGAAGCCAGCTTCTTGGTGGCAGCGACGGCATGTCTCTGACATCTTTCCCTGCTGGTCACCGTGTCAGACTCTACAACAAAAGCAGGGTACCTGAAACTCGGCGGAGGTTGACAGAGGCGCCCTTCAGGGAGCCCTTCCTCTTGCCCTTTGCCTTTTGGAGCATGCCCATTGGCACAGGTGAGCGCCTCCTTACTGAAACCCCTCCTGGGGCTGGAGTTTGGGGGAAGGCAGGTGGACCTGGTCAGGTCCGAGGCAGCCAGCGGCCACACCTCTCTGCGGCGCGCCTGTTGTTACTGAATACCTGTAGTTCGGATCGGATGAAAACGAAGACCCTTGCTGCCAAGCTTGATGGCCTAAGCTCCATTCCCAGCACCCGCATGGCGGGAGGAGGGAACCAGCTCTGGCAATCCGTCATGTGGTCTCCACACGCCCTCTGTGCCACACATCTCCACAGGCATACACAACAAGAGAAGCGAACTAACGAAAACTAAGCAAAGAGCCTCAAGGCTGTTCCCAAGTGTGTGTCGCCCTGTCCTCTCAAAGCTTTCTAAATTGTTTGTTGCCTCCTCTTCCCTCTGGAACCTTCTCCTCTTCCCAACACCGCCCTGCATCTGTGGCCATGCACCATGAAAGACTATGAATCCCTTCCCCCAACAACTCTTCATCGTTGCAACCCCCCCCGCCAAGGAGAGGTCAGGCCCAATGGCCTGTCACCATCACGGAGGTGTCTGATTTGTATGCGGGGTGAGAGATCCCACTCTCCCAGGTCTCGACAGCCGATTTTCCCCGTGTGTTTTGGCTTCTCTGTCAGAGATTGTATGGCTGTTTTTGTATGCATGTCACCCTGTTTCTAACTACAAAAGAAGATATGGTCACCACACCCAGGACAGGACCAGCCTCACTCCCCACGGGAACCAGAGTTTGGACTCACACCACGTGTCACCTGTGTACAGCGGGAGTCGGCTTGCCTGTGCTCAGTTTCATTCTGTGCATAGAACTCGTCAACCCACAAGGACGTGAAATCAACCAGATGCTTGGCCTGGGGAGAGCTTAGTTTTAGAAGGGCTGATTGGCGTGGAAGTTTTTATTTTTTTATTTTTTGTTTTGTTTTTCCTACTAAGAAAACACCGGAGTTCTTTCTCTCTGTCACTTGTTTAATTTTCAGAAGAAAACGTCTTAGGTTTTTTTTTTCCTTCGTCTTTTCAAGTAATTACGCGCTGTACTTGACTTGCTTCCAACATACCACGATCCTTCCAGCGAGTGAAAGGAAGCGCTGGGCTTCCTGCTTGCCCGTGTGCTCACCCGGCCGGCCGCCTTCAGACCCAGCCGTCAAGCCCATCACCTAGTAAGGGGGTGTTTCAGTGATGGGGAGCTAGAGAAGTACAAAGAAGGACACACGCAGACACAGACACGGAGAAGTGGGGGGGGGAATGCCTCGACGGTGGCAGACTCTTGTGCAGCGGCCGGCAGATGCGATTCCCCTGCTGAGAAAAGCCATCTTCCTGTACCAGCCACCGTGGGAGCCAGGCTTGCTGCAGGCCTATGCACGCCCTAGCTTAGCGTCTCTGAGGCGTGTGAGAAGCAGCGCGCTGCACAGCACAACTGAGGGGAGCTAACCCACCTTCGCAGGGACAGCCACGAGCGCGCGTGGCGGGCAGGATGCTGAGCTGACCCCTCCGTGCATCTTCCTGGCGCAAAGGGGAGCGGTGAAGCAGAGACCTCCCCTTCCTCCTGCCTTTGACCGTGGCTGTCTCTGCTACCAAGCTTATACCCGGAGAGAAGAGCCAAGCGTGTGGTCCTCGGGGTTTGCTCTAGTTGGAAGTGGATCCAACGACATCATTCCAGAGAAGCCGTCCCACCCGGAAACTCCCTGAAGGGTCTTCTTCTGTACACCACTCAACAGCCGCCTGAGGGAATGCCTCGCTTACTCACAATTCCGCCAAACAAGTGACGTTCCGTGTGATGCTATGATGCACAATGTCCTGCCCGGGTGCGTGCCACGTGATAACAGATTAACCCGCGTGTCCTCCAGGGTGCCTTATAGTTGGACATACACACGCATTAACTCTTACTACAGTCTTAAAGTGTTATCCCATCCATGTCAGTGATAAGTGAGTGAGATCTTAAGGTCTTTAAAAAAATGGCGTTTGTTCACAAGTGTTCATGACTACTCATCAGAATTTTTCTTGTGACTTACATCTCAAGAACACACGGGAATAAGACGGATACCACTGTGAGGAAATGGATCGAGCGTCTGTGGTCCCGGGTGTTTTTTATTACAGTTGCAGCATTCTCACATTTAAATCTTCACAGATGATATTCACATGATCTGTACTTGGGGAAACCTCAGGGTCTCCCAGCCGTAGCTCCAACCCCTCGCTACCCGTTTCCCCCTTCACGGGAAGCCAGGGTTTTTGACATTTTCCTCTTCCTTCCCAGGATTATTTATGCATTCTCAAGGGAATGCATGTGTCTGTCTCCATTCCTTTTCTGCTTTTAAAGCGGGAGCCAGTGTAAGATACACCTGCGGTGCTTTTCCAACCTGAGTGTCCCCGGCAGTTGACAAAAGACTTCCTCTTGTTCACTCTGCATCCAGCTCCGTGGGAGGAGGCCAGGTTGATGATAGGAGTGGATGTGACTTTATCATGAAAATGACTTTGGGAAACAAATGCATCCACCACTAAATTGTCTAAGCCTGTGACTATATCGCAAAAGGGATATGTTGGGTGTGGGTCCCCTGTGTAGTCAGAGCAGAGAGGCTTTGGAACTGGGTGACACCAGTGTACAAGGGCATGGAGTGCTGTTGGGGATGGGGGACATTTCTGTGTTTATGAGTCATTCTCACCCTCAGGGATACCCAATTCACACACACACAGATCCTCTCCCCCACAAACATAGGAGGCAAGATACCTTCAGAGGCATCAGAGCCCTCGTGTAGAGGCACAGGGACTCCTGTTTCAAAGGCAGGCTTTAACTTGTGGAGCCGAGTAAGGGGAAGCCACCCATCTTCATGGAGTTAAACAGTTTTATCTGCTATTCTGCCACATTGTGCAAGATACTGGGCGGGGGGGGGGGGGCATAAAAGAAAGGGGTGTGCGTCTCGGCCCCAAGAGAAATGTAGCCTGCTCAGCCTCCAGCATCTTCCTGGAAGGACCTGCTGCCTTACCACGTTTTGTGGCTGGCATGCAGTTTCCAGGACAAAGCCGAGGTCTCCGTGACTGAGAGCTCGCTTTGGCTGCGTGAATTGAGAGCTCAATGCCGGAGTTCAGCGGCTGGGGCAGACCATGCTGGATTGCTGAGCCTGGGTGAGCCCTCCATGCTCGCCCCACGGCATCTGGCCCTTTTGGTATCTTGAGATTCACATCTGCAGGCTGGTCCCCTTCTGTCTTGTGCTGCTGGGGATTGAACCCGGGCCCTTGTACAGTCTAGACAAGAACTTTGCCACTGAACTAAATCCCTGGCATCAACTCACTCTTTTTCCTGTTACATGCTCCCTTGTAGCTGGAATTGCAAACCTGGTTTCCTCTTTTTTTTTTTTTAATTGCACCCTTTTTGCTAGCTGAGACAGGAGAGACATGATCTACGTTTCTGAGAAATTTTAAGTGAGCTTGGTTGGAGTACTGTGGGGGAGGGGTCATCTCTGCTGTGGCTCTCTGGGGCCTCAGTCCATTATCTGTAATGGTCCAACAAGACCAGCAGCAGATCTCTCACTGCTATCTGCTGTGTGTGCTTCAGATCATCGATAAGAGCAAAAGGGACCCGTCGGAAGAGATCGAGATCCTCCTGCGGTATGGCCAGCACCCCAACATCATCACCCTAAAAGATGTAAGTGCCTCTGGAGCGGCTCTCCAGCTCCTTTCTTCAACTGACACAAAACCGCCACCATTGCGTAGTACAAGTGTTCTCATGTTGCCCGTGTGCAGGGTGCCCAGGGTCACCTGCCTTAGACACTTCTCACCCAGGGGTCTCTGGTGCCTTACACACATAACTGGGAGTATGCACACCTCTGGAGACTCCCCGACTCTACCCAAGCATGCCATGCACAGCATAAAATAGGAAACACCTGTGGGTGTCAGTGTGTGCGTGCTATTGTTTGTCATTCTGCCTGACAGGTGGAGTGTGGCAGGAGGGTGGCAGGTCCCACTCAACTCTGGTGTGAGGTGTTTACAGCCTCCTTTGGCCTTTCCATGATGAGGGGACTTGGTGCAGAAATTGGCCACATCAGGCCTGTCTGCAAGGCTACTCTGCCCCATAAAAGCCTGGCGTGCAGGAACGGATCTGAGAAGAGATGAAATTTACCCTCTTCTCGCCCTGACCTCTTGGAGTATAAGGTTATTCCTGTGACATGCACCCACAGCCTGTAGCTGCTGGGACCACTACAATGTCCCTTTGGGCGGCAGCTCACGGAATAAGCTTTCAACCCTGGGGAACACAGGCAATGATCGCCTTGCATCCAAAAGCTTAAATGGAACCCTGGGTGGCTTGGGCCCCTCACCGCACAAGCATGGTGCTCTGATGGTGCACTCTTGGTTTACATGGAAGATTTACGAAGCAAAGCCAGCTCCTTTGCAGACTCAGGGATGCTCAGTTGGAGGTGAGCAGCCCAGCTCTGAGATGGCGTCATCTTCCCACCTTCAAAATAGAAGAGTGAACTCGTAAGACAAAAACACCAGAATTAGCTCCACACCTTTCACACAGGTCACAGTTGGGTAAATTATTTTAGTGGCTGGTTCTGGAAATTCGTCAATGACATTATTATCACTGAGCCAAGAATAAGCCATTTAGGCCTGTCACCCATTTTCACCTGGCTCTCAAAGCTTAGGCTTCCACAGGCTCCATGCACTCGGTGACTGGGATACGAGTGTGGCCGTCTTTGTATATGCAAGGGCACAAAAGCAGCCAGTTTGCATTTTTGCTTTTCGTTTTTTTTTAACTGAGTTTAAAGCGAAAACCATGTGTTTCTTAGAGCCAGGTCTCCTCCCCCCTCCACACCTACAGAGCCAGAACATGCACTCTGACCTGACCCCCAAAATCGCATGCATGATGACGGTTGAGAGGCATCGTCCTCGCAGAGAGCTGTCGCCACCGTCGCCTTTCTTCCGGAGGTGTGCCTACCTCCCAAAGACGGGCAGAGTAACCGTGTGGCATGTCCCAGCTAAGCAACCTTTCTCAAGCCCCCCCCAGGTTTCCCATGGTCCAGCTTGCCCTCTCTCCAGGCTGTCAGAGCTGTTTCCCTCCCAGGAATAGCCTGTGTAGCTGGAGTGGCTGCTCACCGGTTTACAGCAGCCAGACAACTTGATCTCACTCCCAGGGACACAGCCTCCAGCTTGGAGCCCTTGCTCCTTCGCACAGCCAGGGGCCTGAGGATGGCAACCACGGGTGGCGTACCAGGCCCCTGAGGTGCCGTGCTCTTCTCCGTGGCTCCCAGGTCTATGATGATGGCAAGTACGTGTACCTGGTGATGGAGCTCATGCGCGGCGGGGAGCTGCTGGACCGCATCCTGCGTCAGCGGTGCTTCTCGGAGCGTGAGGCCAGCGACGTGCTCTACACCACTGCCAGGACCATGGACTACCTGCACTCCCAAGGGGTAAGGCCCAGGCCAGGGCAGTGAGCCAGCTTCAGGGCAGCGGGCAACTTTGCGGGAAGGCAGATGTGAGGCCACGGAGAAGCAGAGTTGTAGAGGCAGGAGTGAGACATCTCTATAAGCTGACAGCTTCAGGCTAACAGGAGGGTAGAGCACTTCCTGGGCTTGCCCTCTTAATTCCTTCGTCCCTGAACAGCGTACCCATACGGTGCAATTTGACGGGACCTGTTCTGCTACCCGCTATGGGTCTAAAGTCATTTGGGCATAGGGTATACAGGAACTAAGTTAATTAATTCATGTCAGCCAGTCTTAGCAAGGAAAAATTGATGTTCTGACCTTGGTAAAGAGAGGTCTAGAATTTTCACTATGCGGTACATAAAGCTAAGCAGAGGGGGGGTAACTGGTGGGTTCCCTTGGCCTCTGATGGCCCAGACTGCACCCAGCTCCTCAGGGACTCACTTCTAAACCCTGGACCATGCACGTTTTATGTCTTAGAGGACCAGCACAGGCTGGTTAAAGTCAGTCCCCTCCCCCTCAAGGCCAGGCTGCGGAACTCCATGCGCCATAATGAGGGGGCAGCCAGTGTAATACATTTTCTGCGTCTTTTTTCCACCCTTACCCCTTCATCCTGTACCTCTCTGACTTTCCTTCCATCCCCCCCCCCCCCCCGCCCCATCCTTCGCCTCCACCTTCCCCTCTGGTCTTTCCCTCTCTCCTCAGAATATCTCCTAAAGCAGAGGTTTGGGTCAACTGTGTGTAGAGGCTTCCAGGATCTCACTAGTGCCTTTCTGTGTGGCTTTTCCGTGATGCAGGAGTCCCACAGTTTTCCCCAATAGCCAGATTCTAGAAGTATCCTGGGTGCGAGAGTTCACAGACACTCTTCTCTTTACTGAGGGGTGGAGACAAGCGTCCTCCCGTAGACTGCCGTCAGTGTCTATGAACCGGGCCCGGCGGCCCAAGGGTATCACTCCCATCTTCTCAGCAGAATCTCCTGCTGCTCTGCGGGAGGGCAGCTGGGGTGTTCAGAGCCCCAGCCTCACGAAGGCCTCGCCTTGTGGGCTAAATGGCTGCTTTGTTTTGTGGCACTGCTGGCCCTTCTGTCGTGACAGCTGTTGCCGTAACTATGGGCTGTGCTTGGAGTCTGTGCCCTGAACGGTGCGGGTTTGCAGTCTGTGTAGCCACGAGCCCCCTGCCTTTGCTGCCCGGAGTCAGTGTGCCCGTGACAGCAGGTGCACCTGGCTTCTGGTGCTGGTGACAAGTGGCCCGCGCACTGGCATTGTACCCCAAGACCCCACCCCACCATGGGCCAATTTTCTTTCTCCGAGTGAACGAAAAGCATGGGGACCTCTCTAATCTCTGCAGCCAGGGCCAGGGCCTGGCACAGGCCTTTCTGTGGCACAGTGCCAGCAGCTGCTCCTGTGTCCCGGACAGCATGTGTTTCATTCAGCCACACAGTGCCGTGTGGAGGTGGACGGTGTGGGTACTTGACCCCAGGTAACCAGCATGGGTAAAGAGACCCAGCAGCCCCTCAGAAGACCACAGTCCTTTTCTCCTGCCCTGGGACCTGCCCCAGGCAGCCCATGCCTCCCGCATACCCTTCTTCTCTCTCCCGTTGGCCTTGACTAATGCTCCCTGCCTTCCAGGTTGTTCACCGGGACCTGAAACCAAGTAACATCCTCTACATGGATGAGTCTGGAAACCCCGAATCTATCCGCATCTGTGACTTCGGGTTTGCCAAGCAGCTTCGAGCAGAGAATGGGCTGCTCATGACCCCCTGCTACACCGCGAACTTCGTGGCCCCTGAGGTAGAGTCCCCCCAAACTCAGGGGAGACAGCGTTGCCAGGTTGAGGGAAACACACCCACCGTCTTTCCTGTTACCAGAGTGGCTAGAGAGCTTGGGGTGTTGAGGCAGCACAATGGGCTCAGCAGTGCCCCTGAGAGACACAGAGGGGGGCCTGCTGTGGAGGGAGGAGAGCGCATGCTTGCCCTGCAATCAGCCAGCTCAGTCACCATGAGCATTCTGCTTTCCATCGGAAACACTTAAACGGTGCTGATGCCCCGTGGTTCTTGTGCTAGGGTTTCCTTGACAACGGGTCAGCATCCATCCAGCTTGAATATCGAGGGCCCACAGCAGTGTGCACCCAAATGCTCACGTATGCAAGGGAACCACTCTGCCCCACCCTACCCCTTACCTCAGAGGATCACAAAAGGGCACCTCCTCTCCCTTGCCAGCTTCCCGGGGCCAATTCCAATAGGCTCTGCTGCCGCTGACATTTGTAGTGACGAGTCTGGGTTCTCTAGGGAGTTGACGGAAAATTGGGACCACAGTGGCGGCAGCAGGGCCTAGCGTCGCTGATGGAGTCAGGAGAGGCTCGGGCCCCGTGTAGAATGTCAGGTCTGCTCCAAGCCCTGAGAGGAAGACGCTGCTGTGTGCTGTGCCGAGTAAGACTCGGGCAGGTCCGGTCTCAGAGTGACAAGCAGCAGCACCAGGTTGTCCAGGCATGTGAGCCTTGGCCCCTGTGGAGACTGCTGGTCTGAAGCTCCGATTGCGCCCCATTTGGCCATTATGATACTGACAGAAAGTGCATACAAGTAGGCACACTTCGTAAGTGAGGAGAGCAAAGCAACATCAGCATTCAAATGACTCAGGGAGGTCATCTAACACCTGTCTTGCGCCACGGCACATGGTGTCAGGAAGGCCGTGATGAAAGTCGGCCCCTCCCTCTCGCCTGGGAAGAAACCCAACAGCTCCGATGGCTCGTTCAGGCCAACGCAGCAATGTGCAGCGATCCGTGAGCATCGGGCTGGGCTCCTCACCGTCACCCAAGTAGGGACATATCCAACAACCACCCCCACGTAACACCGTGTGTGGCGCGACGATTCGTCAGAGTTCTTCCTCCTTAGTAACTCTTCCTACCCTTTAATGAGACACGCGGGGTTGAGCAGCACACTCCTGTATCCACTGGGACTCTTTGGGAGGACGAGGCAAGAAAGGGCGCTTGAGCTGAGGGACCGGAGGCCAGCCTAGACTACGTGATACGGCCTCATCTCAAAACACGAACTACACACGGTGCTGGCGAGGTGGGGATAGACAGGTCATTCCTGTCTGTGCCGTGAGTCCCAGGACAGCCCTGTGTGGTTCCACTGATGGGAGGTTCCTCGCAAGGTCAGATTCATGAAGAGAATAGAATGGGGTTGTCAGGGACTGGGTTGGCCAGCGGGGAATTTGTACTTGACAAGGACAAGGCTTCAGTCTGGGGGATAAAGGGGGTCTGGAGGATAGCTGCCTGTGAATGTGCTCGGGGTGCCATTCCTAATATGTGGCTGATGTGGCAAGCTGAAAAGGGGAAACGTCTGCCTTAGCACCATGCATCAGGAAAGAGTTATGCCCCACTCCTGTGTCCACAGGGACCTTGCCACAACGTGACAGGTAGGATGGGCTGACCCAGCAGACGACCCCCGGCCCGCCTACTTCCCATTTGCCTAGGGAAACCCGCTCCAAACTGGAGCTGCCCAGTGCTACCCTGACCATGCCTGTCGCCCTTCCAGGTCCTGAAACGGCAAGGCTACGATGCAGCGTGCGATGTCTGGAGCTTGGGAATCCTGTTATACACCATGCTGGCCGGGTAATGGAGGACCACCAGGGGTGTTAGCATCAGGCCCGAGGGCTTCACCCCTACCCACCCCCCCACCCCGTGCTTGTGCGTAAACAACATCAACCCATCTGGGTTAGGATGACTACTCAAACCCTGTGGGATAAGAGAGGACAAGGATAGTCAGCCAGTGCACACGCCTTCTGCAGACCAGCCCACACCCCTCCCCCCAGTGCACACGCCTTCTGCAGACCAGCCCACACCCCTCCCCCAGTGCACACACCTTCTGCAGATCAGCCCACACCCCTCCCCCCAGTGCACACGCCTTCTGCAGATCAGCCCACACCCCTCCCCCCAGCCGTTCTCTTGGAAGCATCACTGGGAGAATCGCACGCTCCTCTTCTCGGGAGGTGTGTGCTGATGCGTGTCCAACGTGGGTCAGGGTGGTGGACGAGGACACACCTGGCACGCATGGTGCGTCCTTCGTAAGTTCAAGAACCAATCGGGTCCCTCGAGCGTCAGGTTCCTGGCCACCAAACCACTCTCCAGGCAGAGTCCGTACCAGCCTGGCACCGGTGCAACCCAAAGGGGCCCAGAGAGAATGCACACTAGGGTTGTGACAGGCCTTCCCCGCCCATCTTGTTGACTCCCGGAACTGAGCAAGTGAGGAAGGTGACCTGGGACCAGGACATAAGCCCTGGACTCGGCAAAGGAGGGGCAGACACCGTTCCCTCCACAGAAAGCCCTGGCGTGGGGCCGAAAGCTCGGGGCCATCGATCCTCTCCCACGCAGGTTCACCCCTTTTGCCAACGGACCAGACGACACCCCTGAGGAGATTCTGGCAAGGATTGGCAGTGGGAAGTACGCCCTCTCCGGGGGGAACTGGGACTCCATATCTGACGCAGCAAAGGTGAGTGCGATTCCCAGTGTCCTTTCCCTCCTAGGCACAGAGATTCTGCAATAGGCATGCTGCTTGCGAGGAAGCTGGAGATGCCACCCGTACGGACGTGATAGGCGTTTGTTCACAGAGTGTTTCACTTTTTTTTTTAATTGGAAAAAATCTTACCTTCTTCCACAATGTTAGTGTGGTCAAGTTATGCAGAGCTACGGAGCCAATAGGAAATGTCAGCATGGACCGGGATGCAGATGGTGGCAAACATAGATGTTAGCGGCTAGAGAGGGTCCAAGAAGAGTGGCGTCTGGGGAAGTAGCTGCCGTGACCAGGACTACAAGCCTGAAGTTTACAGAGTGACTGGCAGCTAGGGTCCCGGGGAAAGAAGGGATGGTATAGAATATTGTTGTAAAAGGTAGAGGGATGTGGGAAGTCCTTCTGTGCATATGTCAATAAAGCACTGTTGGCCAATAGGGAAGCAAGATAGGTGGGACGAGAAGTCGAGGAGGATTCTGGGAAGTGTAGTGAAGGGGGTCGTTGTGCCATGATCCCTGGAGGAGAGAAGGCAAGTCTGGTGTTCTCAGAAAGATAAGACCTTCTAAAGATATACGTTGGTGATTACGGGTCGATGATTAGAAACCATAGCAAACGGCCAACAGCTTCATAATTAATGCGGCCGCCTGTGCGTTCACTTGGGTTGGCGCGGCTCCGGGACCTAGTGTAGGGGATGGTAGGGGTCTGTCTGCAGCCAGCGGGGGACACTCGGTGACAGCCCCCGATGGCTCTGAGAGTGTGCCTTTATGCACACCTGTGTGTGCTGGAACACCGTGTCGCAGCCGTGAGAGAGACCTTGAGAAAACAACATTTTTTTCATCACTTTCCTGTTCATACTTGAGGCTGCAGACAGACTTGCTCCAAAGCATCCCTGAGGTCACTGTGGCCAGATGCCAGGAGGTGCTAGGTTTCTTTGTAGAAGGGCATTGTTCCCCTGCACGGTGTTTCTTGTGTCCTTAGCAGGCAACCATTTTTGTCAAGACATTGTCTCAGCAGCTTATGTGTGCCATTTAACGTCAGAAACACCTTTGCTATAAAATCTTCAGTGAAACATTAATTCTCTACCTACTGCTAAGTCGGTAATCACTGACACTTAAGATATGTCCAGATACTCGTAAACCTAGATGCCACTTGACTCAAAATGAAAAAAAAAATCGCTTCAAAACCACAGTTATGTTCTACTGGGCAGTCGCTGGTCAGCCCAACACAACAGTCCCTCTCCCCTCTGAACCCTTGGCAGGATGTCGTGTCCAGGATGCTACATGTGGACCCTCAGCAGCGCCTAACGGCAGCTCAGGTGTTGAAACACCCATGGATTGTGAACAGAGAGTACCTACCCCAAAGCCAGCTGACCAGACAAGACGTCCACCTAGTAAAGGTACCTAGCGGCTAGGTCCTGTTGGCGGGTGTGGGAATCCTGGAGCAAGGCAGAGGAGAAACTGTGGCGTGTGACGTCACCAATTACAGGTTCACAAGTGTCACTTCAGCACGTGTGCAGAAATTGTGTTTGAGTGGCAGCTCTGGTGTAGGGGTGGTGCTTGGTACCATGGCTGTGCAGCCCTGTAATGCAGAGCTCCCATTTCTGGACCAGTCATGCTAGCAACCTCTGTCAGGCAGGCAGACATGCCATCCAGGCAGTACGACCCTTCTAAGAAGTGTGTGTAGTCCCTGTTAGACGTCCGTCCTGGATCTTTCTCGACGGTGTGGAGCTGCACCAAGATGAGCCCAGATGCCCAAGTCAGTCTGCACTGCTTCAGAGTGACAGATCCCACAAAGCATTGGCCATGGATTTCTGGGGATCCAGCTGGCCTGCAAACACATCTATCTGCCTTCGTGTCAGCATGGTCTTCCCAGGAACTCCACTCCAGTCTTCTTAAGTACTCCTAAGCACGGGCCCCGGCTGAGCCTGGGAAGTCATGGTAGTAGCCATCATTTGCAGGCCGATTATGCTGTGGACACAGCAGGTATGCCTGCTACCCTCCGTGCACCAGTAATCCTAGAGAAAGCTCTCCCTGCTTCACAGGGTCGTAAGCTGAGGCTCTTGAGGTACCATGGCTCCAGCTTCCCATGCAGGACTAGATGGCACCGTGCTCACCCACACGCCTTTCCTCTTACAGGGCGCCATGGCAGCCACCTACTTCGCCCTGAACAGGGCCCCACAGGCACCGAGGCTGGAGCCCGTGCTATCGTCTAGCTTGGCCCAACGCAGAGGTATGAAGAGACTCACGTCCACCAGGTTGTAGTGGCCAAGCCTGCCCTCCAGCCTCAGCCTCCCTGGCGCCAACGTCCTCTCAGGCTCCCAGATGCCAGATACGGGTCCTGTTGGCGGGCACTTGAGTGACCGTGAGGGCAGCACAAGGATGGATCTGGCCTTGGCAGCCCTGGAGGGGGTCCTGCCCAGGATGTCTGAACCTTGCTGTGCCGACCTCGCCGCCCGCTCTCCTTTTCTCCTGAGTGAAACCAAACGAACCTGTCCACCTCATAGCTCCCTGCTGGAGCCTGCCTGAGCTCGCTCGGGGCTCTTGGTCTTTCCATGTCATGGCTTATGTCCAAAGCACAGCACTTTTACCATTCTGAAGTCAGCAGAGCGGTCAGCCGCTCACAAGGGTGTCCTGCTGTCGCGTTAAGAGTAGCGGTGCAGGGTCCCCGCCAGGGGACCACAGAGCTGCTCTGGAAGATCGGGATGCTCCCGGGTGTTCTGATGTCTCCAGTGGCTGTGTGATGGCATCCACCTTAAATGCCTGGTCTGTCCAAAGTCACCCAAAGAGTGTCCCCTCACCACCCCTCTGGTTCACAAACGAGATGCTGGGTGGCCTCTCCCTGACTTCCGGCACTCACTTGTCAGGGTGGAAGTCCCCAACCCAAGAGTCGAGATGGCTGAGCCTGTTTGAGAGCCTGGCTGGTGACCGTTGAAGCTGCCAGGCGGACACTGGAGAGTGCGGGGCTCCGCCACTGGCACGTGTGCGGGCAGCTCCGCACGAGTTTGCCCGAGGTGGGTGGTAGGGCATTCACCCTCTGCTTCCCTGGTCCACAGAGAAACTGAAGAAGTGGAACTTTATTTCCACCCTCCCCCCCCCAGCCCTCCCTTTCGCCTGACTGAGGACAGGAGGGACACCTGAGCCCCTTGGCCTCAGACAGGTGTCAGGACAGGCTGTTGACCGGAGTGATGCCCTTTGCAGAAGCCGTGGTTCTGTGTCGCGCCTTGCGCTTCTGTCGTGTCGACCTGTCTTGAAATCACACTTCGCCAATCGTGTTTCCGGGGTGTAGTCTGCGTGCGGAGCAGTGGTGACGCAGAGAAGGCTGTCTGCGTGCTCTTTGTGCAGATTAATCGAGGGAGACCCTTCCTGCGTGGCATGCTCCACTCAGGCTGGCCCTGGGAGAGGGACTTGTATGTCCTCCAGTCTCTCCGGGGAGGGGGGATGCTGGGGATACCCCAGTAGTGGGCTCAGGTCAGAGGACACTCCACTGTGGCTCAGAAGCTGCCAGTCTGAGGGGCAGCCCCCCTGCCCAGGAGGTGTAGGAAGGTTGCAGCAAGCTCGCACTGGAAAGTCTGCAAGTGGGCTGTAGCCCCCCCCCCCGTGCCTCACTTAGCTCGAGGACCCAGCCCCTGCCCCCAGTGGGGCGCCGGGAATGTAATTCCTTTGCTCGGTCTAATTATTTCAGACCTCGAAATGTAAACTTATTTCACAAGCTTTAATTACGCCACTGGACTGTGTTTTGTTTGACGACTATAAAATACACAAGAGTGGGAACAGACTGTGGCTGTGTGCCGTTTTCAGTGTCCCTAGGGAAGTTCTCACATTTTCTCAATGGAAAATGCTCTGCCCAAGGCTGAAATCACCTCCCTGCCGATTTTTTAGGTCTGGGTCCTTCCGTTTCTTGGTAGAAATCTAGAGGAAAGCAATAGCAGGTGGTCCTAGTGACAGATGCTGTCCTCTTGGAAATGGGCAAGAGTCCTGAAATCCTATGGGGGGGGGCTCTCCAGCTTGGGTCATATGCCTGTTTGTCCACAGCGTTCGGGCTGGGTTTGTTTGCGGTTTCAAATCTACGAGTTGCAATGGAGAAGAGAAAGAATAAGGGAACATAGAAGCCATTGCTGAGGAGGTGAACATAGCCCGCCCCCGCTGGTCACATGGTCCTGTCGCCTCTTTTCAGTAAGGCCAGGTTACCTGCCTTACGCTCACGCTCACACACATACCAAACTCTGTATCTTTGACGTGTCCGTGAAGCATGTCACGTGTCTGTGGAGGACGCTGGTTCAGCCCTGCCCGGTGGAGAGTGAAATACCTCGACGCCCCCCCCCCCACACCCAGCACATGATACTTGAAATCTTTGGTAGAGTCAGCCTACAGAGCATGGGGCAGGGTTATCTTAATCTGCTCTTTTAAAGTTTGCGGTGCAGCAGCAGGCGGCTGTGACATGTGACCCCAGTGTCCCTAGTGGACCTTGCCTCTCCTGTGAACCTTTATCCAACACGATGAAAGGTCCTCTGTTCTCTACACAAGTGACTGAGTTCCCCACACATGCACGCACACACACTCACACACGCGCACACATGCACCCCGCCACAGCTTGGGTCTCCGAAGCTACAGAATTTTGTCATGGAAGGAAAACCCCAGCCTGCATCCCATGCCTCCCGTACGTCTACGCAGTGATCCCGCTGGCCGCTCCTGTCCTGTTTGGGATGAGAACATGATGAGTGCCCCACCCCACTGAAGGGGGCGGGGCTTATCAGACTCTACCCACTGTCCTGCAGTCGGAACGTGCGATTTTTTTTAAACTACCTGTACGCCCTGATTCAACTTTTTTAAGAAGATAGCACCCTGTGCTATCATGTCGGCAGTATTGTTTATAAATGGTGTTGTTCCTGAAGATGCCCTCGGGGATGTTCCCTGCATTGTACTGATTCTCTCAAGCACAGAAGCAAATATGCCGTTGACTCTTCATCCTCTCTGGCGTGTTTTGCCGTCCTTCGCCGCTGGCAAGAGAGTGAGACACCCGGAGTGGGAAAAGGACACTGTGTGCCAGGGAAGGAGGGAAGACGAATCCAGCACGGCTCTATGCCTCATCCGTGCAGGCAACACAACACCTGGTCTCCTTGCCCCCCCCAGCACCGCATTCACACGCAGTTCCGTTTACAGGTCACTCCGTGTTCACACCGCGCACACACCGCATTCACACCGCGCTCACACTTTCTGTCTGTGTTTGAGACGGGTGGCCACTGTACAGATATTTATTATGCTTTCCAGACTTTCCCATGAGGTTTTTTTTTTGAATAAACATGGATTTTATGAAGTGTAATTTTTTTTCCTCCTGGAATAGTGAGAACCTTTGGGCTTTCTAAAGCATTGCTACTGATAACAGTCCTTGGCCCCGCCCCCTTGTTCCTCTCGTCTCTTCCAAGTCACCGTGAATCAACCTCTGCTGCTGTCGTGGAACCTCACGGGAGGTGGCGCAGCTCTCTACCCTTCCTCCTTGAAAGAGCCTTGCATACTTGTGTGTGTGTGTGTGTGTGTGTGTGTGTGTGCGCGCACGCGCGCGCATGTGCGCGCATTGGGAGGTAGGAGTGGCGGCATGGGTCTGTCCACTAGGGGGCCCCGTGGGTGTGTGTCTGTGTGCACTCATGTGTGTAGTACAGATAGGTTTGTGCACACCTCACGGGGAGATGGCTCATAACACCATCCACTCTACTCTCATAGCTGTGTGTCTGTGTGTGGGGGGTGTGGGTTTATGCATATAATGTGTGCACATGAGCGTCTGAGCATGTGTGACGCATGGAAACATGTATACTCTATGAATGTGTAGAGAAGTGCAAGTTGGGGTCATGTTTGCACAAATTCAAGCGAGTGTGCATGGGTACACAGGTGTGCTAGTGCGTTTATATGCGTGTAACATTTAGATGTGTGTAACCTGAGTGTGTGGGATGTGCTTTCCGGGCTGAACCAGGAGCGGTGAGAAGTTAAACCCGGTGGCCGAGAGTTGCCTCGTCACCTGACCTTTCTCTCTTAAATTAGGTGTAAAGTGAACCTACACGGATGGCCTTTGACTCTTCAACGCAACACACGGATGCCCCTCTCTGCTCACCCTTCTGCACTATGTCCTGTGTGTAGCGTGTATCACACGTACATAGGTGTGTGCTTGGCCCGCGTAAAAGCCCCAGTGCCGGGCCGCCGCACTGCAGAGCAGATCTCCCTGACCCTGTCGGAACTCTGAGCAGGAGGGAGCACCAGGGTTCCCTGGGGGATTTCACCTCCACAGTAAAGGCAGCTCCTGCCCCTCGGGGTGTGCTCACATGAAAGACGTGAAGAGAGCATCGGGTCCCCTGCCTAGTCTGCATCTTAACTCCTCTTTGCCTCCCAACCTGCCTTACAAGTGGGTTCCAGGGATTTGATGTTGACAGGGTAGCCCCATCCCACCTGCTGAACCCCGTTGAGCGTGGGTCTGCTTCCAGCCCTGGCCCTCTTGGGTTTTCTTGGTTGGAGGAATCTGGAATGTGGAGGACCGCAGTTTTCTTGGCCTTTGCCCCACTTGCGGACCAACGGATGAGCCCACCAGTCCTGAAGATGCTAGCAAAGTTCCAGAATGTTCCCCTCCCCACCCTGAGGAAGAGACCACACAGCTAACAGCGTGAACCCCATATGCTCAGCAGTCCCCAGGGCCCTAAGCCTTATGGGGTGATGGAGAATAGCCAAGTGGATTTATGCCACAGCTAGGGACTCCTACCACAGGAAACCGCAATCCTTTAAGAAGGGATGTAAGCAAACACGACCATAATTCTCCGAGAAGTGAGAGCTCACCTGTCCTTGCAGAGAGAGAAAAACGAGCCAATGCCCCCCACACTGTCCACTCCACGATGTCCCTGGAGAGTTAGTCAAGGGTCAAATAAGCTGTGACAGCAAAAGGCTAAGAGACTTGCCTCCCCCCCTCCCCCAAACAGCAGCAGGTGGCTCTGTGAGTCCCAAATGCTGACTTGGGCCTGCTGAGCCTGGAGAAAAGGGTGGGACCTGTGCTGGGCTGTCACTGTCCCTTGTGTTAGTTTTGCCAAGACAACTGCCCTGCTGAGCTCAACTGCATCTGAGCAGCACCCGTCGCCGAAGGACGTCAGATGGCTGTGCGTACGTGGCTCTGGAGATCATTTTTTTTCTCAAAGTTCAGGCAGTTGTCTGCCCTAAGAATGGTCCACAGGGCACCTGCAGCTCTGCTGGGAGTAAGTCTCAGAGTGGCTGACCTTACTCCGGGGACTCGGGGATGGCCTGAATTCAGGAATCAGGAAGTCTAGCACTTAAGGCCATGACCTCTCAGGGACGATGAATAAATCTCACTTGCGAAGCAAGACCAGACAGCACTCAACAGCCACCGACAGAGACCGACCCTGGGGCGAGGCTCTTCCTGGTCACATGGTGTAAAAGTCACCTGACCTGGGTGGGCATTCTGTCTGCAAATTCTGTTTGCAGTTGTTACAATCTGACACTAGAGGGCGATAGGTCCACATCCACAGAAGCAGCACTTGCAGGCTCACACCTGCAGGTGATCAGAGCCTCGCCCAGCCTGTTCCTCTCAGAAGAAGGGCACCGCACCAGACAGAGCCCCCAGGGGACTCTGCGGTGGGCCAGGCCAGCGTTTGCTCCTGGTTCCTTCTACCACCTGGACAGGAGCTGCTGGCCCTGAGCTCTGAGCAGAACATGGAGTCTGGGAGAAGCTGAGGATCGTAAATCCACCCCAGGCCTGCACGGGGGAAGGTGTTGAGATGATCGGAGTGTGGTTGGTTTCTGGGGAACCAAGGGTGTGAGCACTGGCTGTTCTTCATGTGGGAGGGTTAGCGCCTCCTTTAAAGCGCCCACCTCACGAGTACCTTAGGGAGGGCTGAGAGAAGGACGGTGTGCCTTCCACTACACAGGCTGCCCTTGAACTTCCAATTCTAAGTGTCCACCTAAAGGCCGATGCCATTCTTTTGGCTAGAAGCTAATGCTTCTCGTCAGTGAGCTTTCAGTGCTACCCCAAGGCTATTTGGAGATTGGTTTTGTCCTTCGGGACTTTCATTTTTGGGTATGGTGGGCTTTACGTTTCCACCATGTGTGAGAGACTATCCCCCATTAGAAAGAAACCAGAGGGGTTGCGTTCAGACAACAGAAAGGGGGCTTGAAGACACCCCAGGGATCAACAAGAATCCACCCATCAGCTGTAAGGAGCCGAGGAGGAGGAGTAACATATGGGGAGATGGTCGGGGAGGGAGGGCTGTTTGAATGGGCCACCCAGGACGCTCATTGTCTCTGGGATTGATTTCTGCTGTGCGTGCATCTGTCTAAGTACCCAAAGCCACAGTAGCTAAGACCCCACAGGCTCAGGCAGCGAGGTTCGCGTCGGTGGCAGCAAACTGGCATCACCCACGTGTTGCTGCTGGTTTGTGGCGAAGGATGCTGTAAGATTATGGGGTGTGAGGCGGATCTCTGTGAGTTCGAGGCCAGCCTGGTCTACAGAGCGAGTTCCAGGACAGCCTCCAAAGCCACAGAGAAATCCTGTCTCGAAAAACCAAAAAAAAAAAAAAAAAAAAGATTATGGGGTGTGGCGGTTTGACTAAGAGTGGCCTCCATTGGCTCATATGTCTGAATGCTGAGTAAGAGGGGGTGGAACTCCTTGGCAGGATCAGAAGAGTTGACAGGTGGTCCAGTGTCTGTCTCCCTCCACCTGGCTGCCTATGGATCAGATACACTAGCTCTCAGCTGCTTCTCCAACCCCATGCCTGACACCACACTCCCGCCACGATGAAAATGAACTAAGCCTCCTCTGGAACTGTCAGCAGTCACCCAACTGGGGTGTCTGTTTTACAACAGCCGCCTTGGTCATGCTGTCTCTTCACAGCAGTAGAACAGAGACTCGGGTATACAGACAGAGCAATGTCAGTAAAGTGCTTGTCGTGCAAGCATGAGGACCTGAGTTTGGATCCCAGCACCCCTGTAAAGAAATGATCCAGGCACGGTGGTCACAGACCCCTAGTCATGGAGCTAGGGAAGGGAGATGGGATCTTACCAACGTGAGTATTGGCTGATTCACATCTCCACTGACTAGACTCCCGGCTGACCTGGAAGGGCTACTTGGTTAGAAACCATGCTGACTGGAATGTCCTCTGAATGGTGTCCCTACCGACTTGAACCCTTGCCAACCAGTGTCCCTGGTGCTTAGAGTCCCCACTGCCTGGTGCCTCTATGACTGCAGTCCGCACAGACTGGTGCCTCTCCTACCTAGAATGCTCCGGACTGTGCGACCGTCCAGTCTGCTTATTTTGAGTTCTTGTTTCTCCTTCCTTCCGGTAATGGGGAGGGTTAGATTGGGTGGGGGAGGTGAGCACACAAGGCTTTATCTCAGCGCAGTGCTGCCAGTTTAGAAAGGGAAGCAGGAACTCAAATGGGAAAGTGGAAGCTCTGAGACACTCCGCTGCAGCTCACCGCCGACCAGGAGAGGTCCGAGTGTCACAGCAGGCTGGGGTGTCATTGAGAGACTGAGAGATCTCCTGTGATGAGCAGGTCTCAGCAGGCAGCCGTAAGGCTCACAGGGCAGAGGTAGACAGGAAAGGGAGGGGTGAGTCTCGGGGGCTGAGGCAGGAACCAGCCTCCCTCAGGCTTACAGTGGGAACTTGGAGGTCTTAGATGCCCTGTCTTTTCAGGTCTAGGACAGCAGCAGTCTTGGCGGACTCTTCAATCTTCCTATGAAGTCTGGGGGCCTGAGAGGCTGAGGGTGCAGCCCGCTGGGAGTCAGACTGCGCAAGCTAGGATGTGGGTGCTCTCAGTCTCAGACCGGAATTGGTTGGGCGCGTGGGACAAGAAAGGCCTGTGAAACCTGGGGAGAGAAACAAAAAGCTGGTTAAAACTGGGGGGAGCTTTAATCTGGGTCACTGCTCTGGTCCCCTTCCCTCGGGGTTGCGGAGGGAGCTGGGAAAGGGTGTGGGAACCCCAATGCCTAATTCAGGCCCCCCTGCCATGAATTCCTGGCTGCTGGGCTCTTTTATCTGTTGCACATGTGAGGTTCCCTTCTGCCTCTGTGGCATGTGTCCCTGATGACTGGACTACCCCACACTGGAAGCCTGCGTCCTGGGTGAACCAGGCCTCTGGGCTGGAAATGGGAGACGCAGAGCAGCTAAGGCTCTTTCGTGGTTCCATCCTACAACTCCGTCCCAACACCGTGACTTCAGGATGACCGAGGTCTGCATCCCCCAGCCTAGTCACTTACATTGCAAGGATATAGGTGAAAGGGGACTGGTGGACTTTACCATACAGTGTTGAAGGACGTGATTTAGCCATCCCACGGTATCTAGACCTAGCCCTTCCCCACACTTTACCCTGTAAGTGCTCACATCTATGATCTGTCAGTTGATGGCAGAAATTAATAAAAGCAGAGATACAGCTGAGCATGGAAACGGACCTGGGCTACACATCTCAATTTTCTATGACATTCACTTTGTCCCTCATTTCTGGGGAGACACTCTGTTCCGCCATCCACGAGGTTTCTTCTGTGATGGGAGGCAGCAGCAAAGCTTCAATAGACGTTGCCCAATCCTCCCTGGCCACGCCTTCCATTCGCTGTGTTGTCTGGGACTTGAGGCTGTACCCTCGCTATGGTCTAGCTCATTGGGGAGGGGCTTCTCCTCACATAATGTGATGTTTTTTCTGTGTTCCCCTGGAGGCTGGTTAGGGAATAAATGTCAGGGGCGGGGATGCCACACAGATGAGCTGTGCCAAGAATATGCCAAGAGTAGAAGCAGAGAGGGTTGTCCTGCTCAATGGCACTCCTTTTTCTGGGCTGTTGGACAATCTCTAGCCTCTGGTTTTTTTTTTTTTTGTTGTTGAAGATAAGATTGTCTGAAGGGCAGGCTCACTGGCCCTCCTCCTCAGAGGCAAAGGGAAAGTGACAGGATCTGTGGGTGAGTTGAAATGTGTCACCGCTATGCCCCTGAACTTGGAGTGGGTTGAGCAGCCACGTCCCTGAAGTGCCTGATAATGCAGTAAACAGTATGATGCCATTGTCTCATCAAATGTCCTATTCGACAAGGCCTCTCTTATATCTTGGATGTTGAAGCCAATGTTTGCCACGGCCGCCATGATAGCAGGGTCCGGGAAGCTTAGGGTTGTCTCTTCATTGTGAGTTAACATGCTCTCACGTCTTAGCCATGAGTGCCTTTTGATTTTTTTAAACTGTTGGCCTCTGGCTGGAGTTGACAGTGTCTGATGAGGCCCTGTAGCTCGGTGGAAAGCTGGTTTGGGACCTCATACCTCCCTGGTTCCCCCTGCTCCCAAAGCTCTGAGAAGGTGCGTGCTGCAAATGGGAGTGTCCCTGTGACCGTGAAAAAACAAGAGGACTCCCAAGGTCCGAATGTCTACTTTAGGGCCATCGTATGGCACTCCTAGGGAGAATTCAGGGGCACCAAAGTGGAGTGTCCCTCCAGGCCCATCAAGCTGCTTCCCAGGCCTGACCTTGGTCCCCAAGCCAAAGTCGATGATGTTCACTTTTCCAGAATGGTCTACAACAATATTATCAGGTTTCAGGTCTCTGTGGACTATGCCATGGTCTTGATGGTAGCCCACGGCACCTGTGATTTGGCGAAGTAGTTTTCAGGCCTCATTCTCCTGGAAGCCTCCAGACTCACAAACATGGATTTCACACATGAGAGCTGCAGAGTCACTTTAAACAAATAGTGGACAATGGGTTTGTGGTGCTGAGAGCCATATTCGGGACCTGGTGCATCCTTCTTCCCTGAGCCACACCCAGCTTTTGAGCAGAGTGTAACTCCCTGGGGAGCACAGAGGGGATGGCTGGCCTTTGACTGCAGTCTAGAACACAGACTCTCAAGGACACATTGCTTTCGACCTTTACAAAGACGTGGGGCCTCAAGATATCCAGGAAGGATGTTTTCTACAGACTGAAACTAACTGCAGACACAGCACACTGGTAACAGACCAGCCCACCGGAACTACACTGGGTCCTCAGGTAGACACTGCTGGATTCCTCCCAGCCCAGACACAGGCCCTGACTCAGAGAGGAGACGGTGAGAAACGGGACAGGACAGGTCCTGTGTGGACCCTAGCTGGATGGTTAACATTTGCTAGCATGCCTTAACACTTGCCTTAAGGGGCCTGTGAGTCTTAGCAGGACCACGGGGGACAGTGTCGCTCCTATCACAGAGCTAAGCAGGAGTCAAGACTGCAAAGTGAGAATGAATACATGGATCTCACTTCCTTGCTAACCCACAGTCTGTCCTCGAGCGGGACGTAACTGTCACCCTGTGGGGAGTCAGGGTGAGACCCAGATGGTGACTCTAAATGAAACCCCTAGTACTTTGAGAAAAGGCACCCAGAGAAGGCATATGTTAGCAAACCAGCCGCAGCGTTACATGAGATCAGCGCCCGCTCTAGTTTCACTTCTGATGCTATGGAAAATACCCTGACCAAAAACAAACAAACAAACAAAAAAAACCAAAAAAACAACAAAAACAAAACAAAGAAACCAAGTTTGGGAAGAAGGTTTGCTTTGACTGACAAGTCCACGTTACGTGGACTCATTATTCTTCCCACTGTGGGGAAGTTGAGGCACGGATTTAAAGCATTACACCCACCGTCCCACCGTCAAGACCAAAGTGAGAATGAATACACGGATCTCACCTCCTTGCTAGCTCTCAGCGAGCTTTCTTTGTTCTTATACTGTTCAGACCCTCCTGCCTAGGAAATGTTGCTACCCACAGTGGGCTGGGTCTTCCTGCATCAATTAACCATCATTATAATCCCCGCTGGCATGTCCATAGGCCAATCTGACCCAGGCAAATTTTCGTTAAGAGTTTCTTCCCAGTTGACTCTAAGTTGCATCAAGTTGAAAGTTAAAATTAACCAGCATAATGCCCTTACGCTCAAGGCTCATGGATGCTCCCGGGCTCCTCCAGCCACAAGAAAACACAGCTTCAGGTTGCCATCTCTAGAGCGGGAAGCAGCCCCCCAGCCACCCGGGTCTGCAGTGTCTCAATCTGGGTTTTATCCAGAACTGTGAGCCATCAGGCTTTGCCTCCTCAGACGTGAGTGCTTTGTCTATCCGCCCAGATTAACCAAGACAACAGGAAGAGACGACAAGTAAACAACAAATTCACTGTTAACCACTGGCAGTGCCCTGTACCTGGGAGTTTCTTCTAGGTCTTCACAGGAAGCATTTTCAGACTCCCAGGAAGAAAACCCAAACCTCCCGTCTTCAGCAGCTGCTCTGTAATGGGCCGGTCACTGCCGTGAGGCGCTGGGATCCCTGTCCCGGGCATTGCTGGGAGTGTAAAGGTGATACAGCCCCTGGGGCAGCAGGACAAAGTCCTTGAAACGTTCAACAAAGAATTGCCGTGACACAGAAATTCCACGACTACCTGTAAGCAGGGCTACAGTCTTCCCACCCACGCTCACACACGAAGGAAGGTTCACAACAGCCCGAAGGCAGGGGCGGCCCAAAACTCAGTCAGTCTGTGGGTGCAGGAACGGATAAGCAAGGCGCTATTCGTTCTTTGAAAAGGAATACGCCACCTCACAGGTGCGCTCTGCGGATGCCACGCCACATAAAATCATGACACGCCGTAGCCCTCCATTTGAGGGAGGCGCGGGGTGAGAGAGAGAGCTGGATTTGGACAGAGGGGAGGACGCGGTTCGGGGACCAGTGAGGAAGGGAGGTCGTGTGTGTTTTCAGGGCACGAGTTTCTGTTTACAGGAGGCAAAGACGCAGAGCCGGGTGAATGTGCCCCAGCCTCCGAAATGACGCAGACACGCTGCAAATGACGCGTGATGTCATCGCCTGTAATGGATGAGGCCTCTGGAGGGGGGACCCCAGCGTCCATTGTCCTCATCCAAGCTCAAGGGCTCTGCCACCCCTGCATGTTGGCCCCTCAGTCTGCTCTGCGCTGCTCACTTTGGCTTGGAAACGACTCAGGAGAGACTGCAGCCCTGCCCCTGGGACCAGCAGAGGGCACAGCCACCGTCCCCAGCCACAGCTAAAGCCCTGAGACCTGTTGTTGATGACTGCCCCTGCTTTCCTTTTGGGTCATCCCCACTCGGACGGTTTGCAGGGAGGCTAGTCTGGAAGGCGCTTCCACAGTGAATCCGTATGTGACTCATCAAATGTCCTCAGAGACAGCTGTCCCGACCCTGGGCGAGAGAAACCCCCTTTTTTTTCCCAGTGGGAGAGATGAAACCAGGCAGGGGCATCATAAAGTGTGGTTACCCAAAGGGAATGGAGAGACTTTGCTTCAAGTGAACTTTACAAGGCTCTCATCACCGAGCGTGGGTTGTGTGCCGGGTTCTGCATGAGGACTTGGTGGCTGAAAAATAAAATATCCCCAAGGCCCACAGACTGCATGGGAAGTCAACAAGGAAGACAGAAGTGACATTTACTGAATGGTTGAGACATGACTGGCTTTGCATAGCAAACATTGGGTGTTGTTTAATCCCTACCGGGATTCCTTGTAGATGTTATTTTCCTTATTTTGAAGATGGGTACAGACAAAACGTTCTGGGTCCCAGGCCACAGAATAGAAGAGATGGAGCAAGACACTATCTCCAAGATCTCCGGTCCATCAAGCCAGCTGTTCTTAGTCTGGGATACACATGAATAGATTTAAGGTGGGGGGGGCTTTGCCAATGTTGGGCCCTACCCCATCTGGTCCAGCTGAGCCGGACTGTCCCTGCCTGGCTAAGGCACCAGGGTTTCCTCCTCTGTGGCTGCTGTGGGGGCAGAAAGCATTAGGACCCCGAGGGCAGGAATGTTGTACTGAGGATGCCCCAAAGACAGCCCAGCTTACTGATATGCAGGCAGGAGCAGAGGCAAGGGTTGGCAGGGCCAGCAGCACCAGAGTGAGAACAGAGCCCAAAACTGGGAAGGCTGGGGTCCTGGGCCTCCCCACACCTGACCAGCCAAGCTTCCACAAAGATGGGGATGAACTGTTTTACAGCTCCTGTCACTGTAGATAACAGTAGTGACGGTTCAGAGGACACCATTCCCCGGGGACACTGAGTCTGAGAAGTACTGTTGCACAGTCCCCATTCCCCGGGAACACTGAGTCTAACAGGCCACCCTCGTCTATGGGACGGGTCTATCCTTCTGCACAATGTCTCAGATGGGTCCCAACAAGGAATCTACCAAGCAGCCAGGGAATCCTGTGAGTAGACATGGTGTTGCCAACGCCATCGGCTTTGCCCTCAAGCAGGGCACACAGCAGGATGCCTATGTGAATACCACGGCCATTGCAAGAACACCCACCCCGAGTAGGCAGTAGGTGCCCCCCACAAGCATTGTGGGGGATCCTTGTTCTTAGCTGCCTTCCTAGAGATGAGCATGGCAACAGAGGTGAAACTGTGAGGGGAGTGCTTTCAAATCCTCCTGCTCACCAGCTGTCCCTGGCCTGTGAGCTCTGGGACTGAGGTGACACCAGTCCCATGCCATGGACTGCCAGCCTTTAGGTTCCCCTGGGGCCTTGCTTCAAGCACCGTTCCAAAAAGCAAGTGCCTTTCCCCAGGACTAAGGTGAAGCTGTGGCATCGCTCTCAAAGGGGCGGGGGGGAGACTTCAGGCATTAAAAGCTTAGCTAGAACTTTTTTTTTTGAGGCAATCACCAGCTATTTCCTACAGTGAAGGAGGTAGCTTGCTGAATTAACCATCTTTGACACTCCATAAAAACCTCCAAAAATAAAACAATTTTATAAACAAATAAACAAACAAACAAACAAACAGAATGTGACCTGCAACCTCTCCAGAACCTCGGGCTTTGCTGGCTTCCTTTGTTCTGGACTCCGTGGTGGGTACGAAGAGAGCAGTTTCTCACACCGGAGAGCCTGGGCATGGAAATCGAACATGACCCAAGAGACCAGACGGGGCTGGGGCAACACCAGCATTCTCCTCCGCTGACACAGCCCGTCGGAATCTTCCCATGTGGATTTGCAGAAGTGCTCAACCTCTCCTCTCTCCGCTCGGCAGGTCCATCTGGTCGACCACCATGCAAGGGAGGACAGGATCTGCCCCAGGGTGATGCAAGCCTGCCACTCCACAGCGTGACAGAAGCAGGAGAGGAACCCAGGTGAGCCGGATGTGCCACAGCCCTGGCTGACTCTGTGTCTGCGTCCTTGGAGTGTGGTTTCTCCCTTCCGGCCCTGAGGTTGTTGGGTTGTTGTTTAGATTCAAGGCGGTTCCCGAACAGAGGGGAGTCGAGGGTCCCAGTCATCATCAGGAGTCAGAGTCCCTGTGGTTGGAGCTAGCAGGCTCTGCCGCCTTCCTCCAGCCTCGAAGGCTTCTGAGCACCTTCCGGTACGAGTGGGTGAAGGCCTGGTTGGAGAAGCAGTAGATCACTGGGCTCAGAGCACTGTGCAGGCAGGTGAGGCTGCCAGCGACGTCGGAGGCCTGCACCAGGGCCTGCTGGACACCGCAGCTCTCGGATTCCCGAAGGACGTGCGCCAGGGCTCTGGCCAGGACGCTAGGCAGAAAGCAGAGCGCAAACAGCAGGAGCACCATGGCAACCAGCGCCCTGGCCCTCCGGAGCCGGGGGTTCTTGTCAGATTCTTGGAGTCTCTCCTGGAGGGTCCTGATGAGCCCAGTGTTGCAGAAGAAGATGAGGCCAAAGGGAAGCAGGAGTTGGAGGAAGAAGAGAGCCTCCTGCCAGGTGGCGCTGGCCCCTGTCTCTCCGGTGGGGTAGAAGCTGGGGCAGTCGGTGGAGTTCTGCAGAGCCTTATGAGTGAGGAGGTTTTGGGGAGTGAGGGCGATCATGAGAACCCAGACTAGGCTAGAGATGCCCCAGGCTGCCCTTGGAGACAGCAAGTTGACTCTGAGCCGTGGATGTACCACACGAAGATACCGGTCTAAAGCCACTGTCGTCAGGAAGGCTACCCCCACACCACGGCTGAAGGCCAGCAGGAAGAGCAGGACCTGGCAGGGTGCCCGGCCAAGCTCCCAGGTCTTGCCCCTCAGGTAGAAGACAGCAAGGAGTGGCAGACAGGTGACCAGCAGCAGGTCAGCCACCACCAGGCTGAACAGGTAGACGGCATAAGGCTTCCACACTCTGAGACGGTAAAAGAAAGTCCAGAGGGCCACGGCGTTGCCCGTAAGGCCCAGAGCGCACTCCACTGACAGCGCGGTGCCCACCGCCGTCTCCACCACAGTGCTGGCAGCTGAGCAGTTGGAGTGCGCCATGGGCCGAAGCGAGAAGAGAAATGCGAGGAAGCCTAGCCTCACAAAGCTTCCTCTGAGAGAAAAAGAAAATGCCCTCCCCCCGCCACGGAGCAGACAAGTTCTGCGTTCAGTGGCAAAATAATACAGAAACGGTAATGGAATCTGGTGCAGGGAGACGCAAACTTTGTTTGGGGAGAGATGGGGGACAGGGGAAGCCCCAAGTCTTGCCCTGTTTTGTTTGCCCCCGAGAAAGGGGAAGCTGTGCTATGCTTCGTGTCGGGGGCTCTGAGACAGGGCTGCAGTGCTCTGAGAGTGTTCAGCGAACAGAGCTGAGCCCTAGCCACTGAAAAGGGAACTAGAAACTACTGACAACACGAAGACTCCTGTCCCTTTGGGCGTTTAAAACAATGGCTGAAGCGGGCAGATGGTTCTGCAGTGTGACCGTCTCACAAGGGAGATTGAAGGCTGGCCCCCTATCTTAAATAGCGACCTTGGCAAGACCCCCCCACCCCCACCCCCGAGTGTGGTTAGATTTTATACGTGAGGTCAGACCTGGCTTGCCACACTCACTTGAAAGAGTGTTTTGGACTCCCTGGCTATTTACAGTTGAATGTTTTCATTTATTCTTCCATTCAGTCGAAAGTGTGTGTGTGTGTGTGTGTGTGTGTGTGTGTGTGTGTGTGTGTGTGTGTGTTGGGGAGGAGGGGCAAGCTTTCTGCTAAGACTCCTCTGGGACACTTACACTACCACCTGGATAGGACCTAGAACACTGGGGGGCTTGGGCCCTGCAAGCCAGGTAAAATCCTCCCGTCCATTGGTTCTACACTCTGCCCCGGGACTCAGCACTGGACAAAGCCCCATTCCTGCGTCTGGAGCCGAGCGCTGGGAGTCACGAGAGCTCATGAGCCGTGTAGATGCGCCATGGTCAAGAGTAGTGGAGACAGGGAGGTCGGTTAACGGAAGAGAGTAAGTAACACGCGAGTGGCTTTTCTTGGATTGTGAAATTCCCGTGTTTATTGGTTGGCGGGTGGGACAGGAGGGGACAGCAGCATTTCAGACAAGATACACCGATGTGGAGAGTCCTGCATAGAGGCCCTAGCTTCAGAGGTTCTCATTACCACCATACGGGAAGGGGCATGACAGTCCCCCCTCCCTCCTTTACTCTTAGGGACCTGTGGGCGACCCAGGACCCTTGAGCCCTCCAAAATTCCCAATGAATGCCAAGAGTCCCTGTTGCTGCTTATGGTGACTCCTTCCTAGGTCCTGGGAGTTAAGACACGGACATTGTGGGAGCCGCTTTATTCCTTCCTAGGTCCTGGGAGTTAAGACACGGACATTGTGGGAGCTGCTTTATTCCTTCCTAGGTCCTGGGAGTTAAGACACGGACATTGTGGGAGCCGCTTTATTTCTTAGCATGCTGGCATCGTCAAGCGTGATCTCTTTGCGATGTAGAGAGAAGTCTCATGGAACTTAGATGCTTTGTCTCCCGGAGGGCTGCTGCTGAGCGGAACCCACCAGCGGTGGCCTGCAGACCCGGGTATGGGCTTCAGCTCTGCCTTGCACAAGGAGAAGGGTTATTTTGGATGCTGAAACTCACCATCTAGAGCTTTAGCTTTAATATTTATGATTACTTTTTAGTTTAATGCTAATATGCTCGGTTGTAGGAAATACGGGAGTAAGTGAAGTGACAACAGAAAAATTCGTGTGTGTGATCTTGCCATCTAGAAATGTTGCTTGCTCCGATTCTGGCTGTCTCTTCTCACGGTCTCATCACAACGAACACATTGCGGATGTGTGTGTGTGTGTGTGTGTGTGTGTGTGTGTGTGTGCGCGCGTGTGTGCTGTGCAGTTTGCTCTACAGCTTCTCCACTCGATCTGTAACCCCATATACTTCTCCTCACTGGGGTCTTGTTAAATATCGTGAGCACTGAAAGGTAGAACTACCAGCACATTGCTGTGTGTGTCCATTAGGCTTGCTCTGCCGGTGATGAGGCAGTATGAAGAACTCCAAAACTGCACTTGTGTCAAAGGCTCGTGGCGGGGGGGGGGCGCTGTGTGTGTACATGGTGTTGATGCTTGTTCTTATAGGCCTTGTTTTTAATGACCTGTAAAGTTGACAAAGGGGATTTTATATGTATGTATGTATGTATATATGTATGTATGTATGTATTTTCTTGGCAGACTTACCAATCCAGGGAATTGAAGGAAGCAAGGTCTTTGCAGGACTGTGTCAAGGAACACATTAATGTGGGCCCCCTGATTCCCAGAGAGTCACATCCACCAGTGCGAGCAGCCTTTGGTCTGACCTCGCACTTGCAATGCGAGTCCTAGTCCAGGGAGTGGTCAGAGGCTATAGAAGGTACTATGTCACTTTGTCAGCAGCCTCTGGAGTTGAGACATGGCAGGTTTGTCTTTTACTCCGAAGGGAATTAACTATTCACCCTGTAGGAAGCTGTTCACTCTCATGCTCTGCCCACATGCTCTCCACCGCGAGGCCCTTGCGCCAAAGGATTCGGGGATCACCCACCCCTCACTTTCCTGCCTCTTAGGTTCATGATCATGCGTGCCCCATGGGTACCCTAAGCTGAACTTCTTGGTAGTCTGTCTCACGAGGCTGAGGAGCCTGTCCCCATTGCCGATGGGTGTGAGGGCAGTTTCTGAAGAGAACTATATTTTATCAGTAGAATATGCATCTCAATTTAACTCCTTTTGATCATGCTAAGACAGAAGCCAATCTCACTGAAGTCTTGTGTCTGGATCCAGGGTGAAGAGACACTCAGAAGAAAGGAGGCGAGCCCACATTTCTCAAGGTCTCCTGCCTTGGGCGTCTGTCCAACAGCTGTGCAACCAGTGTGTTGGAGAGGGTAGTCACACCATCCTTGGTATCTTACATTCTCAGCACCCATTTTTTTTTTGTTGTTGTTGTTTTTTTGGTTTTACGAGACAGGGTTTCTCTGTATTGTTTTGGAGGCTGTCAGTCCAGCCCGGCCTCGAACTCACAGAGATCCGCCTGCTTCTGCCTCCCGAGTGCTGGGATTAAAGGCGTGTGCCACCACCGCCCGGCCTCAGCACCCATTGTTAAGAAGGCATCCTTCTGTTGCATCTAGCTGGGACATGATAGTCATCACGGCTCCTCCATCATCAGACAGACCTGATGGAAAAGTCCTGTGTATATGTCAATAAAGCACTGTTGTCCAATAGGGAAGCAAGGTAGGTGGGACTAGGAGTCCAGGAGGATTCTGGGAAATGTAGTGAAGAGGCTGGTCGCCATGTGACTCCAGGGAGGAAGGGATGCGGCAGGAGTGCGTCCTAGCAAAGTTAAGTTCTTGTGAAATATATGAGTAATTATGGGTTAATAATCAAGTCAGACCTAGCTTCATAATTAATATAGCGTCTTGTGTGTTATTTGGGACTGACATGGCTCAGGGACCACCCTGGCGGGGAAGGCAACATGTTTCACACACACCCACGTAAGGACGAGGAGGAGCACCCCCCTTCCTGTCTCCAGCTCTTCCTGAAGTTTAGTGGCACCTAAGCTGCAAGGACTCAGAGAGCTCCACCCAGAACAGTAAGGACTAGAAAGGTAAACCCAGAAAGTGTCGGCTCTAGAGGAAGAGTCAGGAGAATCAGGGACTCAAGGCCAGCCTTGGCGGTGTCGTGAGTCTGAGGCCAGCCTGGGCTATGTGAATCCATTTCAACGAAAGAAGACAGAAAACAAGAAGAAAGGAAAGAGGGAGAGGATGAGGGGAGAAATGAGGAGGAGGAAGGAGAGGAAAGAGAAAGAAAGGAAAATCCACAATACAGAGGCCCCAAACAACAGTCTCCCCACCGCTATGTAGGTCAGAAGTGTAACGTGAGTGGCATCTCTGGAGTCCAGGGGTCAGAGGGCCCTGCGCTTCCGGAGTCTCGGGGGCAAATCATTCCTTTCCCTCCTGTTGGAGGCACCGCTGTTCCTCGCCTCGTGGCCCCTCCCCACCATCGAGCGAGTGTGCTCATAGCCTCCTTGCTCCCATCATTCCGTCTTCTCTCTGACTCAAGCACACTAGTCCCTTTGTTGGCTCTGCTCTGATCCCCCTCCGTTTATAAGATCCGTGTGGCCTACCTACAAGGGAAGTCCTCTTTTCGAGATGGTAGGTCAGGGATCAGGGTGTGGGCATCTCAGGAGACTAGTGGTCTTCCCACTGCAAATGCTACTCATGTACTATATGAAAACAATGGCTTGGCACCAAGCATGGTGACCTGTACAGCATTTGGGAGGCTGAGGCAGGGAAATAGCCATACTGTTTCAGCTGTGTGGTGAGTTTCAGGCCAGCCTGGACTACTGGGCTAGACCCTTTATCTAAACAAGCAAGAAAACCAGGCAAGGGTATCTGATACCTTCTTCTCACATGACAGGCTTTTTACTGATCACCTAGGCTTCCCGCCTTCCTCTTTCACTGATTTATATGCTTCTTCCGGAATCGTCTTTCGCAATCCACCGGTTTCGTGATGGCAAAATTGCAACAGGCCCTGTTGCTTCCCCTATCCAGTCTAAGACCAAGGGTCTCAATGAGATGGGAATAGCAGCTAAGCCCACTGTTTTTGTGTGGTCTGGAGAACGACCTAGAACAGCTGAGCTTTTGAATGAGTGAGTTTCTTAGGCGTATATCAAGCAGGAATGAAATAAGAAACAGAGAAAAGGGGTAGGAAAACATCATCAAAAAGCAGGTTGCTCACAACACCCAGCAGAAGTGACCGGAGTGGCCTAATTGATAGAGCAATCAGAAGCTAACATCATCGAATCGCGTCTAACGACACTCACTCCAGAAACCAAGTCAGGGAGTGGAGGGAGTCAGAAGTTTCTGGTGGACTCTGTCTGGGTCTGAGCTGCCCATGGCTGAACTTCTGGCTTTCCCATAGTAGACACCAAGGGATGAACAATAGTAATCCCTGCTGGGAGTGGTTGCCTTCGAAGGTGCTTTCAGGAACACTGTCCTCCGTCGTAGAGTTACGGGAGCCACCTCACCCCCAGACAAGAGGATTTGGAGTTCTCTCCAAAACACGCTCGGGCCTGATGCGGAGGTGGAATCTGCAAACTGGATCCCAAGGTCTTCTTTTAACAAGCATAATCCCCTGTCGTCAGATCAAATTGTCATCGCACGGCAGTCCACCCATGAAGTGTGCATTGTGGCACCCTCCAGTCTAGACCCGGAGCTCCTCTTCCTCAGGGTGGTCTCCTGGGATTGCTGTTGCTTGTCCCTCCTGGCCTTTTTGCCTCTCTGTACGCCCTCCCTTC